TTTTAAAAGGTTATGAAATGAGCATTGAAAATATAAGTGAGCAGTATTTTCACAACAGTTTACAGTCTCCGGGCATGTACAGCTCAACATATGCTTAAAATAAAATGTGTACTTGTTTTTAGTAGTGAAACATTAAACTCATGAAATAATGAGCCTTTGGTATATCTAACAAAACAAACCTTGAATCTGAAGTTGTTGGATAGTTGTGTTGAGCATTCCCAAAAACTTGTGCGTTCTGTTGAGCAATTCATCACGAATTGTGACTTGTCCACTTGACTTCACTGGAGTCTCTTCTTCACCCTCTCCACTGGTATCCTCCTGAGGAGAAACTTTCCTTCTTTGATAACCCACACCAATTTTCTGCATCTGGTGGGCAGTGAGCAAGGGTATATACACCTAACAAGAGACAGTAAAATATGCATCCTGTAAAAAAAATCTGAATTTTTTGATATACATGGGTGATGACATTGACATTTTTTTCTGCTGTTACATAAAGTTTTTGTCTGACTGGGAAATGTTACTTGGGTAAGTTTGTTCCGCAGCACAAGAAGGGGGTCTCCATTTTGCATGCCAATGGAAAATAGCCTGGGCATCAGGACTCTGGCCTCATTCATGTCCAGTGGTTCAACAATGGTCTCTATTAAAAACACAAATAATAATCTCTTGGTTAATCCGTTTTCTGTGCTTGAGCACGCTTTAGTTGTATTGACACGGTACTGTCCTCTCACCCTTTGTGTTCCTGATAAAGTAGAAGACACGGGATTTCAAAAATCTCTCTGGGTATTCGTTCACTGCCATGTGAATCTCATTGTGATAAACCACTTGAACCTCAGTCCTCTGAAAACACAAAACCAGTTTGCAAAAGTTTATCATCTCCTTTCCATCGATGATGCACCAATACATGATTACAAACACAGCTACAATTTGAAAGCAATTAAAGAGGGTTTGAATAAAGGTTGGATCTTACATAACTGTGAGTGTGACTTTGTTCATTTGCCTCATCTGAGCCTGAGCTAATCTCCGCACTGCCTTGGGTCCAGGACTTCTTGTCAGGATCTGAAGAGTCTCCATCTTTCCCCCTGTCTGAGGTTATTAACGAGGTAGTTAGATGCAGTCTTTTTGTCCACATATTTCTCACTTTCTACACCTTCGTTAGCCCCAGTGTGTGCCTCTCACGTATTAGCATTCATTCGGGTCACAGAGGTAAACGTTTTCTCTACAAGTTAGGAGTTTCAACTTAGGAAAGTGGTTAAAAATGTTTTTAGTCATCCAGATTAGAAGGGTCTTGCTCAGACAATTTCAGTACAATGGCCTGTGTTTTAAATGGCCTAATTGGTTTTTAACATCGCCGGTTAGGTTAACGGTTCTTTTAATCTTTTAGAAACTGATATAGTTTAGTGCTGGGCAAGGATTAAAATTTTTTATTGCGATCAATCGCATAGTTTTGCGCAAAATTGAATAATGAATTCCTTTCATTTAAATGTACTGCTATATACACAAAAGTGCAATAACATGTGGTTTGCAAACACTTTAAACAAATAATGTGCTTTTTACCAGCAGTATACAGTAGCAATAAAATATTTCTTGTAAATCTCAACTTAAACATTAATCAAATCAAATACAAAAGCAAAGCTATTTGCCACTGCCAGGGCATTACCTTTTATAGCTTGTTAAAACAAGTTAAGAGTCCAGAGCCACGATCATAACATCATAATAGTCACCTTCTGTGCAACAGGTTTACATATATAAATCTTTTTTTTCTGAACAGGTATCAACAGAAACATTTTCTGTTTTCAGGGAGCAGGGAGTCTTGTTCAGTAGCAAGTGTCTCTGTTAGTGAAGTGCTCGCCTCTTGTCTTGCATTTTTTTGTACGAGATGGGGAGCACAAATCATTGGAAGAGAGACAGATCCTCGCTGTTTGTGACTTTCCAGAATCTATTACTCTTTACTAACTAGGACATCAACAGGAGGGAATTTGCATGGCTGAGCATCCCCGCAAAACTAGATGATGAGTTATATAACAAATGAATTATAAATGGCCAAAACAACACATAGAATACATTATTCTACTTGCCAGAAAGTGATTGCAGCTACTTATTGACTGAAAGGTTATTTCTTCCCTGAAATTACTTCATTATATTCATGAGGGTTAAATTTGATAGATTATAACTCACCTAGTACTTTTTACCTCTTAAAATACCTTTAAATGGCTAAAACAACACAGAAAATGCAGTATTACACTTGCCAGAATGGGACTGCAGGCTATTTATTGACTGAAAGCTAGTTTCTGCCGCAAAATGACTTGATTTCATTCAGAAGAGTTATATTTGACAGATTATAAAACCGAAATTGTCCCCCATTTTAATTTCATGAATAATAACATTATATTTTTTAATGACATACTGACCACCAAACCAAAAATGTCCCCGGTTTTCATTTCAGAAATCTGGCCACCTTAACTTACATAGACACACAATTAACATGATTTAAGTTTGATGAGATGAATTACCAAGCAGGCATTGCTACAACAAAAATAAATGAAGTTTGAATAAATACTTTCCTACCTCAAAATTATTTTTTTCCTTCTAAAATTGGCTCTGTCTGCCACAGGGTGCTATTTTTCCCCATGTGGAATAAGGTCTAAAGTAAGCATGTGTAGAGTGAATTGTTGAATTGTTCCTGAGAAATTGGACGTGTGACCGACTGATCCAGGTGTTATGCCGAGTTTTACTGCCTGCCGAGAATTGCATTCACCTCCAAATACTGCTTTTAAACGCTATAATATTCTTTGTGGGGTCCATCAATAGTGTTAAATAAACTTAGCAGAAGTACCATTCCTTGATATTTAGTAAATATATGTGGTGATAACGCCGTTTGATCAATGAGCACAGCGTCAGTGTCTGAAAAGGACCTAAAGAGCTGGATGCATAATTCGGCAGATCAAATTTTGTAGGCTACCTGCGGAGATTTGCATCCACCTCTTTTCTCAGCCGTTATCACCCGCGAGGTGCATGCAATTCTCGGCAGGCAGGCAGAATTAGGCACAACACCTGTCTCCCCTATGCTAATAGCGTTAATGAGAGGCACAAACTGGAGTTACACCTCTGCCAACTTAACTTACCGACTGGAATTTCAACTTCAATTTCTTCCTCTCTAATAGTTTTGAAAAACAGAAGACAAGATGGCGAGTCTTCCTCCGAGACAAAGTTCAAGTAACGGATAATTTTCTCTTCTCCATCTTCCCGATTGAGAAGCTCGTCGAAAGACTTGGTTCCGTCCGGGAAATTGAAACCGACAGATACGCAGTGTCGGATCCACTCCACTCGTAAATCGTCGTGGACCATACTTAAAAAAAACGTCACCATTCATTAAGTTAACATTTGGAGAATTAAACAACTGTCGCCATTTGAAACAACAGTAGTCTGCGGTCGCCAGTAACTGTCCAAGTTTACTTAGCGGTTTCACGTTGCCTGGCAACCATTAAACGTCTCGTGCCTTTGGTGATTGGAGGAGACAGGAACCGGGAAACGTGTTCCCAGAGTGTTGACTGCAAGGCGGTGCTATTATACCTGTCAACATTGGGATTGGAAAATAAGGGAAATAACCTTTCTTACATACAGGTTATGGAAATTATAAGGGCACAACCACCTCTCCCTCAATAGCCTGACAAGAAGTGAGTCAGCTTGATAACCGAGGTACGGCACACAGAAGATTGGTAAGTACATTGAGACTACCAATGTTGTGTTGGTCCAGAACCTTCAACTTGTGCACGCTGGATGTCTTAAACTCACCTGCATGGTATTGTTGAAGTCTGACATGATCATTTTCCAGTTGCTCATCCTACAAATGTTGAAAGGTTTAAAGTTGACTTCCTTAATAGGCAAAACCAAGCTATCCACTCTGTACAGCACTTCATCAAAGCGTTGTGGGTCACCTTTTAGCGCTGGACCAAAGATGTTATAGAACTCCTCCAAAATATTACTTAGAACTAATAGTTGTATTTAGTATTAGAAACTTATATAGAATAAAATGTTTTTTTTACATTATAGGGATAAGTTTCTAATATTAAATTAAAGTATTGTGTTAATTTTATAGTATAGGCTACTTAGTGTACTGTTATTATATTACCTATAGTTAATACATTCATTATAATTCCAAATGTAGTTTCACACTAGGCCACTATAATAATTCCAGTCACAGCAGATTTTATTAATTAAAATCATTGTGCAAGAGGCAGAGTCTACATTGGTGTCTAATTTATTAATGTTAAATACTAACTTGTCAATAATTTTAGCCATTATTGCAGAATAATTATTGTAGGTTGCAGACTTAATGACGTGCTATTTCAGTAATTTATTTAAAACTAATAAGTTAAATGACAAATAAGGTAATGAATCAAAAATGTACAAGTAGATGACTAACCTTTTAGAAAACTTGTTTAATAAAAAAAAATATCTCTCTCCAGCATACTGCACCAAAGCCTTTATAGGAAATCTGGTCGGCTGAGTCAGTGAACTCTTCCCTTCTTAAAACATACTTTTATAGGAGAGCCTTTCCCGATCTTATTTGACTTTATTTTATTCTATTTTACTAATTTTACATTTATCTTTAACATGTATTTTAGTCATTTCAATGTTTTCTTGCTTTTATCTTGTATTGTTTTTGTACTATTGTCTTTTGGGTATTATTGTCTCTACACTTTGTAACTTGTTTTTGAACAGTGCTCTACAAATAAAGATTATTATTATTATATGTAGTCAAATGGGTTTGCTTGTGTACATTTCATTTAAATCACATCTCAACAAAAGCAGCACAAAGATCGCTTTCCAAGAATTACAGATTGTAGTGCGCACAAGATTTAAGTTGATGAATTTGGTGCTAAAAGTTCTGAAACACATTTAAAATGTAAAACATGAAGTGGGTGAAATGTCTTGGTGTCAACTTCCATGTAGCTTGTGTAAACCCACATAGAATAACAAATGCAAGGGGGAAGACTCAATTCAAAACAAATACAATTTATTATTGACATGAGGATATTCTCAAAAGGAACATGGAGTGTTTGTCAATGAAAAAACCCCCCAAAATTCTTAATAAAATTAATGGCAAGATTAGGGCTCCATTAGAAGAAATATAATACCCCTTCAACCAATAATTGCTAATGGATCATTATTTGCTTATTTGCCCCCGATAAAACAGTGTCTGCCACTTGCATCATCAAGATTTGATACCTTTTTTTCACCATTACAACCTGACATAGAAGGTCATGACTTTCAAAAATTCCCGTATCTTACTTTTTGCTAAATGTTTTGCCAATGAAAAAGTGCAGACATCAATAATGCGACAGTTACGACAATTAAGTTTCCTTCCCTTAGAAAAATACCAATTCCATACATACAGTACCAAGAAATTCAAAACAATTAGTAAATACTACTAATGCCTCATGTCAGTCTTGTCCAAAGAAGATGTAACCACTGTGTCGAATATGGATATGGCTCTCCAGACCAGCAGAGTTGAATGATTAAAGTTTTTCCTGCATGGAATGTTAAATTGTACAGCAAGTGGCAGACGCATAGGCAATACTGTGAATGCATTAAAGTAAAAATCATATCCCCATTAACATTCATCTTTAATTCTGATGCAACATTTTAAAATATAATAAATTAAAAAATAATTCTGTAAAAGTATATACATATCATCACACACCTGCCCAAACACTTTTCCATACTGAAAATGTCAAAGATCCTTTGCAATGTTTATACAAAGGAAACTGGAGAATTACACAGTATGTCGTCATTTGGTTGTTCTGTAAGGCAGTCAGCTCAACAAAAGGTTGAGCAGGAACTATGTAACCGAAAGGTGGCTCACTACCCAGTGTATGGAAACCAGACCTGCCATAACTGAAACTCAGTGAAAGAAAGTCAAAATGGAACCAACAGAAATAGACATATTATTCTTCAAGGAAAAGGAGGATGTTATTTTATCTTTCATCTTATTTAATCAGCAAATCCCACGAAAAGATCAAAACCAGCAACATGTTGGGGCCATCCATTACATACTAAAAATGCTATATCTTTTTTACCTATTTATTAATAAGTTTGGCAGATGTGGTTCTCCATACAAGTGACATTTACAACTATTACCAAATATGCCTCATGAGAAAACTGACAGTTTTAAGTACTTGAGTTACATTTTAAATTTGAGCCTCGAATTTCACCCTCACAAAATGTCCTGCAGTGACGCATACTGAATCTGGTACAAAATACCCATTCATGTATACATTTGCAATAAGAAACAGTAACTTCTCAACAGTGCACTCTGTACTGTCAGTACACTGTTGGGAGGGCAGCGTTTTTTAGTCCGAAATCTGTGAAGCTCAACATTAAATGTCTTTTTATGACAAACTGTTAAAAGATGAACAGAAAAAAGTCTCATGACATCTGGAATAAGTCTGATGGCTTGTTTTGGCTATTTACCACCTAACAGTATTAGCAAATAGTCCTTTCACAGTAAGCCATCGTGCTCAAAGCTGGAGGGCAGGAGAGAGAAGGAGAAGGGGCAAAACTTGACTCCAGTCCCACTGTAGAATTTATTCTGAAACTCCACCCTGAGGAAGAAAACAAAAAGCTGCTATGAATATAAAACACTTAAATAATTCACAGCACATTGGCCATGTCAGTGATACAAGTACTTTAGTGGTTACTGTTATCTTACCAGTGCAGCCGGAGGGCATGAAGGAATGCAGACAGACCCTCCATTACCAAAAGAATGGACACAGTGAGAACAGCAAACAGGCCAAACACAGGCACCAGGAATAAAACCCCGAGAGTAGTGCCCATTTGTAGCCCTACTCTCATCACCATGGTCCAAAGCACCTCTGATAGCTCTATTAAAGCAGAAAAAAAGAGTATGTGCACCATCTATTTAGAGAATAACAACAAACAGTTTATTTACCGTACAACTTCAATTAATAGCCGAGTCCCAAATAGCCGCCTGTCTCCTTTATTGGCAAATAAACCACTACCTCAATTTAACACCTGGTCTAGTTTTTTGGATGTATAAAACCTCTTAAACCCGCAGGGTCGCCTGCTTTAACTGCTTAGATCATTGATACAAATATTAATGTTTAAACATATGATCAATATGTCCATATGTACATGCTACACATCGTTAGATTGGTTAGATTCTCCACAATTCAGTTCATTTAATGGAAACAAGCCCCAAAGTCTAATTCTTATAGATCTACCGGGGTAACCTGGCAGGTACAAGAGCGGAAAGGGAAAAAAGTGCCGACTGCCATTACCTTCGAAGCGCTCGTTAAGTCTGCTCATTAAGTCCGGATGAGTCCGTTCCTTGATTATTTATATTTCTTTAGTCTGTAAGGGTCCACCGATCAAGATATTCAAAACAGCGTTTCATAAAAATGAATCCAGGTTTTAAATCCTGTCATGTGAAGTCCATCGCTCTCTGTTAACTTCTGCCACACTTCTCTCTGCTCTCATCCTGCAGTATGTTGTTTTTATACAAGTATTATTCTGTAATAAAAAACAGTTTAATAGTAGTTTCAGTTTTGTGCAAAAGAAATTAAAGGCCTGTCCCAAATATAGGCAGGGTCAATTCAGTGATTTTAGCATTTGTTGGCTTTGATCTAGACTCTTATTAATGTCCTTGGTCATGACGTCATGACCAAAGTTGCAAAAGGGTTTGAATTGGTTGTTAGGGTTTTGAGGGACTGAACAACTATTGACAAACATTTCACTCTGAAATTCTGAAGTCACACCAGTAATGTGACAACATATAACCTTTTAAGATTTCTGCAACACCATCAGTCATATTAACAGAATGCAGTTATATATACATATTCTATATATACATATTCGAGACATTAAAGTGGATGTACTTAATTTTCCATTTGATTATAATTTGTTATGCAAAACAAATTAAAATCAGTTTAATAAACCATGAAATACCACGCGTGAAAACATTTGCACATGTGCTCAAATTGGGTCAAAATGTGATTTCATTTGTGGCGCAGTCAAGAAAAGGACAGCTTGAAAATAACTTTAATTATCCACCTACACTTTTTATATCACTTCTTACAGGTTGAGAATCCAGGGTGCTGCTTTATACATATAACGTGACCAAATGCAGGAACTGAAAAAGGGGTCATCAACCTAATATTTTTTGATAACCCTTGAATTGTGTAAAATAGGATGCAGAAATCTAGTAAAAATGATATTTATGAGAAAATGTATTGGGGGATCTACAGAATTAAGTAATATACATTCACCAATGAAACATGGCAGGCTGACCTGTACTGTATCCATGCCCACAACCTCTATGCTGGATGATTGAGGACACACTGTATTACTCTTATCCAAGTGTGCATGCTGTAAAGCCCCTTACCGCTGTGCATTACAGAAAATCTTATTTTCTGTATATTTATGAGTGAACAATCATCTCTCATAATGATGGTGACATCTGGTACGTCTGATGAGCATACTGTTATTCCCCTCCCTTCATTACCTATAACCTGCCTAAGTAACATGTAGTATCAGCTGCGCACGGCCACAAGTGAGAGAGGACAGGAAACACCAGCAGTTGCTGTGCCATTTATCATAAACTTTGGCTTTAAAACGTCAAACAACAAGGCCCAAACAAAGAAGTGCTGAACGCAAAATAGGTTACCTGTGGTGAGTAAACATGTTTAGCACAACATAGGCCATCTAATGTTAGCTTGCTTCTTGCTTTAGCTGCGACCTACCTAAGGTTAACTCCGACTGTGTTATAAAAAGATGAACGAGCGTTTGTTTGCTTGCCAAACTTGTGGTGGTCGATTAACGTAATCATTTACATCCGGCTAGCTGCCATAACGTTAATTATTACCGTTGGCTGCAAACAGGTTACAGGTTTATTGTTGATCATGTAACGTTACAGTTTTATTTAGTTATAACGTTACACTGGGTTTGAGAGTCAGCAGGGTGTGTTGACTTATAGTAGTTCATAAGCTGTCATTAATTGCATTGCACATTACATGGTTGTGCTCTGTAAGTGAAAAACAGGTTACAGTTGCAGTATTCCTTATAGCTAGGCAGTTTTATAAGCAGCCTGGTTTGAACACAGCAGGTGATACAACATTCATTATAACCATGAGAGACTTGAGACTTGACTTGGACTCTAGCTCAAAGACTTGCGAGCATCTCTGTCATGTACACACATGCAAGAACAAAAGTAAATTGTTTATCGTTTCTGAGGGAATAAAATGTGAAGTGGCTCTTTGATAATAAAACTTCTATCTAAATAAGCTACTCGTGAGTTATTTATAATTGTATATTCTCACCCTGTCAGTGTGCGCTTGTTCAGGTTTGAAGGAGCGACAAAGTACCTGTGTGTGTTGTAACGCAAACCATCATACTCACGGGCATGTGCCAGACTTAGAGCCCAGAGCCTTAGGTAGGAGGCTGTGTTGGAGATGCAACCCAGGCAATACTCTATAGTGTGGATGGACTGATGCAGCAACTCATCTGCAAAGTCAAACTAACACAACAAAACAAAACTCAGCATCACATACTCCGGTAAAAAAAAATAAAAAAATCTACAATGGTTGCTTATAAGGAAGTTTAGGATTATTGGCTAATATTCCAGAGGATTTGCTGTGCTGACCTCCTCTGTGTGGCAGTCTCCACTAGTGGAGAGATCACTGTGACTGCTGCCCTCCTCCATGTCATGAGCCCTCATCAGGTAGAGCTCCTCTTCACTGTTACGCCGTACACGCTCATATCCCTAAGAACACACAGATAAACTGATCAGATTTGCCTATTTACAGTCAGAGGACAAATAATTGGAGACGTGCATTTCAAAACCTCACCCTGTACATTCCTAGGCGGCGGCTTCCATTGTGAAGCCAATAAAGGTAGATGGGTTTCCCCGCGAGTAAGACAGGCACTGAGAGAACAGCAATGACCAACAGAAATACCTGGAAGCCAGACTGGAAGAAGCAAAACAACATTGCTTTGTTATGAACCGTCTCAGTGACATCTGTATTGTATTTTTGAACCCCCTGATATCTGTTCAGTAAGAACAGGGACACACGTTACACTGTAGCAGGAAAGGAGCTTTACATTAGCTTCTCACCTGTCCTGGGTAGAGAGGCTGCACTTCACCCTGCATGAGAAACATGTTTATGAAGTGCATGAGGATGCTCGGGGCCAGTCTGGAGTCCTTAGCAGAGAAGACCAGCCACTTGTACACTATCATGAACACCAGGTACCCAAACAGACACAGCAGGAACAGGAGTTCAGGGAGAAATACCAAGTACAGGTTGTACTTCTTCCTAAAGTGCCTGTTTTTGTTGACAAAAATGAGTCAAGGTATTAAAAACCATAACATCGTTAACAAAATGAAGGGCTTTACGATGTAAAAAACAAACTGGTACTTACAAGTGATTGTAAGTGCTGAGGATGACCCCGAAGCTCATGTGTATGATGCCCAGTATCACTGACATCTTCATCTTATAAGAGTTCAGAAATGTAAGGCGGTTGGTTGCCAGGTTCCAAATCTTTGCAAAGGAAAAGAGACATACTATATTTTACAGTGAGTAGTTTTGATTGGTAAAATATTAACTCTAGCACTGTGATTTAAAGCCCATAAAGAATAGCTGTGCTTTGTTCGTTGGTTAGACAATGTAAGGAGAACATTATTGTTCCTGGAAGGGGAAACCAAGAGATTCAATAATTTACTTTCCAAGAATTCAACCCAATTTATTGTTATTGTCCCTGTGGTAAGTGTATTTCAGAATGTGACTGGATTGATATTCCATTTCTGTAATTTAAAGAAGCAACTAGTTGTTGTACTTGATCAGTAAAACCAGTGCATGCAAACTGCCTATTTTTGCAGTAACCAGGAAGCTAATTATCATGTTTTGTTAGTTTTTTGGCAATTATGTAAGTATGCTTGTGTATGTATGTGGGTATAACTTGAAATGCACATTAGGTCCTGAGTGCTTTTTACTGTGACTGTATGATGAAAACTCTTTAAAACCACCACAAAGATGAGAAGCAACAATAAAAAGTCATGACGTGTCATTCATGATGACTTGTCCTCAATATTCTCAACTCACTGGGTCAATTCCCAGAGGGTATGGTCCAGTGAAAACTCCTGTAACATTTGGATCCAGAGTAAGAAGACCATTCCCCTGGATATCCCTGTCCCTGTTGGGCACAAATAAAACCACCACTTTGTGTTACATGTATAGTATGTCATTATGAAACAAGTCCACAAATGTCATCTTATCTTTATATCTTTTGACACATAATCGGTTGTTTATTAATGGTCTTAACCTTAAATACAATCCTTATGCACTTATGAACTTCTGAGTTACAATGAAGTCCTTCTTGTAATGAAGTACTCACTTCCAGACATTTGCTGTGAACATGGCTTTCACGCTCCATCCAGAACCAAAGATATTAAGGGACTTTGAGAAACAGTCATTGTATATCAGGCCAGTGTAGATGGAGAACAGGCCCATCATCAGGATTATATAACGCCCCTCAAAGAATGTGTTCCAGATCTGCACATGCACACAGAATCACTCAGTTACACTGTATGCCACAAACTGGCATTCGTTAAGTTACTTATTACTTAAGTTACTATTTTCAAATGAGTATTAGGTTAAAAAAAAAAATGTTTTAGATTACTCACCTCATTCCTTGTGTTTTTAAGTTTGCGGTTGTTCTCATAGAGCACCATCCAGAAAGCAAACACAGCCATAATAACTCCATGACCCAGGTCCCCAAACATCACAGCAAACAGGAACGGGAAGGTGATGATTGTGAAAGGAGCTAAGAAGACAGGAGAAAAAAGAAATAAAGACAGAACAAGAAATTTTTATTCATTCATTTTTGTTACATTATGCACATGTTATTGCAGGAAGGAATATCACACAATTACAACATTGCAATTAGAAAAGGAACGATAAATGTTTCTTTTGTGACTTTTTCTTCAAAGACTGCATGTAGCTGTCACATCTTTGACTTCTGATAAAGTAACAAAGACCTTTAAAAATCTCCAAAGTGATAAATTAAGGGCTCACGTTACGTTTTATTTTTGGAGCCTTATCTGATAATTCATGTGTACAAATACAGAGAGGAAAAGGATCCCACTCACCAGGGTTAACCTCCCTGTAGGTGCCCACTCCATAGGCATCCACAATGTTCTGGAAGCCAGAGGTAAATTTGTTGGTCCTTATCAGGGTTGGGGGAGTGTCTTTGGTGGGGATACGATTGACAAAGGAAGGAACTGTGGCTCCACTTTTTCTCTGAAATATCAATGTCAAATCAAAATGTCAGCGTGCCCTATAAACTAATTTCACCATAATGTCTTAAAACCCTTGATTGTCACTGCTAAGTAGGAAGCATATGCAACCCCCATCCCCCCGGAGGCAAACTGATAAACCTTTTTAGGAACAGTTATTCCCATTAGTGCATCTTTGTTTTGTCCCAAATACACACTCTCGTCTCGTCAGCCTGCACACTGAATTAACAGTGGCCTTTCAGTACCCTTGCCAAGTCACGTTAAATTCTTTTTGTTAAACTAAACAAAAGAAGCCAGTTCATGAAGCAACTGCACGGGGTTAAATAAACAGAAAAACAAAGCCTGCAGTGAGGCCAAAGTCGAAGACACTTCACTCTTTAACAGTTTCCTCACCGATCCTTCTTCTAGCGCCCTCCGCAGGGTGGGAATGTCATCCACAGGACACCACACCTCAGCGATCAGACACTTGTTTGTAACATCAAAACTACACAGGTTCAGAATATAGTAGATGGCTTTCATCTTCTTGACCTGGATGACCCAGGTGTAGACGGATTCCGAAGCCTTAATCAGGACCTGTCTCAGATAGTCCTCTGTCCTATGAAGTACCTGGACACAGAAAGAGATAAACAGGACTCTTAGTGTGGTAGATCACATTAAAAAGATATTCAAAACGCCAACATCTATATTTTAAACAAGAGGCATTTGTAAGTGTTACTATGTGAATAAGAGGCAGACATGAGAAACAGTGAAGAAAAGGCAGGGGATGAAAAAACGGTTCAACTTTCAGCTGAGGCCTCATGCTGATCATGTGCTTCAGGGGGTGAGTGCAATTCTATTTTACAGTCACAGTGGGTTAACGCTACCAAAGGATTCACGGTGAAATGCCCCAGACAGAAACTGACCCTCACAACTGCCAGGATTGGAGAAGGAGAAAAACTGTGTTAATCTTTTAGGGGGGAAAAAAAACAGCCTTTCAATTTAATTCTTTCTTCTTTGGCCATTGAAGACTGGTGAAAAAGGAAAATCCTTACTGGATGTAATGTGATTCACTGAACTCAAGATTTTCTAAAAGGCTTGTTTTGGAACATCTTGTAGTCCTTTACCAGGACAAGCTCATAAATGACTAAGAGAATATTTTAAACAGGGAGATTAGAGCTAACAAAAGGAAAAAGTAAACGTTTGGTGAATGACACACAGAATAACTGCTTTTTCTGTCACTCATTAAAACATCTGCATAATTAGATACTTAAAAGAGAAGAAAAAGAAGTAAAGACATACTGTGTGCAGGTCCTGAATGCGAGTTCTGAGTCCTTCCACAACATCATTCCTCTCCTCATTGCTACTAGGATAGGGATACAAGTGACAGTGGTAGCTATAGAGGGGGGGGAAAAGCATGTTATTCACAACGCACCACTACTAAGGCAGGCAAAAAAGTTAATAAATCAAAACCCATTTCCTAAACAAACCGATACCAGCCCCTGTTTCTGACATTAATAGAGCAACCATTAGGATAACTGATTGTGAAATTATTACCAGTCACAGATCTTCTTCACTTTCTGGCCAATTTGGTCTCCCCAGTAAGAGATCAGGAACACTACGCTTTTGGTCGGCTCACCCTGCAGATAGAAAATAAGAGGAAATGTTCAATCATAAGACCCGGATGCTCTATCGAAAATAGTCCAGAGTAGGTTTTCAAGTGCTGGTTACACTCACAAGTTCAAAAACTGTATATATTCTAAAAATTAACTTGTGTAAAATCAAGCTGTTCATTATTAAAACTAACTGAGATGTATTTGAGAGTGAAAGTTCATTCTTGACCTGAAAAGCACGGCTTTCTCGCCCCAATTTTTGAAAAAGCATGACTGTCGTTTCTTTTTACGCTTTTATGTCAAGCCTTTTCTTTTCACAAGATTCATCGACACGCCAACATAGCTTGTAATTCTTCCTGATTTTCCATCAGTGAAAATAAGTCCTGACATTCCACTACTGATCAGCCGCAGTCCTGCATGCCTGCCTTCTGATCAAGCAGAGGAAATGGATAAGTGGATTAGTGCTCTCCCACAATATGAATGGACAAGATCGCAGCACTCAGTGTTTATGAGAACCGCAAGAAGGACTAGAACCGACTTCACAACAGGGTCACCGATGAATTTTCAAGACTCTGTTCTCTGCACTGTTTCTTAACAAAATCCACTGGGGAATCAAAACAAACTAAATGAAGCGGCAATGATATTTTTGGTCATATTTAACACCATGCACCATGTAACACCAAGCAAATATGTTTTCTTATTTTATTCTATGCTATGATATAGGAAATAATTATAATAAAGAAGATGAAAATACAAAGTGTTTTTCAATTTTACAAATATTGTTATTTTATTTCAGTATATATAATTTATTAAATTAGAGTATGGTTTATTTTCAATGGCTTTGAACATGGCACAACACAAAGATTTATATGCATCAGCTTATAAAAGATTTCTATTGCACACTCCTCTTACCTACAAAAAAGACAGACTAGAGAATATAGATTAGTCCCAAAAAAGCCAAAAATGTATCAAAATCATGTGCGGGCGCAGAATCTAAGATCCAATTTGTCATTAAAAGCATTTCTTGGATGAGACCCAAAATGAGTTATCAAAGTTGATATACAGCAAATCAGTAAATAAAATTTTAATTAATTTTAAGTTTGTTTTCTTGTTGTACCAAATGATATGTAATCCATAGAATTGTTTCTTCTACCTTTCCTGTTGATAATCTCAACCTGTAATGCAGGGAAGACATAACAAAAGTAATTCATCTTTAGCACAAATCGTGGCCACAGTTAGCTTTGACAAACCTACCGTGTCAGAATCTTCCAGATACTCTTCGATCTCCGCATAGCTGAGGATGGTGTAGCCTTTACACACTCGCCAAAGCATCCGCTCAAAGGCCTCGATCTTCCCCCTCTGAATAAGCCCAGAAATGAAACTGCAAGAGAATGAAGACTATTCATAAACAGCCACAGCAACATAGGAGCTTACAGGGCACACAAACTTTTTATTTAAAATATGACAATAATGATATCATGATCAACAATAATCTTCAATAAAATAACAGAATTCAAAATTCATTAAAAACATTGTTTATGTTCAAAATTACACTTGTAAATAAAAAAAATTAAAAAAAGATTGTTTTGTGATTACACAAGAAAAACTTTTAACAATAAAATTATTGTTTTTTCCACCGATTCTTTACGAACTCTCTTTTGCACTAGCAACTTCACATTGATATTTAAATTGTTATGCTCGCAGCTTAAAAATATCCAAATAACTAACAGTTACAACTAGAGCCTGATATAAGCTAATTGCAAATAAATGTATTGGTGTTTATAACAGCCAATTAATGACAATTAAAAAAGAAACGGCAAGACAGACAACGGCCCCTTCTATCATGTTATGAGTGGTGTTGTTGCATACTATTCCCACCGGGGGGCACTCTGCAGCTCCCCTGTTGTACTGCCCACAAAACACAGCAATCAGCTGACATAATCAGCAGTAAGTATTACTTATAACAAAAGAAAAAAAGTTTACTTTTAAACTGCATTATGTCATGTTATCTTGGTAAGGTCTCATAACTATACATAAGAAACGTTATGGATAATCTTTGTCTGTGTTATATGTTTCTAAAAAGAAGGGGGAAAAAAAGAAGGATATTTTCCGATAAATCAGAATAACAAATTTTAAAATCCTCGAATATCAAAATAGGTATCCCATATCGGTTGGGCTCAAGTGACAACCAATAGCTTTTATTTTGGGCAATTTTGTTGTCTTTATTGTGGATAAAGAGAGAGAGAGAGGGGATGACATGCAGTAAATGAGCCACTGGTCCAATTAAAACCCAGGCCACTGCGGTGAGTTCATGGTGCATGTGTTTTATTAGATAAGCTAACCTGCACCTGACAACCAATTGTTATCTGGATAAATTAATTAGGAAATAGGGATGAGGGAGACACATGTGCATGTGAGCAATTTGATTAATGTCACAGTGGCTGTAGCTTTGATGTTACCTAAACAATCTTACATTATTGATGTCACATTGTGCTCAACTGAACAAAATACAAGCTGCCTGCTGTAGCTGTGATACTTTCTATGTTGCAGAATAGCGGTAGTAGAGATTAGATATATTTCTTTTAAAACGTCTCTTTTGCTGCACATTCTCAATGCTACTCTGATGAAGGCAAGATAGTCAAGTTTGGTGAATAAAGCAACGTTTTTTCATTTCAATTTACATTCACATTCAACTAAATGTCTGTCTTTTTTACAGTGTCCAGAGAATTCCCACACCACTGAGATAACTGTTTTGAGGAGTACAGACTCTAATAATAAGGTTTTGTGTGGGAGACAGAGAGAGTAAAAAAAAAAAAGGAACAAATAAAAGTGCGGCTTGCCTCATTTTAAACTTTCTTTAAATGCGTAGCAGCAACTGTGCAACCCATTTACTTTTTCGGCATGATACCATTGTGGCTTAAATATCCCAAGATATTACTATTTAATTTTTAAAATGTCACGACTATTGTGAAAACTGGTGAACAGTGACAGACCTAGTGCCTAATGTCAACTCTTAAATAAATCCATGTCCAAAAACTAGCATACACATAACACTGATATGGCTAGCAGAATTTCCATCCCTCACCCCAGTTTGGCTCCTAGCCTCTGCATGCTGCTGTAGTCCATCGCTGTGTCTTTTTCTAGGAAGGGAAACTCCTCATACTGTACTTGTATGGGCTCTCGCTAAAAGTAAAGACAAGATGCAAGCGGATAAAAAAACTCAAATCGCAGAGCCGAGCAGATTCTAATTGCCATATTGAGAAAATAATTATTTGCCAGACAACACACATGAAAATGTGGATGACACACTAACCTCAGCAGATCTCTGTACAAAGTTGCGGGTGATGCGCAGCATGTGTGTGTACTCCGTCAGCTCCAGCAGATTCCTCTGCAGCTTCTCTTTATTCCTGGTTACTTCACCCAACTCCACTTCTAGCCTCTGTAGCTGCTCCTGTGCGCACACACACACACACACACACACACACACACACACACAGTGATATAGCATAGTAGCATTAACTCTGTGACACTGTACAGAAATACCACTGTCAACATATTATATTCAAAAATTATAAATGACGATACATCAAAAAGTAACAAACCATAATCCCCATGATGTGCTTGGGTAAAGGAGCCACTGGGTTCATGTCTCCTTCTGGCAGTGAAATGTCTGCTTTCTTGACTTCCCTCAGAAGGTATCCTGTTTAAAATAAAGAGCAATCTTTTTTATAACACACACAAATGGATCCGTTCCAAATACCTTGAGCAGCCTTTGAATAACATTGTATTTGGAGCAAAATCTGACTGTGTGTTATTCTCTTCTCTTAATCTAATAATAAAAGATTAGTTAACCAAGGATGGCATTTCATTCAACTAAATCTACAACCAGCTGACATTTCTCATGACTGTAGGGTCACTGGCTCTCAATTCAATTCAGTGAGAAGGTCATCTGTGGCTTAATTGTACTTCCTCCCCAAAGCTCGACTACAACTCCAACTCAATAAATAGATAGGGAACTTTACTGGTAAACTTCATGTTAGAAGATCAAATTATCCTTACCAAGGATCCTCTCCATCTCTTCACATTTTTTGATCTCATTGACATGTTTTCGCTGGAATGCGTTCACACTGGGATTGAGCTGAAACAGGTGCAGGAGACATTCAATTCAGTTCAATTCAATTCAATTTTATTTATATAGCGCCAAATCACAACAACAGTTATCTCACAGCGCTTTTCATAAAAGAGCAGGTCTAGACCGTACTCTGTGATGATATTTACAGAAGCCCAACAGTTCCCACCAAGAGCAAGCAGTAGGCGACAGAGGCAAGGAAAAACTTCCTTTTAAGAGGCAGAAACCTCGAGCAGAACCATGGCTCAGGGTGGGCGGCCATCTGCCTCAACCGGTTGGGGTGAGAGTGAGAGTGAGAGTGAGAGTGAGAGTGAGAGTGAGAGGGAGGGAGGGAGAGAGAGAGGGGAGGGAGGCAGCCTACACAATATACACACAGAGGTACAGACAGTGAAGGTGATGTTGCTATAGACTAAATGAAAAATGGTACAGATATTTATAATAGTGTTAATGGTAACCATCGTAATGTTAATGATTATAATAACAATAATAACAATAAGACTAGCAACAATAGTCGTTGCAGCAGAGGGTGTCGAGCAGGAACACGGGGGCAGCAGGTGACCCGCAGCCACAGATCCAGAGCCAGAAAACCTGCAGGAAGTGATAGGAGAGAGGAGAGAGACGAGAAAGCACAAGACTACCAGAAAGGGGAGAAGTTGTGTTAGTAACATCCAATAATGGGATAAGGTTGTATACAGAGGGAGAGAAAGTAGAGGAGAGAGGAGCTCAGTGCATCATGGGAAATCCCCCGGCAGTCTAGGCCTATAGCAGCATAACTAAGGGATGGTTCAGGACTAACCTGAGCCAGCCCTAACTATAAGCTTTATCAAAGAGGAAAGTCTTAAGCCTACTCTTAAATGTGGAGATGGTGTCTGCCTCCTGAACCCAAACTGGAACCTGGTTCCACAGGAGAGGAGCTTGATAGCTGAACGCTCTGGCTCCCAGTCTACTTTTGGAGACTCTAGGAACCACAAGTAACCCTGCATTCTGGGAGCGCAGTGCTCTGGTGGGGTAGTAAGGTACTATGAGCTCTTTAAGATAAGATGGTGCCTGACCATTAAGAGCTTTGTAGGTGAGAAGAATGATTTTAAATTCTATTCTGGATTTTACTGGAAGCCAATGCAAAGAAGCTAAAACAGGAGAAATGTGATCTCTTTTCCTGGTTCCTGTCAGAACACGTGCTGCAGCATTCTGGATCAGCTGAAGAGTCTTTTTCGAGCAGCCTGATAATAAGGAATTGCAGTAATCCAGCCTAGAAGTAACAAATGCATGGACTAGTTTTTCTGCATCATTTTTAGACAGGATGTTCCTGATTTTCGCAATATTACGTAGGTGAAAAAAGGCGGTCCTTGAAATTTGCTTAATGTGAGACTTAAACGACATGTCCTGATCAAAGATAACTCCAAGATTCCTTACAGTGGTGCTGGAGGCCAAGGCGATGCCATCCAGGGAAACTATATCTTTAGATAATGCATCACGGAGGTGCTTAGGCCCCAGAGCAATAACTTCAGTTTTATCTGAGTTTAACATGAGAAAATTACAGGTCATCCAGGTTTTAACATCCTGAAGGCACATTTGAAGTTTAGCTAACTGATGAGTTTCATCTGGCTTGATTGATAGATATAACTGAGTATCATCTGCACAATGAAAGCTTATGGAATATTTCCTGATAATATTGCCTAAAGGAAGCATATATAAAGTGAAGAGGATTGGTCCAAGGACAGATCCTTGAGGAACTCCATGAGTAACTTTGGCGTGCATGGAGGACTCATCGTTAACATGTACAAACTGAAATCGATCTGATAAATAGGACTTAAACCAGCTTAGAGCGGTTCCTTTAATGCCAATGAAATATTCCAGTCTCTGCAATAGGATCTGATGGTCAATGGTATCAAATGCAGCACTAAGATCTAATAAAACCAGTACAGAGACAAGACTTCGTCTGATGCAATAAGGAGGTCATTAGTAATTTTCACCAGTGCTGTCTCTGTGCTATGATGAGCTCTAAATCCTGACTGAAAATCCTCAAATAAACTATTGCTCTGTAGAAAGTCACACAGCTGTTTAGCAACTGCTTTCTCCAGAACCTTAGAGAGAAATGGAAGGTTAGATATAGGTCTGTAGTTGGCTAAAACATCTGGATCAAGTTTGGGCTTTTTCAGAAGAGGTTTAATTACAGCTACTTTAAAGTACTGTGGTACATAGCCTGTTGATAAAGATAGATTGATCATATCTAGTATAGAAGTGCTGACTAAGGGTAAAACATCTTTAAGCAGCCTAGTCGGGATGGGGTCTAAGAGGCAGGTTGATGGTTTAGATGAAGAAATTATTGAAGTTAGTTGGTAATGATTGAGGGAAGCAAAACAGTCTAAACATGTATCTGGTTTTACAGCTGTTTCTAAGGTTCCTGAGTTAAGAGATAAGTCGGTGCCAATTGAGGGCAGGTCTTGGTGAATTTTGTCTCTAATAGCTAGAATTTTATCATTAAAGAAGCTCATGAAGTCGTAACTACTGAGAGCTATGGGAATACTTGGCTCAATAGAGCTGTGACTCTCTGTCAGCCTGGCTACAGTGCTGAAAAGAAACCTGGGGTTGTTCCTATTTTCCTCTATTAATGACGAGTAGTACGCTGCTCTGGCATTACGGAGGGCCTTCCTATAAGTTTTAAGACTATCTTGCCAAATTAAACGAGAATTTTCCACTTTGGTGGAACGCCAATTCCTCTCAAGTTTCCGTGATATTTGCTTTAATTTGCGAGTTTCAGTATTATACCATGGAGCTAACCGTCTTTGTTTTATTATTTTCTTTTTTAGAGGGGCAACAGAGTCGAGTGTCATTCACAGCGAGCCTGCAGCACTATCAACAAGATGATCGATTTGGGAGGGACTGAAACTAGCATAGGAGTCCTCCGTTACTTTGTGACTAGATAATGTATTTAGAGCTGATGGAATCCCATCCTTAAATTTAGCTATAGCACTATCAGACAGACATCTTGTATAGAAATTTTTGCCCAATGGCGAGTAGTTCAGCAATACAAACTCAAAAGTTTTCAAACAGTGGTCGGACAAAGAGGGATTCTGTGGGAACACCACTAAATGTTCAATTTCAATACCATACACCAAAACAAGGTCGAGGGTGTGGTTAAAACAGTGAGTCGGTTCATGAACACTCTGAGAGAAGCCGATGGAATCTAACAGAGAGATAAACGCAGTACTAAAGCTGTCATTCTCAACGTCCACATGAATATTAAAATCCCCTACAATAATAACTTTGTCCGTTTTAAGGACTAAAGTTGACAAAAACTCTGCAAATTCAGATAAGAATTCAGAATACGGGCCAGGTGCTCGGTACACTATAACAAAAAGAACTGGTTGCAGTGATTTCCAACTTGGGTGCGAAAGACAAGGCTTTCAAATGAGTTATAGTTTAGTTTAGGTTTAGAGCTGATTAGTAGGTGCAACTCCACCTCCTCGGCCTGTGCCTCGAGGAATGTGAGTATTAATATGACTGGGAGGGGTGGATTCATTTAGGCTAACATATTCTCCATCACCCAGCCAGGTTTCAGTAAGACCAAATAAATCAATATCATAATCTGATATTAGTTCATTTACTAGTACACCTTTAGAAGAGAGAGATCTGATGTTTAAGAGTCCACATTTAACTCTCCTATTCGTTTGCACTATTGCTCTTGTGGTTTTAATTTTTATGCACAGCTCCTCTTCTGTTTACCTTTTTAAATAATTTCGATGGTCGGGGGGCAGACACCGTCACTATAGGATTTTCACTAAGTAACTCCTGAAATGGAGGAGCAGAGAAGTGTGTTAGACTGCGACTCTGCGTAGGGTTTTGGGTGGGTAACTGCTGAAAAAGAAGGGCAGAGAAGTGTGTTAAACTGCGACTCTGCCTCCTGGTCTCAACTCTGGGTTGTCATGGATTTGGTCCACTAATAAACAGATTTCTAGAAATGAGAGCTGCTCCTTCCCAAGTGGGATGGATGCCGTCTCTCCGGATCAGACCAGGTCTTCCCCAGAAATTCTGCCAATGATCTACAAAGCCCACATCGTTTGCTGGACACCACCTCGACAACCAGCGGCGGAATGACGACATGCGGCTATACATGTCATCACTGGTCAGATTTGGCAGGGGTCCAGAGAAAACTACGGTGTCCGACATTGTTTTTGCATATGTACACACCGACTCAACATTAATCTTAGTGACCTCCGATTGGCGTAACCGGGAGTCATTACCGCCGACGTGAATAACAATCTTACTGTATTTACGTTTATCCTTAGCCAGCAGTTTCAAATAAGACTCAATGTCGCCCGCTCTGGCCCCAGGGATGCACTTAACTATGGCCGCTGGCTTCGCTAACTTCACGTTTCTCAAAATGGAGCTTCCAATGATCAGAGTTGGTTTCTCAGCGGGTGTGTCGCTGAGTGGGGAAAATCTGTTAGAAACGTGAACAGGTTGATGATGCCCCGTGGACTTTGAATGCTTACGACTATTCCTCCTTCGGACAGTCACCCAGCCACCCCTTCCTGGCTGCACAGGAGATGCCGGGGGACGGCTACCACAGGCTAACTCAGGCCGTTCTGCACCGACTACCGGGGACTGGCTAGCTACAGTAGCTAAAAGACTGATCTACCAAGGTGCGGAGCCGGACTTCTAAATCACTGAGCCTCGCCTCCATGTCTATAAATAAACTACACTTATTACACGTACCATTACCGCAGAGGAGTAACTGAACATCTGACACACCGAGCAGGGGAAAGTAGGAGAGAGAGAGGGAGAAGGAGAAGCCATCGCTAGCTGCTAAGCTAAAGTACTGTAGCGTCAGTTACCAAAACTTTAGAACAACTATGAGATTGAACAGCAGTCACTAAAAGATGGAAAGAACTGTGAGTGCTTAGGCACACACACAAGCACCGGAAACGGAAATGAGTCGACACGCTTACCGCAATAAGTCAGCAGTCAGAGTGTATTAATACTACTCAGTGTATTGAGTAGTATTACTGAGTACATTCAGTCAAGAATTGAATGACTAACAATCCTCATCCCCACTCATCACGGTCACATACCCCTATGATCGAGACAAACTAGCAAACTAGAGCGGAACAATTAATCAGCATTTCACTGGAATCGCAATATGGCCTACTGCAATTTTCAGATTGCAGGAAGGGCAATATTTGTTAAAGGTGATGTGTGTGGCCTACACATCATATTATAGAGACTTAAGGAAACACTTGTTTGGTACAGATCCCTGCAAAAGAAAAGGCAGTATGTATGATTTTCAATATAAATGAGAATAATGATAGTAAAAATGATCATGGCAGTAAGATATAATTTTCCAAATCGTTCAGCCCTACGATAAACCTCCATAACCTTTACAGTAAGTAGCTGCATGGGCCACTTTACAGCAGCATTTCCCAGGTATGACCTATGGGATATCAGGACTATCGAGTGACAATTGTTATGGAAGCTCGGATGGTACGTAAGTTACTACGAACAAACAGCACTTTGTCGAGCTTTCAATGTTGGCAAACTTGGCAGTAACTTTCAAAGTGAGACATTGCTGTGTTTCAGGGGATTAAAAGCGGTCTGTTACGGGACTTACGTCTCTGAACTCCACAAGCCCCAGTTCTCCAAGTTCATTGATGCAGTCGTATGCTGATCCAGACTGTAGAAACAGTTGTGCCAGGCACATATCTTCACCTCGGAGCAGAGACATTTTGACAGTTCACTCTTATATGTACCTGCTCAGGCGAGGGGCTAATACTAGCAAGCTAACTAGTGCGGTTCCTGTAAGAGATCCGTCAGTTGCAGAGAGTCAAATCCTTCTTAGTGCTTTTCATATCTTGGCTCCGGTGTTAGTACAATATTTTACTAACTTAGCATAACAGACACTTTAGCTATCGTTACAGCAGAGGCTCTTCCTGTGTTAGCTAATGTGCTAGCCAGTGAGTGTCGTGTTGTTTGTTCTGAGATGAATAACTTCTTTCATCAAAGTTGAACATGAAACTGTGAGTCAACCGTAGTAAGACCGCTAACGCAGCACATCCAAAGACGTGGTCGCAAGTCCTTTCATAGTTTGTGAAGTTTCATAAGACGTCCGCTCGCAGTGTCCATACTCCTACACGTCACTTCGCACTGTTGAATACGATCAACTTCCACACAGCAGTGTTACCTTTGACCAATGACTACCGCCTCCTGGAGTCTGCGCACCACACACGCTCTCAGACGTGGGGCCTTTGAGCCCTCAACGCTGTCTGAAGGCACATATGCCTTCAAACACAAAATAAAAAAGTTTAACATTTTCTTTGATTAAAAGGCAGACTTAAGTAGACTGTCAGAGCTTAACATGACTCTTTATGGTCCAGTAACAGCTTTCTATAATCCTGCAAACATATTTTAAAATGGTGTCTAAACAAGTATCTGGAATTTTTGAAAGTGGTGCAATCATTTTCCCTGGGATGATGATAGTTGTCTTCACACACACAATGTTTATTCTGTAAATATGTTTGTCTGCAAGAATAAACCCTTATCACGACCGGATTAACCAGACTGCCCAGGGCAAAAACTACAGACCCAGGTTGTATTTTTCTTTAAGGAGGCACTAAGAAAAAGATGCAAATGGGGTAAACCAAGAAGACAAGACACATGAGATACATCTTAGTAACCAGAAAATTATGGCAAAACTTCAGCAGATTCTTCATTGACCATATTTATAGAGATTTTACATTGAGGAGGGAAAATATGGTATTTTGTTTTTATTAAAGTCAAAGAATATAAGTACTTTATAATAAATGTATTCATTCTAATGGCAAACTTTGTATAACTAACTTTGTACTTTTTGTCCATGAGGTTGTAATATTTAAAAGCAATAACTAAAAGGCTGTAAAACCATATGGCTCTCTTTTAGCATCTTTACATAATATAGACCACCCCTGGCAACATTGTTAATTCTCTTATATATTTGTATACTGTTCTATATACTTATCTGTGAACACCTTATTCCTGTTTTTGCTACCTAGAATCATAAAGAGCAGCAGCTATGTTACATTCAGTGTTGTCTGCATAACACTGAAACAATACTGTGCTTGTGCGTGATGATCGCTTGTGGGAACATCTTAAACCTTGAAGAAACATTGATCCAAAGTCCCTGTGGCACTCCATAAAAACACAAACTGAACGGTGGGATATAACTCAGATTGAAAGCTTTTCAAACCTTTCAAATCAATAAGAATGCTGTGGAAAAAAAGTCATAGAAAAATATCTTTATTACAAAATGGTGCACCAATATTTATTAATATTTACATTCCCACAAACATACTATAAACATCAAATTGAGAAAGGTGTAATTACATTTCAGTGACATTTAAACACATCATCTTGTTCAGCCTCTCACGCTCCCATTAGTCTGTGTGTGTGTTCCTCTACATTTTTCTCAGAGATTTAGTGAGTGGCACAGTTCCATGCCTGTCGGATTTGTCTCCATGGAGTCCCAAGAATGGAGGCAGTGATAAAGAAGAAAACCAAGATAAGGCCCTTAGCCAGTGACTGAGAATATGTCTCACCTGGGGAGGGTAAAGGTAAAATAAGTGAGTAGTATACATTGTTATACTTGAGCAGTGTTTCTTGTACTTATGTTTCACAGCTGTGGGATATGGGAATGGATTTTCTTTTTAATTCAAATGGTACACTCTGGGATCAAGTGCACTCACTGTTGCATTTAAAGGCACATTACACATTACATTAAATATTGATGCAATTTAGACATTAAGCTGCTTCATTGTTTTTTTAACAAATTCATAAGGCTCTGATGATGGCATGGTGGATACAATGATCTAATTACATTTTACATCAACACAATTTCCAATTTACTGATCAACTAACACTAAAACAATAAAATACTGGACAGATTTCCTAGAACTAGATAAATTCCCACCTGTGTAATACTTGGTGATGGGGAAGGCGAGCTCAGGCCAACACACATCATTCCTGTTACAGTCATACTCTGTGAAGTTAATCTGAAACCTGGGGGAAAAGTAAAAAACAAAACCCATCACACTCTAGGTTAGAATCAGTCAGGCAGCTCATACATGAAGTAATTTATTTGGCTCACGTAACAACCCTCTAAATGCGGGCAGATTTGCTGACTGAGGAAGCACCTGGTTTTTGGTGGTCCTGTGTTAATAGGAATGTCAGTAAAGGTGACTGAAGAGGTGATGGGGAACAACCGAGTCTCCCTTGGGTCCAAACATGGAGAGACGTCACCTCCTCCACAATCCAGTGCCCAGGGGAACAGACTGTAGCTATATGATATCTTACAATGATTAGCATCTCCTCTTGAATTAAGAATACAATTTACACTGTGCATTGCAATGAGTATAGACCTGATCCACACCTGACTTGCAAAGCACGGATATCCCTTTGAGGTAGGCCTCCTACTATGCCAGTGATAAGACTCCAAACATGGATATGCTGGTGGGATGGAATCCCATAGCATGAACTGGTGGTGTCCTCTGTGGTTGTGCTTGAGTTGAGTGTCACAACTGGGATTTGTATGTTGTGTGGTAACATTTAGTTATAATGAAAAGGAAAATGATTTGGCAGAACATTAGACAATTTGCTTTACAAGTTAAAATAAAACTGTGCAAGTGGTTTAAACTATAGCAAACAGAAAACTTTGCATGAATTGTTTCTTTGCACCATCTACTTACAGCTTATGTTCACCCAGTCTGTCATAGTAAGAGGATCTGGGTTTCCACGCTTTGCCACATATGTGGCTGTAATCAAAGCTGCCTGGAGAGAAGACACAGTCTCTCTGAAGGAAAAAAAAACATATTATATTTTACATCAGCATAAATACATAGAGATAAAGATCAAACGTGAACTTGTGCTGAGCTACTGACCTCACAAGGTTACACTGAGTCAGATTTTGTCGGCTGACAGGTAGCAGACATCCTGATGTTGAATTTTCCCCATACAGAACTGGTTTCTTCTCAGCAGTGGAACAGAGTCCATCACCTACTGTTAACCAGATCAGAAAATGGTGTTGGGACCATTACGCTACATGCAGTGAGCCAGTAATCAACAACATGACTTAATGGGTTTTACCTGGTTTCCAAAGATTGATTGACGTCCTCTGTATTGATCCTGTGTTATTGTCCAAAGTGTCCACAATTCCAGCAATAACAGGCCTTCCCACCTGATAACCTGTCATTTAAAATGTACCCACTGTAACAGCTACTGTGAACTATTTTCAGACCAATTAATTTCACTATTTCACTTGCTCTCACCTGGGTTCCCTGAGTTGGGCTGAGCTATGAATTCTCCATTCAGAAACACAGCAGAATACCTTGTAGTTAACGCCACTGTTCAGGAGACAGAAACACAAAAATTAGCCCAAGCGACATCAAACATATCTATCCACTATGACTGGAGATATTCCAAATCATTTCACTTACTACTACTATTTAAAGTGACGGTCCCGACAGTGCGTGTCAGTGTGATACTTGTGATGCCATTTCCTTTCCAATAGAATTCGTAATCCAACGCTACTGTCACATTCTCACATACCAGCCTCTCACCTTCAGAGAAAAATGAACAAACTTCAGCATTAGGGTTAAATGTCAGTTTAAGTTGTTATAATAATGATGATATGATGTAATCTCCATACCTGAAAAGGTAACAGCATCTGCACTTGATATAAACTGAGTCAAGTCAATTGCCACTTCATCAATTACCTCCACTGCAACATCACCTGGAATACATCCCAAAAAATAAACCAAAAATTAAAGACACACGGAGTCAAAGATCTCCCGAACATAGCAAAGCCTTGCTACAGTATGTTTAGCAGGTAAAACATACCCCCTTGCCCATTCTTCACTTTAATCCCCAAAGCCGTTGATAATGTCCGTAAGGGAGATGCAGTTGGACAGGAGCGTAGCAGAGTAACACACTTCACATTGAAATTTTCCAAAAATGCTACAGGAGCATTGTTTACACACTGCCCGAGCACATTCTGTGGAACAGTAATATCCAAGGTATTAGTTGTTACAGGGCAACAAATACAAAGTAAAATAGAATCTAAAAAAAAAACATATACACAACTAACCTGAGGAATAGTGAAGTACTGGTCGTTTAACGTAAAAATGGGACTTCCTTGAATATAAACATTAACTGGCACTGGAGCTGACAAAACAGGCTGTTGGAAGGATGGGCCAGGCTTTGGTGTACTAGACAAATTAAAGGTCAATGATCAATGATTAAAAAATGACACAAAATTTCATACATTAACCCCCCCCCCCCAAAAAACAACAACAAAACAACAATAATGTCTCACATTGTGTCTCCCTGGTAAAAGAGTCCAAGGTAAGGGTTGTTTTCAGGCCAAGAATTGACACACAAAAATGGAAACCAATCCGGGGAGTTTTCAGAGGACTGCACAGAGCACTGATAATCTGGAGTGGGAGAGACCTGTCCACCAAAAGGCCCTGGGAGACAGTGGGACACAAACAGCTTCAAATCCTCAATGGAACAATCCTGTTAGAGTGAAAAACAATTAAGTTATTGTTGATGAATACATTTGCCTAAAATGCACTTTTGTTAAAAGAATGTAATAATGTGAGCGATGTAAATACCTTGTCACAGCAGCAGCGTACGTCACATGCTCTGAACGTGAGGTCACAGGGACAAGAGCCGAGTGGTTGGTACACTTGGTTTGGAATGACTGTTTTATTATCTTAAATAGACAGGAGATTTATATTCATTAGAAAGGTGGCACCCTCTAAGGGCTTACATCGTTAGCACGATGGTACATTCATTTGAATTACCAGATCCAGCATTAGCAGGAACCAACAGGGCATGTATCTTGGCCTGGATCAGCAGTGACGCCTGAGGTGTGCCGCCCACACAGGCAGACACCTGAAGGGCCTCCAGGACACACAGTGGCTTTGGACAGCAGTCTGTGTCGGTCTCATTCTGTCGACACAAACGCAGATTTTTCTCCAGTGTCAGCTGAACTCTAACTGCAGTCTGGGGCACAAAATAAAACAAACATGTGGCAAAAAGACAAACAGATGTTCAGGTTATAATATCGGCTCTATTAATTGTGGGAGGTTTTTATAACTATACACCATGTCTAATTACCTCTAACTTTAGCATTAATATCTGTGAATATGATGAAAATGACTGTTCACTTCTTGGCTTCTTACCTTTCCCACCTGCTCCCTTGTGAGCACCCACTGTGTTACCTCAGCTACACATGATGGAGGACCAATGCTTCCTGTAAAAGCAAACCATCATCAACCAACAAATCTAAAATACAATCAAAAAGTAGCCACATCATTGCCTTCTGTCTTAGTAGAGGAACAAATCCCCCCCAAAAGGCTTTAGTTTTTGAGATGCCCCTACCTGAGATAGAACAAAGCACAACCTTGTTTTTTCATAAGTTTAATGTGTCTAGTTGTTTAAGTGGATGGGTGTATTGTAATGGTTGGTTGCGAAATTAGTTTATTTGGTTGATGTTAGGACCGTCCCCCAAACCGAAAATACCGAAAATTTGGATTTCTCCAAAAGGGACAGCATCTGCCCTATCACATGTATCTCTGGAAATAAGGATAACAATATCATCAAATTTGAACTGAGCCTCTCCACTTTTGGCCTTAGATCCTCGACTATCTCTCTTTTTGTATGCAACTAAACTTAAGAATGTTATATTCTGGGAACAAAATATTTCCAAGCACCACTCATTTCAATAGAAACCATCACAAATTCATCAGGTCATGATCTGGTAGAGCAAGAAAAGAAAACATAGCTTAACTGGCAAACAATAGAAAACAAGTCCCATAATGAGATGCAATGACAAGGAGGCACACAGACAAATGTTCAGCAACTCTTAGTTTTGGCAGAAACGGAACCACATATGATGCTAAAGGTAGAGCAACAGGAAGTCTTTATAGCTTTTACCTGTTGTATTGGATGGAGAAACTCTTCTCAGGTTCAGGGAGATGTCCGACGTGTTTCCGAGTAAAAGTGCGGTGACTGCCGGTCCAGTTGCAGTGAGATATGACGGCTGGAAAACTGTTCATCATAATGGTAAACATTTCTTTTAACTGCTCCGTGTATCAGCTTTATACAAATATTTTATAAGTAATTCAACTGAAGTAACTTTTAACGTTAGCACGACTGCCTTCTAACTAGCTCTTGCGTTAGCTGCGTTAGCTAGGTTTGCTATTATAATGTAAAAACTGGATGAATTGTGCGCATATATTAAGGTCTTACCGACAATGTTTTGAGTGTGAGCCAAGGAAATTAAAAGTAAAACACGTGTCACCTGGCGTGAAATGGACAGAGAAAAGAATAAATCAACCACGTTAGCCATTTGGTCCACTTCAGATTATAAGGTCAACATATTAGTAAACTGTTAATGAAGTCTTGGCAACGCAGATCTTAACGAATCACAGCCTAGGAAAGTTCTTGTTCTGGGGGAACAAGAGAAACAAAATTATACTTAAATGAAAGAGCGACCTCGTCTGACCTGGAGTGGTTAATACACTCTGCACTTCAGTGAAACATAATGATTGTCTTTTATATTGTAGTGTAGTGTACTATTTCTTTTATTGGACTGACCGGGGACTACAGATGAAAAATAGCCTTCTGGTTAATTCTGGCATATTTACATTGATGCACGTAGAGATGTTCATTAATGTGCACTGTCCCTTTTGCATAAAATAGATAAATAGATGCATAAATAAATATATGTAGCTATAGTGAAAAGAGTATACAGAAATTTGGGGCGGCATTAGCTCAGTCTATTAGGACTTGTTTTGGAAACCGGTGAGTTGCCGGATCAAGTGCAGCACGACCTATGCCGAAGGTGCCCCCTGAGCAAGGCCCTGAACCCCAAACTGCTCCCCAGGCGCCGTACTATCCATAATCATACTACCAGAGCTAGATTCACATAATATACATAGGGGAGACCGAATATGGTTGTAACGCTTTTTGCTTCAGTAACTATAACTCACTGATTTTTTTAGCTAGAGTTCTCAAATTTTTATACAAAGTACCCACATTTGTTCACTACAAATGGCACCAATTCAATCCTTTACAAGAATATCACAGACCTTGTGAGTTGATGTCAAATATAATAATAAAAATAGATGCCACACAATATGAAATGCTTCCAAAACAGGTAGTTAGATAAAAGAACAATGTTTCTCTCTTGCTGTAACAGACTTTGTCTGATGACCCATGCGCATGGACAGTATGTGTATGTAAATGTAGCCTATCTATAGAATAAACTTACTTAAAACTATACCTAATAAATACTACTAAAATGTAATTAATAAAAGAACATCTCATGTGCATCCTTAGGTCTAGAGGTGAGTGTGTGTATGTGTGTCAATGTGTCTATATTCTTATTCAGAGTCACAGTCAGTACTTGAAGTGGGCCGGTGTTCACCGGTACGTACCAGCACTTCTATATTTTTGGCCTACTCTTTGGACATTTCCTTGCGCACAGGCACTTCTCACAAGCTGCCCATACACTTTTCTACCCTCTCCACCGGCGGAGACCAAGTATGGAAAAGGTAGAGTGACGACACACACGAACATGTGTACAACTTGTGAATGGGGAGTACTGGTCACAGTGCTGACAAATTAATGCTGGTAACCCCAGAATGCGGGCTTGGTGGGCCCAGACTGCATAGGGCAATCTGGGAAATATTAAAATCAAGAAAGTACCTAGTTTTATGTATCGTGGATAGTTGTAACACTTCTTAAAGAAGTGTTAAAACCCACCCCACCCCTGTCAGTCAATGTTTAGCTAGCTGTATTACCATAGTGGTTTGAAATTAGAAACATGCATCACATGTTGCCTGAGAAACTATATTTCAATCTAATATAAGTCAAACAATTCTATCTGCAATAGTATAGATGCTAAACAAAAATGGTCTTGGTCAAAAACTTTACTTTCCAACTTCAAAATCATTTTTTTCTCTATATATTCTGAATGCACCTCTTTTCAGATGAAGTAGGTAAATACTGAAATGATCACCTAACTCCTAACTTATCTCTAATTGGTGGAATTGGTGTTGTTACAACTCTCCCCATGTTACAACCATACCTGGTCTCCCCTACACATACATTCACTACTTTAAAATTCTTATGCCTATAAAGCAAAGGCTAAACAGTGGCTTCAAGTTCTTAATGTGTAATCTTTTTAATTACTTAGTTAAAAAACTATTAATTAAGATACCTTCTACTTCACTGATATTTGCATCTTGAACGTGTTGTCTTGTGTGATGCGATTTCCTCGTGGGTATCTTTGATGCTTTGCAAACAAAATGCAGTTGAAATAAATCTTACTGACTACCTACCTCTAGGTGGCAGCATGTCGCTGTAATTCTATGATGACTGCTGTTCCAAGAATAATAGAAGTAGTTAAATCACGTGACCAGTCTGCGAGCGTGCTGCCAATGTGTCCGACAGCGTTACAGCTCTGTACAGTGTTAATAAAACAATGTTGTCGTTTGAAGACCTTATGACAAGGCTGCAAGACTGTGTGATCGCCCAGGATCAAGCCCCTGAAAATGTTAGCCAAACACTCGGGCTCTTTATTGACAAATTGTCTGAATCCTCCAGGTTGGTACCTGTAACCGTAGCATGTTTGAGAACACGCTGTATTTGTCACACTTGTTTTAAGTAAAGTGTGATAATGACCGTATAATTATGCTTGCATGAACAGGAGTAGTGTGAAAAGATGTAAGGAGCGCTGTTTAGAGGAGGCTGTCCAGCTGCTGAGACAAATTCCACAGGCACAGCTTCATGTTTTAGAGGAGAGCCACCTCCTGCTTCTTGTCAGACTCCTCATCTCCATGCAGCTGCAGATGGTCAACATCTCCACAGCCTGTCGTAAAGTGGACCAGGTCAGCCCTCAATATGTCTGTTCACTGTACGATTCTTAAAACAAAACGGAATCTCTTTAAAGCTTCATCTTTGTTTGACAGATGTTGCAACATTTGGCAAAGGTGGACCACCCAATGGTTTTCAGAGAAATCCACCACTGTTTGCACTCCATCGTCCAGACTGACCAGGTACAGAGCTCTCATTTCACTTGTGTTTGTCATGTATTTGCATAAAGGCACTGCAGATCACTTTTACCGTGTCGTCTTTTCAGATATTGTCTTTTGAGGATCAGCAGAGAGGTTGGTGCTGGCTGGAGATTATTTGTTTTACAGTATGTCACACATTTTATCACTCAACTTAATAACTTATTGTTGTTTGTTATTACCTTTTATAGCCTGCATGTTCCTGGAAGACAGCGCTGTCGGTCGTGAAGTGTGGCGAGAGTCATACCTTTCCTTGCTGATTAAATTGTCTGAGTTTTTCCCTGTTGCATTGCAACAAGAATCATTGAGAGATGGACCGCTTTGTTACATTGCTGTCAAGGTACGTGAAGAGCAGCTGTGTTTCTTGAATCAGTCCATTGCATTCATCACGGACTTGTTGTATAATCTTTGTGACGGACCTGAGAACTGTGATCTCCGCAGGTGTGTTTGCAAATATTTCAGCTGTTGTCCAATGAAGTGGCTCCTCTAGTGTGGGACAAGGAGCATGGGGGACCACCAGTGCAGACGATCCTGCAGGCTCTAATGAACATAATACTTGGACAGGTTTCTCATTAATGCATTAGTTCAGTGTCACTTATTCAAAAGATAGACACATTTTTAGTCGTTACCTTTGCTTGGTCTTAATCCGTCAGTGTATCCTGCCTTGCAGAGCTGCAACAGGGACACTCGTCTTTTGGCAGGCACTGCTGTGGCCATGCTGATCAACACAGCACAAGAGAGCACAGCTGGAGAAGCTGCTGCCTGGAGTCTGTTACAGGTCTCTCACCTAGGTAGGTAACCACAGACACTGCTGGACAAATGGCATGAGCAAATCACAGTTTGGAATTTGACCCAGGTATGTGGCCATGTACATGGATGTGGTCTTTGTATCCCATTTCATTTTGAGTTATATCCAAAAAAGCATAAAAGCTATATATGCTACAAATTCTACAAATGACTGTGAATGCCTAGAGATTCCTGACAGAATAGCTTTTATCCCTGTTATTTCTCAGAGCCCTGGCTGCTGACTATTGGTGCTCTCCAGGTACAGTGCAACCCCACTGGGAAGGACGGCGTGGATAGGCTGGCTGTGAGCAGGGGCCTCCTGACCTGCTGTCGACCTCACATCTTGCTCAGTTCACACGTGGATGCCAAAGAAGTGAATATAGTGAAAAGCTCACTTTAAAAAAAACAAAAAACACACATTTTACTTTGTTTGTGCTTGCTTTCATCACAAAAATCCATATTTCCCTTCTTTTCAGACGTGTTTACTGCTGAACGGTTTGTTTCCTCTGGTCTCCACTTTGTGTGAGGAGAAGCTGGGTTGTCACTACTTTGCCTTCGAAGGTGAGTAATGTCCCGGTTGTTTATTCATGTGCGTCAATGTAAATATCGCCTGTTCAATTATGACATGCTGTTGCAGTATTAACACTGTGGCTGAAGAAAGTTAAAGAGTGTCTGGCTGATATGTGGAAGAAGACGGGCGCTCGCCTTCTGCCTGACAACAGCAGCCTGCAGCAAGAGCTCATTCACATTATCTGGACCAATGCAGAAAGCCCAGTAAGTCATGTTAACATCATACTTTCGTTGCAATTCAAAAACCTGAAAAACATTTAAGTAAAGGGACATTATTTGACTTTGTAAACTCAATGGAAAGCCAAATAATGCAGGTTAGTTTACAGTATTCTAAGAACGTTTGCTTGACGTTATCCTAATCTATCCTACGTGGCATTACTAAACAGTGCAATTTTAGCTTTATTAACATTAGCTTGCTAGCTTCTCAAATTATTTAAATATGTATTACTGCCGTTACACCTCACTGATGTCTGTTTACTGTGCATTGGCAGGTGGAAGGTGTGTCGGACTTTGTGCGCAGTGCCTTTTGTCTGCTGCTGGACATCTATGAGATGGACTGTGAGCAGTTCGGTGACACAGAGAAGACTCTTTATTTTACTCTACTTCAGCGAATAATCAAACTACCATGGGAAGCCAAAGGCAAATATCATCGCCTTTGTGCCCTACTGCCGTATCTGGGTTCTGACATGGTGAGGGTTAAGTGTTATTACAGTGTTAACTGTTATAATGTTGTCAGTCGTGGTCATGATGACTTTCGATGTTTCTTTAATCGATCAGGTGCTGGATCATTATGCTGAAATACCCAATCATCTCCTGAAATGTTTGTCGACTAATCACCTGACGCCATGTGGATCGGAGCTTTACAGGTGCCTGATCCAGCAGCAGAGACGAGAGCTGTGTGATGGCTCACAAAACTCTGCTTCACGCACTGAGCTGGAGCTAGCCAATCAGTGGGCGAGGCGTTGGCGGCCCGTGCTTCATGAGGCACTGACGTCTGATGCAACTCTTCTACAGAACAACAGCTCAATACACTTATTACCCTGCACCTTTCAAGTCTTCCCCTCCGCTGTGGATCCTCTCCTGGCCTCCCTGGACCCAGTCCGCCCTGGCCACCTCCACGCTTGGGCCTGCATCATGAGCTCCTATCGAGCCGTGACTGGAGGCTCTCCCTGGGCTCTGCAGGGGAGCTTAACCCTTGAAACCCTCCAGCTAGCTCTGGGATCAGCAAATGACAAAGTCCGTCTCGCTGCTCTCAACCTCCTCTGCTGCAGCCCAAAGACCAAAGACACTCCAACCGCAGAGGAGATGTCAATAATGAGGACGTTTATTCCTCAGAACCTAAACTGCGAGTCCTCGCCTTTTCGACAACATTTTCAGGCCAGTGTGAAGAGATTTCTGGTTCGGATCAGAGACAGCTGCTTGGCACATATCAGAGGACAGAAGGGCAAAAAGAAAGGAGATGCCACCCATTCAGAGAGGGCACGGGATATGCTGGATCAGGGAATAGGTGAGATATGACAGCTGTTGATTCAAAATCCCCAAAAATGAAATGTTCTACTCTACAGACTGATTATCATTTAGCATACTGTCCATACTGACAGGTATACATTCCTATATTCCTTACTAATGCTCACTAAATTACTACCTTTCTGTTTTCCAGTACACCTGTTGTTCACAGTTGAATGTTGAATTATTTTGTTTAAATTGATAGAGGTAAAATACTAATAATTAAATCAAAAATAGAAACCTACAGGGAATACTTAGTCCTGCAATCAGCCCTTATGGACAAATGCATTGGGACACAGCTCCACATTACACCTACAGGAGCTTTTATGACATTCCATTCTAAATCTATAGGCATATGGTATTGGTACCCTCTTTGCAGCTATACCAGCTCCCACACTACTAGGAAATGTGTCTGTGGGAATGTTTGCCCGTTCATCCAGAAGAACATTTTGTGAGGTCTTACACTGATGTTTGACGAGACGGCCTGGCTCGCAATCTCCATTCTAGTTCATCCCAAAGGTGTTCGATAGGGTTGAGTTCAGGGCTCTGTGCAGGCCAGTTGAGATCTTCCACACCAAAGTATTCCAACCATACCTCTATGGACCTTGCTTTGTGCACTGGGGCACAGTCATGCTGGAACAGAAAAGGGCCTTCCCCCAGATTGTTCCCACAACATTGGAAGCACAGAATTTCCCAAAATGTCTTGACAAGCTGAAGCATTAACATTTCCCTTCAGTTAAACTAAGGAGCCTTGGCCAACCCCAGAAAAACAACCCCACAGCAATATCCCTCCTCCACCACATAGTCAGGCAGGTAACGTTTTCCTGGCATTCGCCAAACCCAGACTCGTCCATCAGATGCTTGGCATTGTGCTTGGTTATGCAAGACTTGCATGCAGCTGCTCAGCCATGGAAACCCATGCCAAGCTTCCCGCGCGCAGTTTTTGTGCTGATGTTATTGAGGTTTGGAACCTGCTCTGTAACTTTACATGGTCTGCTGTCTGCAATAATAGCACTTAGAGTTCATTGTGGAATATGTAGGAGAAGACTTTTCACGAACTGACTTGTTGCAGTCGGGGTATCCTATTGCAGTACCGCGCTTTAAAGCAAAGTGAAACAACTAACATCTCATCTCATGGAGGCTTAATCACCTGTACCTAACTTGAAATTGCACTACAATTCTGAATGATTTAATACATCAAGGGGAAGGGGAGGACAAATAAGGCTACTGGACCTAATAATATCTGCCTTTGGTGGATTATTTGCAATGTAGAGTTCTGTCTTTTTTCAGTAAATCTATTTTATTCTATTCTTTTCATCAACACTTTTTTCTTTGTGTGTCATGTAGGGTTTGTTGAATGGTTGGGTCAACTTCCATACAGCTATCTGGCACCAGGACACAGTTATCAGAGGAAGAAGACAGCGTTGCTGTTGCTGTCTGCAGTGCTGGAGACCTGCACGGACACCTGGAGCCCAGACAAAAAGAAGGGGCAACCTCCAGGTCTGTTTGGCAAAAAACAGTGAAAGAAGGCCACCCCCACCCCCCCATAAAAAACCCCCAAATGTATTCTATATACTACTGTATGATGTCAATATTAGGTACTATGTGTAAATAATAGTTTTACATTTTTTTAGCTTGGAATTTTAAAAACTTCATGAATTCAATTTGCAGCAAACATGGGGTGTCTTACTAACTGTGCCAGACAAAGAGGACAGTGGGATTTCATCTGCAGGACAAAACAGCTGGTCCTTATCAGCTGTTTAGAAGATTCTACAAATGAGGTAGAGCTGCCTTAACTGCCTCAAGGGTTGCAGATAAAATATTTTAGAGAGTAGATAAAGGATATTTTTATTCTTTTTCAGATCCGGGAGCTCTCAGCTGGGTTACTGTTGAGATTTTCCCCACCCAGATTTCCTGATGATATCGCTGCAGTGCTGCTCGCGCGAACCAAACAGCTTCTGTGCAGCCCTCGGGTGCAGGAGGCTCAGATGGGAGCACTTATGACGAATGTCCTCCTTCATAAGTAAGCCGTGCCTCCTAACATGCCCTCGTTCGGAGTTATGCCTTAGCCTTGAAGAATAAGCAGTCATCAGTTGTTGTTCTACCTGTAGATCACAAGACCAGCCTGAGGACTGCAGGCTGAGCACTAACATTACTGTCAGCAGTGGAAGTAACCAAAAGGGCTCTTGTATGGTCAGATTCCTGGTGAAGGAGCTGGAGGAGCACTACCTGACAGCCAAGGCTGACATGATGCTTGCTGCCAGAACCAAGCCTATACACAGTAAGACTTAAGATGTACAGCACTAACATCCACCATAAATTATGTTCAACCCTAGAAAATGTTGTTCAGTTGTTTAAATCCTGTCACGAATTATGTTCCAGGTGTTTTAAGTGCACTTCAGAGGTGTTTGCTTGAGGCACCCAGCGGTGTCTGTGACATACTTGATCACAGTCTGACCACTGAGGTGCTGGGCTTGCTGGAGAAAATCTCTCTGCTGCTGTTGGGTGTTCTGTATGGCGACCAGGATGCTTGTGCCACTGAAAAGGGTAAGAAACAATACCGATTTGGGGATGAATTACATGACATTTCAGATTTATTTATGAGACCACACAGGAAATTGCTCTCCTCTGTATCAGATGCCCCCCCTTCTTTTTGTGATATGGGAAATGCCATCAGCTCTCTAATAGCCCAAGCGTCTGGAGGAAGCCAAGGGGATGGAGAGGAGTGTGTCCTGCTGTCTGAAGAGCACAGCCTCGTTCTTACCTGCTGCTGGGTCTCCCTTAAGGTAAAACAGAACCAGAAGCACCATTAACCAAAATTATCTCAACATGGCAAAGGACTGGCAGTTTAGCTTAGCATGTTTGCTGCGTGTGTATTTTTTTCTCAACATGACTTGCTTTCATGTTTTCTCATTAGGAAATAGGAATCTTTTTAGGTTCTTTGGTGGAGAGAATTCTCACAGAATCCAAACCCAGCAAGTGCCTTCTAACAAAAGAGGATCTAATGAAAGCATCAAAAGTATTCAAAAGTATTCTCCTCAAATGCCGTCACTGGGTAAGTTTTATAAATCCATTTAGAGGCATTAAGTCACGTCATTGCTCCTGTTCTCTGAAAAACACACTTCTCTTCACCAGGGGGCAGTAGAGGGATGCTGTATCGGCTTTACCAAGTTCTGTGCCTCTCTATTAAGCAGCAATGATCCAGATCTCAAGGATATCCCAGCCCAAATGCTGAAACAAGTGAGTGATGACACGTGTGTATGTATTTTTCCATTTTTTATTAATAAACAGAGATGCTGGACTCCAGGCTTATAGATGCATTTTCTCTCATGTCTCTTTCTAGGGATTGCAGGTTGTGCAGTCCCCTCGTTCCACATCAGTGACCCGGCGGGCTGCGGGGTTGCCTATGCTCATCCTATGTGTTGTGTCAGCAGGGGAAGCCAGCAAAGCAAAACAACTGTTAGCCCACAGTATGCAAACCTTACTGGAGACAGCCAAAACCCCTCTACCTGAGAACTGGGACCAAACACTGGACCTGCCACAGGTTTGTAGACACAGCCATAAGAATGAGGGTATTGGTCTTTTTAACCACAAAGGCAAATGTGGTTACATCATTTTCCTTTCCATTACAGGTGTGTGCGGTTCACACTCTGCAGGCCCTGGTGCGTGGCTCAGGTCTGGGAGTAGCTGTCCTTCAGTTTGCTCCTGCTGTTGCCATCTTGTCACTCACTCTGCTCAGTTCTCCCTGCTGGGTCATGAGGAATGCTGCCCTGCAACTTTACAGTAAGACACAGGCACATATAGTTAACTTTACTTTAAGTCCAAATTTGTAAAATGAAACATGGCTTATCAGTTAATCTACCCATTCATTTCTTTATTAAATGTTTTAATTGTTTAGTCTTTAAAATGGCAAGAAAATCAGTTATTATTTATTCAGAAAATGAATTTTCTCTCTTTTGACTAATTAACTAATTGAATATCTGGTCTAAAAAATACCCCTAATGCAACATTAATTAAAATCTTCCAGGTTCTCTGTGCTCGCGAATGCTCGGCCAGCGGCCCAGCAGTGAAGAGGCTGGCCCCACCCAGCATGGCATGTCCCCCCTTGCCTTCTTCTTCCACTACTCTGCACTCCAGCCCTTCCTTCTGGGCGAGCTGAAAGGGGCAGCGCAAGACCTCCAGGGTCCACCTAATGAGGCCAAGCTGCACCTCCAACCCTCGCTCTACCCTGTCCTCACTCTGTTAGCCCAACTCCAGCCTGGTGTCCAAGACTCAACAGAGTGATTATGGTTTACTTGTCACTTGGCAGTTAATAATAATTGTTATAATTCTTTATAGCAGTGGTTTTCATCTAGTATGTAGGTTCTTATTCCAACCAAATTTTAGACCTGTGTATTCAATAATTTGTTCACCTTACCAGTGAAGGAGGAGCTTAACAAAAAATAGCTGATTTAATTAATTAATAGTGTGACTGAGGACCACTGGTTAAAGGAATTGTTTGATAATTGCTTTCTTTCCAAGAGAAAAGATTAGAAGATCAATGACATTCTTATTTGTACAGTAAATATGTAGCTGGAGCTAGCAGCCGGCTAGCTTAGTTTAGACCAAAGACTGGAAACGCGGAAAGCGCTGGTTTGTGGTTGTCCAAAAGTAAAAAAACCCACCACGTTATATTTTCCTTTTTTAAAATAAAGTATTTTATATTTTATTAACACATTATATCTTGTTTGTTCATAAAAATGACAACAGTTGACAATTTGCAATTTATCCTGAAATGGTCCAGCATACAACCCCCAGGAAAACTGTGAATTTGTAAATTTTTTATGCTACACTTTTTTTGTACTGATTAAACAAACAAGATATAACTTGTTAGTTAGTGAACTAAGCCTGGACAGAGCCAGGCTGTTTCCCCCTGTTATAGTCTTTATGCTAAGCTAAGCTAAGCTAACCGTCCGCCGGCGGAAGCTTCATGTTGAATGGACAGACCTGAGAGTGGTATCGATCTTCTCATCTAAATCTCTGCTATTCCTTTAATAGTTTGGCATTTTATACTGTATTCATACAAAGGTGTGGGGAAGGACTAAGTTGAGAGTGAATGTCTTTGGTTTTCTTCTGCCAGAGCTTTGTCAGACTTCCTGCCTCCTTTACTCCAGCTGTCTGCCAGTCCCATTTACAGTGTGAGAGTGATGGCCTCCAAGGCTTTGGTTGCCCTGACTCCCCCTTCAGAGTACATGAACATCCTCATCAAACTGGCGGCTCAACTGCCCAGTCCAGAGGAGCGCTGCTGTCACAACCGGCTCCACGGACAGCTGCTGCAAATCAAAGCTATTCTAGAGAAAGCACTCAGCACAGACAGGTGAGACTTAAAAGATCTGTTTATTCCTTCATCACACAGTTTCAGGCTTTGAAATCCCGCTGTGTTTCTATTCCCAGTGCCCGTTCAGCTGACCTGTGCAAGGTGGTGAGCAGGGTGGATGCCTCGCTGTGGCTGGTGACTGAAACCCAACGCTGCCCCCTAGTGAGAGCAGCCTATATCGCAGTGGCCGACTCACTAAGAAGATTCTGCTGCGAGACCTACCTGTCAAAGCTCCGGAACACACTCATACATGACCTCCAAACACCTCAACGGGAGCTTCAGGTGTGTGACACACATGCAGCAAAGGTCCTTGGCCCGGAATCAAACCGGGGACATTGCATTTACATGGTATGTGTCTTAAATGCATCAGTATTTTATTGTAATCAATGTGTTCACATATGAACACAACATTTTCTGCCAAAGTTTGAACAGTTTAGATTATTTCACGTGCAATGTCTGCCTGTGTGGTTTTTTTCTGTGCCATTCTCACTGGTTTTAAGTGGGCAGGTGTTGGACAAAACATGATGTCATGTATTTAGGTGTACCAATTAGGATTCATCACTATCTGATGATGCCATTTTGTTTGTTATGTTGCTAATCAGATGTGATCAAACCACATCCACACATCCCTGATGAAGCAGATAAGCTACGTTTTAGAGCATTAAACTCATAAATAAAACGCAAGAATGTTTTTACCTAAAACTAAGAACTGTGAATCTAATTGTTGCTAATTTAGTCAAGAATATTTACTGTAATACAGAAATACTCAAGATCTTAGAGTCCTTAAAGCCCGGCCTAAAATATTAAGTATTTCTCTATAACATTACATTTAAAAAAAAAAAAATGTTATCACGATAAAAAATTATATATCATTCCATATCATGATAAATCACAATAAATGTCATATCATTATTTCTTTTAAGTTTAATGGCTGATTTTTGCACCTTTGTGAAAGTTGAAAAAAACAGATGGTTAATTGTGGTTCAAACTATTCTTTATGGTCAGAACGTGACACTTACCAAACAGTGGATCACTTAACAAATCTGAGGTAAAACAATAATGAAAAAATCTTTCTTTTAACAAATATACATAAGCAAAATTAAGTGAAATCTTTTTTCAGTCTCTTTCCTCAACAAAATAAATATCTTAATAGAAAACTGAAGCGCTAATTCTTTCGTGATTCAAATTAATTATATCAAACATTTATTGAACAGTTGTTATATTGTTATTGAGGAAAATTATATCGGGATAATTATCATTATTGTTTAATTACCCAGCCCTACATCAAAGTAACACAAAACATATTGCGAGGTAGCGCAAAAGTAGTTTAGAATAAAAGTTGTTCCAACTTTAACAGAAAATTAGGGCCCTATCCCTCAAAGTAAGTTGAGAAAATTAGTTTTCAGGGCCTTTAAATCAAGTATTCAGGGGCTACCAGGATGCCCAACAGATATTTTTTCTAATGCTTTATCTATTTCATCTCCACAGGTTGGGTTGTCTTCCTTCCATCAGCAAGCCATCCACTTTCTATGTGCAGATCTTAAGTGGGCATGTCAAATCTGGTACAACTTCTCTGCAGTGAGCCCTGATCTGAGGCTCTCATTGGTTACGTGGGTGGTGGATGGGCGGGGTTTGCAACAGACCAGTTTGAAAGATGTGATCCAAAGGGTGTTGCAGGTGAGACATAATCTACTCCCCAGACTTCAACATTAACCAGACAACAACAAAGAAACAGCCTTTTCAAAAACCCGTCCAACAGCTTTCAGTATAACGACCTTCTTAGAGCACAATGTGAGGAAATTGAGGAAGCAAAGATAGGCTTAAATATAAAGCCATCTGAGGCTGAAATCTGGCTGGAGATGTTTTTTCCTCTGACATAAGGGTGTGTGTATAATCTATTATGTTCTGTCATCAAGGAGACTTAAGTACAGTCAGTTTGAGGATTTCTGTCCTTATTATTTCCTGTTCATGTAGGTCATTTAGATTATCCCTCCAGCATGTTACATTATCTAGAGCACCCAGTTGTGCTGTCCCATGTATATCCTGTTAAGTGTTTAATTGACTTTCTTTTAAACAAGCTTGATAACATGTGATAATGCATATATGCAGACAAAGATAGGGACTACTGTTCTTGTTGCCTAGTCATTTATTTTACAGTAGTTGTTTACCCTTACGTCATATACGTGGGAACCCTGCTGTCATGGATCAGAGTTAGTTTAACTGTAGTAATGGTAAATGAAAAGATGTTTAGAAATAACACAACGGCACTGCGCACTGTAAATTGTAAGTAACAGTAACAAGAGAAACATGTAATGGGATTGTCAGTTAAACTAGGAAAATAGGAACTGCACAAGGTGTTTGGATTGTTGGAACTGAACCAATGGAAACCACCAAAATAGTGTAGTATTGTACTCGCGTTGCTGTTTATATTTTCATAATTTTTGACATTACTGTGTGATTAAAAACAATTTGAAAGCTTTACATTTTTTTCCATACATATCAGAATTTTCTTGTTTCTGTGCAATCTCTTGTATGTTTCCTACTGAGAGCCACCAAAAGCACATTGATCATTTGAGTTGATCAAAGGACTATACTAATGCTCTTTATCCTCAGTCAAACCTGAGGGAGGCATTGTTGAGCCAAAGTGTGGAGTACCGCAGGACCTACCTTGCAGCCCTTGTAGCAGTGATGGCCGGAGGTGATTCTACTTTACTCCCACATCTTGCTCAGTCAGCCCCACTGGAGGAGCCAATTCTGCCTGAGTGTCTGGACTTGTTTCTTGGGGACCTGGAGGACCGGCGAGGCGGGCCCGAGTTTCTGTCCCAAGCTCTTTATGCTGCTAGTCTGCTGCTTTCTCAGTGCTCAGACTCCAGGTTTTACTTGTTTTATCATCTTTTCTTTCTTTTTTTTTATTTCAGTATAGAGTCACATACCAGCAACATCTACCTGCAGCTCTGACTTTCTTCTTATCTTTGTGCAAATCAGTTCAAAGATATCCGTCTTCCAGCGCTGGTGTAACGTCTTGGAGTGCCAGCGGTCCCCAGATGCCCCAGAATTACTCAGGATGGCGTGTGCCGAAGCTCTGTGTGTGGCTGGAGTTCCACTAATGAGCCTGACAGAGCACAGCACTCTGCCTGCCATCAAGATCAGGTATGGATGAAGTCAAACAGTGTTGTCAATGATATGATGACAGACAGAAATTAAAATGGTTCGTTCTGGTTTAGGTTGATCAACACGGGTCTGTACTTGCTGCAGGACCAAAGCCAGCAGGTGAGGACAAAAGCGGCCTGTTTTACCTCCATGTTGCACCATGCGAGAAGAGGAGAAAGCCAGAGGAGCGTCTACCTTATGCAGGTCAACCAGGCTCTGCCGCGCCTCCTTGACCTGATGGTGGATGAATGCTGGGATACTCCAGGCACATTGGAGGTGTTGCTGTGTAACCTGCCTCAGTCTGACCTCAGATCTGTGCTGAGAGAGGCCTCAGAGACTGGGTATGTTACCTCACTGAATCGATACACTTGTACAAAAAGACCAACCCTGCCTGAGTGTTGCTTAACTGTTATTATTGCTTTAGGTGTTCCAGTCTGTATGAGCAGGATGAGGCCAATGTGTTTGCGGAGCCCTCTGTGATGTCTGCACATGTGTTGCCTTACTTGCTGCAGATGGCTGAAAAATACTCTGAATCCTCTGCTTTGGCACAGAGCCTGACTGCATGGGCAGAGGAGAGTGCTGCACAGGTGCTGGACAGCCTCGCATTCTGCAAAGAGCTGCAGCCAGGTACCACATTAGTGTGTCAGTCTGAAAATAAGAATGTGTTTGACAAATGAATATGTGATGTCTAAATGTTACAATGTGAGTATTTATTCTTGCTCTCTAGATGAGACATTGACCCCGGCCTGGCTTGCTCTCCTCATGGACCCCCTTCTCCACAGCACTCTGTGCGGCCTGTTCACCAGGGCTGCCTTTCTCCTCCGGCTGTTGAAAACATGTGATAATGTACAGCACCTTTGTGATCCTTCATCCCTGCACATGTGTTTACAGGAAGTTTGTAGTCTTCTCAGCCAGAACGGTGTCCACTTTCCCTCTGCTGTGACAGCTGCCGTGGCTGGAGAGCTGCCACTATGACGGAACGGAGGGCCTTTTTCTGTACACTCAATGAGCAAAGCCTTTTGGCCGATGAAGCCCGGGATGAAATTACCTGTGGATATTTCAGGAATGCTTATGCCATCTAAATGTGCAGCCTTAGTCTTTAGGGAGTGTTGCAACTGCTGAAGCTGCAGTACACCAGCACTTGGCAGACTAGGTTATGTAAGAGTTCAGTGACTTCAGTCAGTTGTATCCATCATCATATTACCTATTCAGAATAGAGACCCATTGGGTATTAGGTGCCATGTGCACATGAGGAGAGCAGTGTAGTAAAACAGTTATCCCTCAGAAGCTCCAGTGGCCAGTTTTTGCTGCAGTGTTTTTCTAAATAAGAGTTTATAAAGTTATATTTTCAGAAACTTTTAATTACAGGAATAAAGCTTTTTTTATACAGAGGTACAGCCAGCAGAATAGCCTAGAGATCTGTCTTTATGGTCACCATTACCCTAAGCAATATAGTCATTCTTATTCCTCGAGCAGTGCTCCTGTCCTCTGTTGTTCTGAGTTGTATGTTTGCCATGTTTCAGCAGCAACAGTAGCAGCACTCAGACTGATGCAGTGATGTAATGCAGAAGCATCTGGAGAAATGGGCTGCTTGGTGCCCAGCAGGGGAATATAGTGGATGTTTTAATGCTCCATTAGAGGCCTGCTGCCTGGATAAGTGTCCATTTTCCAACCACATGAGGGCTGGAGATGATTGACTGGATCTGATAGAGAGCTGGCAGTTGCTCCGCAACGGACCGCACACTAAAGCAGTCTTGCGTCATCAGATAGCCCACTGTTTTGTTTGAGATGGATCTCAGTATTAGACAAACACTGACATGACAGAGTTTGTACAAGCTATGAATTAAATGTGTATGCAAGTTTTTATTGTATCCTCTCAACATTTATTTCCTTTTGATGTGGTACTGTCAGAGGTGATTAAATTGCAGATTCTCAAAGTAGACGGTATCTAAACCAATTTATCAACATCTGACTGTAAACCAGCTGTTACAGTTTTCACTGTTTCACATACCTCTAGACATACATAAGGTACCTCTATTTCAGTTGAGGTTTCCATTGTGCGTGCTTGTGAGCATGTAGATTATGCAACAGCTATGACATTAAGCTTGTATTAATGATTAATATGTAAAGCTTATGCAATGTACTTCCCTTTGATCCACACCTACATTAACGCCTGGTGTGTAGAGCTCTACGAGATTAACATGTGTCTCAAAGGAAGCTACAGGTGGTTCTTGTCATGTTCTTGATGCAGAAAACAAGCTAATGCTAGATAATGAACGTTATAGGGAAAAACAAATCTTGAATCCACAGGAATTCTCACTAAATTCGAATTATGCCACACTTAATGACGCCTACACTATGCAATTATTGATTAAACATGGCTGTGGCTGTTGCCAAAAAATCTAATTCATATATAATACAGTTTCATAGATTCACAAGTAATTTAAGACAAAGCTTCATAGCACAGACCCTTTAAAATACAAATGGAAATGTAGCTAGAGCTCTTGACAGTATGCCTGAATACATATGCACAGTTTCAATGAAAAAACAGGCATAATAATTTTACTTTTACTTTTAATCTATCAGACTCTGTTTGAACAATGTATGCAATATTATGCCTTCTGCCTCAACCTTGAAAACAAAGTTGGAAATTTCAAAAAAGGCAAAACCGCAAAAAGCAACGTGTGTATAAAAGTGGAAAAAGACCATCTGGCTTAATAAAAGCATTCGTTATCGTTACTGAGAGTGCTGAGTTTCTCAGTAAGCCTGCTAATTAAATGATTAACTATGGCAACAGGACACGAGGCCAAGTAGGAACAACCACTTTCATTGGGCATGTGTGGACACGCATACAGACTTGTGCACCATTTGGAGCATGAAAGAGTTTTTCCACTGTCCTATCACAAGTTATCAGGGGGTCCTAGCTCATTGTGCTCAGATGTTTTTTTTATTATAAAAATGGAATCACAGTAACCATCTTGATGAATTAAATGCTTTTTTGGCAAGTTTTGTCAGTTTAACTGTGCATTTAAATTTTTTAAAAAGAACCGTTCATGCTGAATTTAATAAAGTGAACTGTTGAGGTTGTTATTCTGTAAAAGTGTTTGTGTTTGTCTTTCAAATGACTTTGTGTCATTTTCCAAAGCTTGATATCTCCACTAAAACATATTGCAAACAAAGGCTACTGCACCACTGTCCTTACAAGCATTGCCCACTTCAAGTACTGGACACACTAAATAATTAGCCTGATACAATGTGAAGCCTGTAATGACATAGCAACACAGGGTTTTTGGTTTTTAGTCTATCATTTTAGTCTATCTTCAGCTATATCAGATTTTAGCAGTTGTTTCCACTCCTGAAAAAAAGTCTCATGTCAAATGTTCTGGTCTTCAGTCTACTCCAGCTCAGTTTAGTTGGTTATGGAAGTCCATTTCTGAAAATTTAATTAAAACAAAAATGCTGATGGTAAGTCAAAAATATGATTAAAAATAAATTATTGTCAGCAACTTCAGCTCACTTTACGTAGTGATGGAGGTGAATCTCAGCCAAGAAAAGAAAACAGATGGAAAATTAGGATTTAAATATTACAATGTTACAATACAATTTAAATATTGCATTATTTGGATTTACAATAAGCATTATGATCATCTATTTATTTATTTTTCTTACTTTTATGGTGGAAATTGGTTTCCATATGTTTTAGTTGGCTCATTCCCAATTGTGTCTATTAATTAAATGTACATGCAAGGTTTTATTGTATCCTCATTAAAAACTTGCATTGCACTTGCAACCCTCAGTACTTTCACCCAATGCATGCTGGGAGCACCCCTCTAACCCTGAATGAGTGTAATGGAGAGGGCCGGACAGATGCTGTGTGTTTGCTCTAGTAATTGCCTGAAAACTGGGTAAGCATCTATTTGAAAAGTGGCTTAGTGAGCATTGACTGACTCATGCATTGGCTGCCCTCTTTACCACTCAGCCAACAATGACAAAGGGCCTCTCTGCTGAGTATACAGCTCCCTGTGCTCAGGCAGACAGAGGCAAATACTATTGGCAGATGTCCTTCATCAGCCTCTGTAGAGTCCTCCTCTGAGGAAAAACAGGCCTCATGGGGTGGAGAGGAAGCCTGGGAAGCAGGAAAACTGGGGTTGGACAGATGTACCAAGCACTGAGAGCCAAATAAGACTCAGTTGGCAGGGGGAAATAAATGGTAAGTAAATGATTTTTAGTATGAAAATGGAAATCAGAGCAGCTATTTATAGACAAATACAATAAAGTAAGAAGCATGGAAATTATTGTTTGATAGGGAACAGGAAAAATAAAAAGAGGGTGGATTGTAGAAGTAACCAGAAACATCAGGTTTTTGCAGCTCAAACAAAAATGTGAATGAAATTCGTTGCTTTTCCAAGCCGACTTTTTTGACGATGTGTTTATTCTCACAAGGCTGCGTGCCATGATAAGTTGCCAGACTTTTTTTCAGCTTCTTTCCTGTGTGTTCCTGCGCGCGTGTGTATGTGTGTGAACCTGGTGAGGCTTTAGGACCTTGAGGTTTGTACTGCAACGGGCAGCTTCTTCTCCTCCCACTGAAGGCTGTTTACGAAGAAAGCTGGGCTCCTCTGACAAAAACAAGGGCTGGGACTCCAGCGATAGGAGCAGTGTGTCTGAAGCACATTCAGCACAGGCTCTTCGTCCATTTTGTATATTGTTTCCCAACCCACCGTTAATTTAGAGGAAAAGCACAGCAGTGCACCATGTTGTCGGTGAATTCAGCCCGTCAGCTCTTCAAAGTGTTTTTCTCTTTGCACGTTGTTTTCCTGAGCGTGGACGTCGTAGAGAGCAGTGCATCAAATGGAAATCAAAAAGGTAAAATGACACATTGTGGACTTGTTTTTGTTTAATTTGTGATATGTTTTAAAAACTGCATACAGTGTAGCCTGATTTCCTTTAAATTACGTGCATAATAATATATAAATGATTTTAATTGCACAATAATGTGCTTATTGTACACACGTTATGTTGTTATTGTTCTCAGACTGCATGAGATCCAATGGTGTGGAGTACACAGGGGAACAACAGAGCTCCTCCACAGGTCTGACCTGTCTAAACTGGACCAATACTACTAGAGACTATGATGTTAACATCCATCCTGACTCACAGACAGGTAAACTTCAATTGATGTCTTTTAATGCAGAGATCAGTGAACATCCCCTTAAATGAAGGATGAAGATTTGATCCCTCACCTGTTTATTGCTGTTACAGGATAACAAACAACTCTAACATCTTTCTTGAAATATTGTAATAATACATGTTGCTACGGGCAGATCAGTAAACACAGGGATGATATTTGCAGCCCACACTTCAGCTACTGCACCACTGATTTGTCAGTTAAAGGCTTCTTTTACACAGTAGCTGCCATTTCCTTCCTTTGTGCTTGTGGCAGCCTATTCATTGTAGTGTTGTGAAGTCCTGTTAATGATTGATGAATCCAGTGGTTTATCCACACAATTGGACAGACAGACATTCCCATGAGGAATCAGTAACAGACTGATGCTGTTTTTATCGTTCCTCCTGTAGGTGTGGGAGATCACAATTACTGCCGAAACCCAGACTCCTCCGAGAGGCCCTGGTGCTACATTGCTGGCCCAGATGGGACAGTCCAAAGACAATTCTGTGCAATTGACGCATGCAAAGGTAGGTAAACATTGTGCACAAGAATAATCACGAAGAGTTGTATGAGTAGAGTAGTTTGCATTTGCACAAAGAAGTTGCACATTTGTAGAAAAACAGCCAGAACAACAGCAGCAAAAGCCCGACCTGTTAAAGATAAATATGCAAATTCCACATTAATGACAAAACAACACTGAAATGGCAGCTTTTCTCACAGACTGTTATCTTGATGCTGCCGGCAATTACTCTCTCTTCCCTGTAAAGCTGTCATTATTTTAAAAAGTGGGCTATGCTAGGGAAAAATAATGAGGTGGAATGTTTGTAGCTATACAAATGTTCTAATTAGTCAACACAAAAAAAGATGGCTTGATGAGGATACAGCCAAATTTTTAATTTTGATGGGTCAATTAAAAAGTTTTTAAAAGGTTCCCCTTGGTGTAGTTATACCACAAAGTAACCATGTTGAGAGATGGATTCCTGACAATTTACTTCTTCCCATTTAAGAGTATTAGTCTTTTGCGGGTCAGTTGGTCAGAGTAAAGCCACTGTGAGAAGTCTGGTCTACTTGGCCCTTTGTTTCCTTCTTGTCTGGAAACCAGCTCAAGTCACAAAATAACAAAGCCCTGCCTCACATGTCAGAAAGTTCAGTTTCAGGAAAGGCATTGACCACGCCCAAAACCGAGCTCATTGGCAGAGAGGAACAGTCTTCCCATGGAGACAGCAGCTAATTGGCTGCTTCAATTTATGACTTCATGCCATTTCACTCCAGCAGAGTTTGTAAACAACTTGTATGGTGGAAAGAGAGTTAAAGAGCAGATGTTGACATCTGCAGCTCTTTAACCTTCCTGGCTGCGGAAACTGAGTCAAGCATGCAGAGCCTGTTTATGTCTGGCACAAAAAGCATGCGCTGGCCGATCTTCTAACTGATTTACGTTCCAACAATTTCATGAGAGCATTGTCAGGGCTTTCGTACTGCTGTTGAGGAGGTTGTTGCATCGGTGGTTCTGTTAATGGACCAGCAGTAATTGGAAACCACATAGTCCAGATGATGGACTTGTAGTCAAGTCAAATCAAGTCAAAGTGTATTTCAAGTGCATTATTACAACAAGTGTCTCCACACACTATACAATAAAGCATCAGTAACAAACCACTAAAATACAGAGCAGATGAAGAGAAATCAAATAAACGACTATGCAAATAAATATAAAGAATGAATCTGAGAGGTAAACAGTTCGTGTTAATGCTTTATAGAGACCCTACTGGCAGCTAAAGAGCCAGACATTTTACTCAGAAGTTAATGGAGACCAAGACAGAGTTAAAAGGAGAGTGAATCTTGGACTTAACATTTGTGGTAAGAAACGAGACTGCAAATAAATGATTATGTTGTAACTGCTAGATTTGTCATTAGTCAACTTTAATGGCTTACAGGTTTGCTATTGTTTCCACTGCCCCAAAGTAAAAATTTGTGTTATCAAAATGTGTTGTTGTAAAGTACATTTTCTGGAATATCAATTGATAAGCTTCCCGCCAGGTGACCCCACCATCTCGGCACGGATCACAGATTGTCTCTCGGACATATCTGCATGGATGAAGGCTTGCCACCTTCAACTAAACCTCTCTAAGACTGAACTCTTGGTCATTCCAGCCAAGCAATCTATCCACCATAACATCAGTCTACAAATTGGCTCCTCAACCATCACTCTAACCAAGGTGGTGAGAAACTTGGGTGTCATGATTGATGACCAGCTGTCCTTTTCAGACCATGTTGTTGCTGTTTCTCGGTTGTGCCGCTTTGCTCTATACAACATCAGAAAAATCAGGCCCTACCTCACTCAGTTCGCCACCCAGCTTCTGGTACAGGCCATGGTTATCTCTTGCATCGACTATTGCAATGCCCTCCTAGCAGGTCTTCCAGCTTGTGTGGTGAAACCACTACAAAGGGTTCAGAACGCAGCAGCGCATCTTGTTTCATGTCACTCCATTACTCTGTGACCTCCACTTGCTCCCCGTGGCCTCCAGAATCAGATTCAAGTCACTAATGCTTGCATACAGAGTGACTACTGGGTCTGCACCCATCTACCTAAACTCCATAATACAAACTTATGTTCCTTCTCGGCTCTACGCTCCTCCAACGAACGCCGCCTGGCTCTGCAATCCCTTCACACAAAGCAATCCCAGTCCCGGCTGTTTGCATCTGTGTATCACCACAATGGTGGAACGAGCTACCACACGCCATCAGAGCAGGAGCGTCCCTCTCTAACTTTGATGATGGTCAAATACATCCTGAAATGTTAAAGGGAGAGACACCCTGGTACAAATGATGCAAAACCTCTGATGATGTACTAATTTACAAATGTATACTGGGCTATGTTATATTCTTCATTTTGCACAACTCTGTGTGGTAAAACAATTTTCAAGTGCGGGTTACAGGTGTAGAGGGAGTAGTCTGCTCAGGAGGAAGGCTTTTGTGGCTGAAGCTAGAGCTCCTCTTGTCACTGGTCTTGTGTATTACCTGTATGTCATGTACATATTTTACTTTCATATGATTTAGCTTCCATTGATTGTACACCAACAGTAGCACAACTCAGAGCATCTCCAATTAAAAGTAATTTAACACTGGTATTGTGTATCGGGTCTTTAGAACAAGCCTCCACTGTGCCGGCGGAGACGAAATCCCTCAACCCAACAGGAACCGCTCCCTCCACAGAGAGCTTTCAGCTGGCCAAGTCAGGAGCTTCTCAGGGGGAAGTTGCTGCTGTGCAGCCAGTGATGGGAATCAGCCAGCGAGTGCGCACAGGACCCAAAAAGAAGAAGGACCTTGGCACGCTCGGTGTGTTGTAGTTATTTCTCGGAAAACATCCATGATGTTGGTGGTCTTACAAGGCATTCATTGCTACGTCAACTAAATATATTTGTGATGTACTTGTATGTTCATCTCTTAACGTTCTCCTTTTGTGTTTTTCAGGCTACGTCCTTGGCATCCTCATGATGGCAATTATAATCATACTCGGAGTAGGCATCACATTTGGCTACTTCTACAAGAGGTCAGTATCTAAATCACAGCATCATCAGTCATTTGGTTCAGTATTAGGGGATGTTTATGAAAGAGAACCCAATGTAGAGCATTTAATTATTCTTATATATTCTGTTTGAAGAAGCATCTGTTTCCAGGATAATTACATTTAGTACAACTACTGTAACTGTAAGGCCTAAAGATGATGCTTCAGATCATTCTTGTGCCTTCCTATTGCCACTGTCATATGTAGACTTGATGCGCAGGAGAGAAATGCGAGTATGATTACTTAAACACACATGAGAGCATGTGTGTTTATTCTCTCGTGAGTTAAGGGCATCAGCTGTTGTTCACATTCCCCAACAATGCTCTCTGTTGTTCCACTTTGATGTAATGCAGCCATTTTAATGCCTTTATCATGGAAAACCACAACAGAACATGAGGAGAACCATGGCAAGAAAGGAAATGCCTGCTGTTTATTTTAAGCATTCTTATTTTGTATTCTTGAAAGAGAAGAGAGCGTGGAGGAGGCTTCAGATTGGGTAGAGAAGCCTGCACATTAGCTACAGTTATGTAATATGTAAAATGATAGCCCCAGTGTTGTGAAAGAGGGCACTCTGATTCCCTTAGCCAGCACACAAAATACCCTTACAAATCTGTCTTTGCCTCTCAAATCTGATTAGCAGTGTCTTTGTTTTCTATTTTTAGGAGGTGATTATTAATAAGGAGGAGCAGCATATTATGTCAGAGGGTTTATACCTGCCCTCAGTGTACAGTGACATCACCTTCAATAGTGTGATAGTTGTGTTGCAAGCATGCCCATATTCTTTCCAATTCAACTGTCCCTCCTCTGGCCAGCAGTTAGTTGCTTTACACTACCCTGTGCCTCTTACAATATAAATGAAGTCGACTTTTTTCACTCTAGACTTCTCCAGGCCAGAGAGGCACTCAGAGGTTCATACTATACCCCCATTTGGAACAAGCTCTCCATCAACCAGTAGCACTAGGTAGTGTACTGACAAGGAAACTGATCCCTTGCAGGCTTCCCACCCACAAGCACTGCAAATAGCACCCTGAGGCTCTGCAGTGATGGGGAAGAGTTTTGGGATTTGGATGCCCCAAAGAAGGCACAGCTTCATTATGTTAACCTTTAGGTTGCCTTTGGATAGGGCCAGGCGAGCTGTTACCCCCTTGTTTGCAGTCTTTGTGCTAAGACTGTACACACTTCTTAACTAATTGCTCGGCAAGCAAAACAAAATGCAGATATGCGTGAAACTACATCTAACCACACCCTAGTGTAAAGAATAGGTGATAATGTGCAGTGTTTCGCACAGTATGTTGAACTGAACTAGGCAGGTAGGAAGTGTTTTGAATCCAAGAGTATATTGCCCAGTTTTGGCTCCAGATCAGTAGAAAGCAGCCTCGTGCTGCTTCCCATCACTGTGTTGCCTTGGAGTAGATAAACTCCTCGCCAGCTTGTCAGTTCTGTGTTCCCTTTCACCATCTGTCCCTTGTGTTTGCTGCTGACGAGGCACTTGTTATAAGAGGCTCTGTTATCTACATACAGTATGTTATGTGAAGCTCCTTATCATAAATATATAGTTTGGGTGGCCCCTAAAAATTTCGCAATACATAGTTTCAGTTACAAGACTACTTAAGGCATCACTATAATAATAGCTGTTTTGATTATACAGCAAAATAAGACTTGACAGTGATTGCTAATTTGCATGATTGCTTTGATCTTTAGCTCCGAGGAATAATTTAGGCAGCTATAATCAATATTCTTAAAACTGGATCACATGACTCCTTGTATGCGAGGAGTAGCCCGGACTGACGAACATGCAGAGAGTTATCACCTGATTCGGCGGTTCCCCTCAGCTCTACAGAGCGTTTTAGCTTCTTTCTGCTCATTGTTTTGGTTCACTCTCACTGCTCCAATAACATTATTTTCAGCCACAGCAGTGCGCTACCTGCCATCTCCAAACAGCAGACAGACACAGTTAGTGACTGGCTGGTGAACATAGTGGAGTATTTAGCAGCTAAAGAGCCGGACACCTCCCTCGGGAGTTAGTGGAGACCAAAAAAAGTTAAAAGGAGTGTAAACTTTTTCTACAGAATTGGTTCACAGGAGATTGAACATCACCATGGTGCATTAATAAGAATGTAGGAGGGACAGCTGTTTCCATTTAAGCCATTCATTGCCACAATACACACATAGAGCATGTAGAGCAATAGGAGATGATGAGGCTTGACAGTTTAGTTTTTTTTTTTATCAGGCACCACCATAGGTGTGTATCTGAAAGACAAAGACGGAGAGCCCTCACTTGTGGTTTGTGTTGCTGCCAGCCAGAACAAAGGGAATGGGTGGAGCATATAGAGTAGACCATGATTAGGAGGGAGCGAGATCAGGTGAGAATGGGCGGATCCGTGCCATGGAAGTAGGCAGAGGGTTGCTGAATAGTATGGCTCTATTCTACAAGGAGAGTGAATTTTGGACTTAACATTTGTGGTCAGAAACACAACTGCAAATTAATGATTATGTTGTTTCATAACTGCTAGATGTGACATGACTTTAATGGTTTGCTTACAAGTTAGGCATTGTTTCTGCTATTCCAAAGTGGCCAAAAGAAAATCAGTTATTGTAGGCAGAAACTTAGGAGGCCTAACTTGAGATTTGTAACAGCATAATGAATCTGTGTTCTCCGTTTGTCTTTAGGGGTAAGGACTTAAAGAAGCAGCATGAGCAGCGAGTGTATGAGCGCGAGATGCAGAGGATCACCCTGCCACTGTCCGCTTTCTCCAACCCCACCTGCGAGCTGGTAGACGAGAACACCATCGTAATCATGGCAGAGCCCGAGACGACCCCCGTCCTGGAGGGCGGGGACCCTCTTATGGGCCAGCAAGCCGGTACCCCCGGGGCATGAGTAGGCGTGTAGTCCTCAAACAGGACTGTGATACATTTTTGTGGACCAAAACACTCCCATCTTCATTTCTCCTCTCTGCCTCCCCGAGTAACCTCTGGTTTTAAAGGAGAAAGGGAGCAGTGTTCACTCCAAAAGACTTGAACTGAATGCTGTTTGCTGTGTTCCCTTTCCTGTGGTTTTTATACATCTGAGGCACAAACAAGATGATCTGACGCACCATGGACACAGTCTTAACAACTAGAAACCAACAAGGTGAATCTGTTGATAATGGAAACATGTCATGAGGTCTTTAATATTCATATTTTATACACTTAAAAGTCAAGAAAATCATGTCATGGGCTGCCCCCTTAAATAACAGTATGAATCTCTAGTCAAATGGACTATGACTAGTCAGTGTTTATAATGGTGTGTGATGAAACCAATTCTTCATAAAGAGATGGTGTTTTGAATGTGGGAATGTTTATAACTTTTTTTTGTTTGTATGTTTCCATGTGAAGAAGGTGCTCCCCACAGGAGGTGTGTGGTTACATGATGAATATGTGATTGCTTTTCTTTGTATTGACCCACTGGCTGTGCCGAGGGACACGCGGACAAGACACGCGTATGTATAAAGACTGCTTTGTCTTGGAGACACACTGGTGACACAGATGTGAGTGTCCAAAAATAGTTATCCTCCTCTGAGACAGGATGAGGGGACATAAAGTAAAACGACCCACTAAAGACAAGGGAAATTGCCGTAGCAGGATACTGAATGTATTTGTTTATCTTTTCCCGGGTGATTTTTTTCTCTTTGTGCGACTGATGGCCAATGCAGTTGCAAAGCATCAGGGCGGTCATTGGCAGACATGAAAGAGGACTTGCCCTTTTCTTCCACAGGTTAAGGAGTGACAGGGAACATATAGTGGTCTCAGGAAGCATGAGAGACAGTAGTTAGTCCTCAGGACAAAATAGCACTGCCTCAACACAGAACAGATGGTATCAAACAAAGACAAAGCCTCAAGTGTGTGTTTGCAGAGCAGGACAGTGAGTGTGTTGAAGTGCTGAAGAAGCCTGTTCTCAGATTAGAATCAGACACTTGAGTTATGACCTTGATGCTTGAGGGTAGACACAGTAGAATAGAAACAGTCAAAAGTTCAGGAACATTCAAATACATGAATGCATGCACATGGTTACCTGCAGTATGTTTGTATTCAGGGGCCATTTCTTTGCATCTTTATAAAGTAGAACTACTAATTGAAGAAAACATTTAGAAAATACCTGCCTGAAAATAAATCATCGTGCGATGAAGATTTTTAGTTTGTTACACCTGACAAGTCTCAGTGTATTTTGTTTGTCATCACTGCATCACTCCAGAGGATTTTGTTTTTGGGTTATTGGTTATTGCTGGATTCACGTCACTGGTTATCTTTGGTTACTGCTGCTCTGTTTAAGCATCTGTGTGCGGTTGTAATTATTTTCTTCATATAAGCAACGCGTTCCAAACAATGTTGAATATTTGAATTTAGTACTTTAGTATTTGTGTGAATACATATTTTCACTGCTGAGACTGAAATAAAACATCAAACACAGACATTGTGATGTGATGTATTCGGTATATTTTAAATTATATTGAGATGTTTCCAATAGAACAACATCAGACAGTAGGAGAAGGGAGTGTGTCATGTTATTCAAGGTTTGTTAACAGTGGGAATGCTTTGCACCAGCTCCCTCTGTTGGCAATTCTTAATTACTGTAGTCATTTCTGTAGCCTGAGAAAGTAGGTTAAAAAAATACAGCAAGAAGTGCAAGCAGGACAAACAGATTTGAAGAGGCTTGTAAAAGAATCTGAACCAACCTGTTACAGGAGAGTTTGGATCTCTTGATGTTATTCGGCACATACACTTTGACAGTGATGAGACAAACTTTGAAGCTAAAGGTCTCAATAGACAATATTATGTATATAATAACTATTATTTCATGATGCACAGCTCTTATGCTAAAATTAGCAGATATAAATTACAGTCAATGAGAATCATTTTAAGGCCTCAAGTAATAATTATTAAAATAAACCATTTATAATGTTATGCCTATTTATCATTAGTGTCATAATAATGGCAAATTCACGTTATTAGGGTCAAAAGTGAAGTCCTAAATCTGACTTTGTCTGACTAACAGTCAAAAATACAAGTATTAAAATATGTCTCAGCCAGTGCCCTGCAGCATGTGTTTAAGACAAACGCAGGTGAACAAATTATTTAACTTTGATCCTGAATTGGATCAGGAGTAGATTTCTTGGCAAGAGTTTTACTGACATGCAAAATTGAAGAACGACAACAAAAAGGCAACTTTTAGAGGGTTTATTTAAGAAACACTACAATGATATAAATAATAGTGGTTACAACTGGTCGTCAGTACCTTACATGATGATAGCAAAAAGGCAAAAACTTCCATCGTTGACAAAATGTCTGAAAATCTACAAATCTAGGAGTTCCCATTAGAAAATTAAATCCAATTAGAGGAATAATATGTACACGTTTATATACACCAGAAAAAAATCCAGTTATTCTGTACAAAGCAACTTTTTATGGTCAACTCTTGTATGATACTATGTCTGACAATTATTAATAACAGCCCTACTGTCCAAAGGAGCTTCGGCCCTGTTTTAAAAAAAACAAATCATTACACAAAAAGTGTACAGAACTATACCTGTAACTATTTCATCTAAATTGGATGAGTGGTGCTTGGATGCGAAAAAAAACACATTTCATCGCCATTTTGTGCGAAATCTCAGTGTAATGAAACTATTTGCAGTCGGTGTGTTTTGCTTCCACTGCTGCCTAAAGGCGCACTTGTTTTCTTCAAGCCCTGTCCTCTGTTTACTTGGACATGTCAATCAGCCAGACTGTCAAACATATTTGTTTTCTTTGCCGCTGCAGTGAAGTGAGTCCACTTTTGGGCAGGGACTGGTCTGTGAATTCCACACATAACAAACAACTTCAGAACCAGAAAAACAAAAGTGCCGCCACGTGGGAACTCATCGAGGACTTCCACCTTATAAAGACGTTCGTCTTTTGTTAGGGAAAGGCCCAAACAAAATTGCATATTGCCTTTATACACAGCAAACATTAGTAAAACCTTGCACGTGTTTAATGGGGGCCGTGTAGGGTTTAAAAGGATTTCTTTTTGAAATGTGTCTTCCCGCTCACATTGCAGGTCACTGGCATTCTCAAGAGTTAAGGTCCCACATGGGGAGATTGGTCCAGCTACCTCAGGTTATCCAGTTCTAATATGGCTCGGGTTCAATGCAATGTTCTTTTTCCCCCCACATCCACAGTATTAGTGGAGGGGTCAAAACAGAGAGGCATGGTTCCTAGATGCCATTGTCAGTCATGCTGGAACAGTCAGAAGAGGCCGCTGTAGGTGATGATGGCTGATCTGTGCTCTGGACTGGGGAGCCGTCTTTCGGCCAGTGGAGTTGACTCAGACTCTGATGCAGTTCATCCAGTTCGGCTGGCAGGGGGATCCCCAGCTCCTGGTTGAGGGACAAAGCTTCAAACCAGTCCTCCAGCTTCTGAAAAGGTGGACTGAGAGAGGAGGAAGAGACAGCAGGGGAGGGATACAGAGGGATTTTGAGGTTAAAACCAGACTGACAAGGTTGAGAGAAAACACAAGGAAGCAATCTGCCAGCAGAGGCGTGCCCCTGTGCAGGCAGGTCGAGATGGCAGACTTCTGAGATCAAATAACTCGCTGTCGCTTAAGGTGAGAGCGGACACATTTGGTCCCATAAATGTTTGCTATGCGGCTGCTGCATATCTCGTTATTTTGCTTTGTTCGGGTTAAGAAGCAGTATTCTACCAGTCAGCAACTCTGTAAAAAGTTTTACTTTTTAAAAAGTGTCAGCTATATACACACATTACAATAACAGCAGGTGCTCACCGGTTGTCTGGTGTGAGGTCACAGCAGGCCACAGCCAGTGGAAAGAAAGCTGGTGGACAGTCTTCAGGGAGGAACTTCTCCACAAACTTCCCAACATTAAGACCAAAGTTCTGATTCCTGGGGAGGCACTCCGGGTCCGCATAGACTTTTCCAATGATCTGGATCATAAGACAGAGGAGGATCTAAGCGTCAATCCATATACAGATAAGAGACACGCACTCAAGAAATATCAGAGTTAGTAAACGAAGACAAGGGTGTTGACTTTGTGTGATGTCCGGAGGCTGCTGTTTTAGATGTGTAGATAACTTGCTTGCTAATTCAATATTTGGTCAAGGTTGTGTTGTCATGAGCTGATAATACAGCTGGGAGGAGAAGCTGATTTGAAAACTATTATTTGTGTTTTCCTTAAAGCTCCCACATCCAAGGACTTTAGAATTGCCTGCCAAAAACCACTGCAATAACAATATATGTTATCAGACAACGAAAGCAGATAATCCGGGTAAAACCAGCATGTTCTTACCTCACAAAGCACAATTCCAAAGGAGAAAATGTCCACCTTCTCATCATAGCGTTTACCTGAAATAAAATGAAGTAAAGAATAACGTAAATGCACCCTAAAGAACAAATTACCCTCTGTAAAGAAAGCTGATAGCTTTTTTTTGTTAGCGGCTCACCATTTAGCATCTCTGGAGCCATCCAGTAAGGGTTTCCCACGACAGTGTACCGCTTCTTTCGGTCAATACGTCTGAACACCCTCTTCTTGTTGGAAGGTTTTTCAGGTGGAGGCTTAACTTTGTCCTCTACTATAAGTCGGGACAATCCAAAGTCAGCAACGACCACAGTGTTGTCCTGTAAAAGGATGACACTTAATGGTTCACTCTCACTTTGAACTTGATTTACAGCCTAGGTTACCTTAAAACTGTATGCTTTTAATATTAAAACGCAAAAGTCTGAAACCCAACTGTAGACATAAAGATAACATATCTGGTTAAAAATAAGAATTTATGGTTACTGATGGAAGAAAAAATGCTCCATTATGTCAAGGAAAGGAATCACATATGGTAAAAGCTATTGGATGCTCTATTATAATCTGCAATATTAAATAATGCACTTTACATTAATTTAAAAAAAAGAAGAAAAAAAAAGGTTGTATTACTAATTCTTGTTATATATATATATAGACACAACTGTCCTTGAAAATCACGAGGCTGGGAACAATTTGTACTCATAGCTGAACACATGCCAACTTTTACCTGCTTCACGAAACGTTCAAACCATTCCTACTCTTCACTCTTAGTATTGTATATGATGTGTAATAGCTTGTTAAATGCCATGTCACCTACCAGTTTAACCAGGCAGTTGTGAGAATTGAGGTCTCTGTGTATGATGCTCATTGTGTGAAGATAGGCCTGAAACGAAGAGGAAAGTTAAAGTTCACTTTTAGATTGGATAAAGGTTCAGCACATCTTCCTTGACTGACGCCATCTTTAATCAGTCCCCTCAGAGTTAAAGTTTGTAGCTAAATCCAGATCTAATCAATTCTCTGGAATGCAATCTAAAATATGCACTGTGCCTTTACATTCATGAGGATACTCCATGGCAGCGGTTCCCAAACTTTGTTTTGTTGTGAGAAGCTAAATTGAAGACTGATTTTCTCTTTTTAGTTGGCCTTAAGAGGTAAAACTTTGTAGTATTTAACAAACTAAATTAGAAATAACTCCAAACATAAATAGCACAGGACCCCTTGTGGTAATTCCAATGCCCACAAGAGGTCCTGTGTGTCCTGTGTGCCAGAGCACATTTCCACACTCAAAATAGCAGCCAAGGATTTCACTAATAGTAATAATGTCTTTGCAGGAGGCCAACTCACCATGCCAGAAGCGATGCTCTTTGCAAAGCTGACCCTTTGCTCCCATGGAAACGGGTCCTGTTAGACCCGAGTAAAGAGAGAGAAATGAATAGAAGCTCCCTCGGAGGCGTGAATACAAAATGAATATGCACCAAGGTAGAGACAGGAATACAGTATTCAATAGTAACAGTAAACTAAATTAAACTTCCACGAATTAAATTCAAAACTGGCCCTCCCTCACAATTTAAACATAATGAGAGGCAAAAAACCCCACTTTCCCTCTCCTCACTGGGCCATGTGCTGAGCTGAACTGATCCTCACAAACAGTCAGCTGTGGGAGGAGGGGAGCATGGCTCTTTACATTTCACCTGGGAACACTTTCTACAACTTTTCTCATTCCCCCTCTTGGCCAGTTCACATGCCAGCCAGCCCTCTATCAGTGCAGAGTTTACTTCAGGTCAGCCCCCTCCCACACTGCAAACAGGCCACTGAGGATTTTTTGTGCTCTACTGTGGAAGAGGAAAAGGAGAGGGTTAAGTGAATCAACTAGTTTAACTCACCATGTCTCTGATGAAATCTTTCAGGGTGCCTCCCTCGATAAACTCAGTTATCAAATTGAGCCTCTTGTCCTTGTATAGTACACCAATGAATCTCAAAACATGGGGATGATCAAGGCTTCGCATTACTTTGACCTGAATTTTAGGCAGAAACAGAGGAAAGAGAAGTCAACTATTATGATTGCAAGCCGTTTCCACATAGACAGAAATGAAATTCATGAAAAAAAAACCCAACATGAAATACAAAAATAAGACTGTTTTCCCACAAGACCGGGGCAAACCGCTCACACTAACAATGTACAAAGAGGTAATTGACTCTGTTTTGTCTGTAAGGAAATGCAGGCCTCCTGCAGCAGATTACCAACCTCCTTCAGGAAAGTTTTCTGGGTCTCCTCATCACATCGGATCAGCTCCTTCATCACCATCACCTCTCCTGTGGCTTTATGAGTCACCTGTCAGTGGGACAAAAGTATTATACGCATTACTTAAAACTCATCACACAAGGAAGCAAAAAAGTCCTGAATGGTGGATGAACTGCCCAAGAACTGATGGCAACTGGAGGCTGACCTTGATAGCCTGTCCGAAGAAACCTTTTCCTAAGATCTCTCCATGGATGAGGTCACATGGCCGGAAGATGCGATGAGAGCAGCTACTGGAGGATCTCAAGGATTCAGAGCGCAAAATGTCTCGTATAATAAAAGCTGGCTCTTTAGGAGAATTTGGCCCGGGTGACTTACATGTGCTGTTACTGCGCCTGGAAAAGAGAGAATATGGTTGATCAATAATTACGTACACTCAACTCTTACACAGTAAGCTGTATGGGTTTTTTGGCTGCTCTAACAAACCTTAAAGACCTCCTTTTCAGTGTGCCGTCATCAACCACGTTGGTTCTCTCCAGGACCGCATCAGAAGGCGAGGACAGACGCATGCGGGAGGTGGCTGGGACTCCGAGCTGGGTTCCTGGTGATCCCAGCCTGAGCCGGTCTAAACGCTGTCTGACTGGGTCATACTCTATTAGCAGCTGCAGTGTGTGACTCGTGCGGTGAATAAGATCGTCCACCTAAACAAACCGATGAGAGTTAGCGTTGGCTAAGATTTTTTAATTATTAGTTCCTGTTCAAACTCTTCCTGGGATTCCCTCGATTTCTCTGCATTTATAAAACAGGATTTTAACTTATGAACTATTTTTATTCCAATTTTCTTATACTTTTCATTAATATTCATTAGTTTATGGGGTACTAGAATAACAATTCCTTTTTAAAGTATGCTATCTTTGAGGTATAATAAACACACTTCTGATTAGGGTGACCAGACGTCTCCAGACAGTCCTGAATTACGAGCAGTTGTTTCGACTCCTGTCCATCCAGAAAATTAAACCTGAGTTTTGATTAATTATAGCCTAATAAAACATTGAATAGGCTCTCCATTGGCTACAGCAAGGTATCGTGGACATTGTGTCAACAGAGTTGTTATAGCCACTTTTCCCCTGTTTGTTTTCTAATGTAGATAGTGGATGTTACAGTCACAAAGACATGGAAAGTGTAGCTGCAGGCAGTCATGGAGAAGGAGAGATCTGACATGCGCGTTGGGTAGTCAGATGTATTAGTCACTGCTCTGATGAAATGTATTAAATTAAATAAATTGTATGCAACAGATCATGATTTACACACTGTTATATCCAACACAGTCAGTGTGCTTTTTTCCTAATAACAGATGGTTGACTTCAAGAACAAAAACAACTAATTTTAGTGTTGATTTTTGACTTCCACTGTTTTACTGTTAATTGCCACTGAACGTAATGTACTGGAAGCCACGCCCACTCCTAACTCCCCTGTACCACCCTACTTCTGATATTAAATAAAATGTCCATTCAGCTCTGATGGTCGGTAGTGATGTAACAAATGACTTCACTGTATTAAACCCTGTCTATCAAAGTCAGAGATGTTTGGTCTATATATATATATATATATATATATATATCTCATGAACAACATTCAGTTTATGTTGATTTTGTTTTAGAGAGGTGTTTAATTAAACTTTATGGTCATTTTGGAGGGTGTAGTTTGAGATGCTGTTGAACTGCATTGTATTGTACATTTCAGTTATCCCTTACTGACATAAATAGTGTGGACAAAATATAAAGCAGTGAATGATGACAGAGGTATGAATGTGATAGTGTGAGGGTGAGGTTGTGGGAATGAGCTTTTAAGGGTAGTCATTCTACATACCGTCCTCTCCCAGCTGAAGAATGTATAAATTATGGAGGTATGTGAGGAATGCCAAAAATCACATCTACAGTTGTATAATAAGAACATAGCTTTTCAAATTGCACTCAAGGAATGCACTTCCCCTTAATTGCGATGCTAATTAGCTTCATTTAAGATTACACATCACTCCATGTGAGTGTCAGGGACATGTGCGAGGTATAAAACCCACCTCCTCCTCCAGCAATGTCCCGACAGGGAGGCCATTGATCTCCAGGATCCTGTCCCCAACGTGGATGGCATTTCGTACCTCTGGACTAATAAGCATGCCTCTGACTCTGGAATGACATAGCACCAACACCTATATGAATATTAGCACTATAGAAGAGATATATTGATTTAAAAACAGCAAGTTAAAGAGAATGGGGTCACACTCTTACATCATACTAAATTATCAATAACCACCTTTTTTCAGTGGCACACTTACACACATGCCTGCGCCCTGCTATTAAGCAAACATATAAATCAGTCCTATGTAAAGCATCACCCAAGCTGTGGAGATCAGGCTCCATCGGGTCCCACTTACTCTTTGACTTGAACACTCGCCAAGCCCTTGACGTCCCTCAACACCGAGACGGAGAGGCCCCTCTTGCCATTGGCTGCAGAGGGCATCGAGATGAGGGTCACTGTGTGGGGCAGGGAGTCTAGGACCGATTCGTGTGAGCGCTTTTCCAGCATGGGTGTAAGGACCACCTGCGTGTAGCACTTTCCACTGCACACAACAGAAAAGGGAGTGAATCATTGCATGTGTGGACACGTGCTTGTTGATAAGTTACTGTTCAAAACCCGAAGGAGTCATGGATTAATTGCTAACTAACAACATTAACTTGTGGACACTGTTATTCTTCAAGTCCATCATTGAATAATAAACTCTTCTTTTATTGCACTTGTGTATCAACAACTTTACAACCACACTATATAATTAGCCTATATACTGAGACTAGCGTTTAAGGATGTTAATCCAACAAATGGTACAGCAAAAACTACCAGCTGTATGAGTTCCTAACTCCTCCAAAGCCAACAGTGTCAATATTGCAAATAGCTTTAAAAAGTCCTGTACAGGTGTCTTACCAGTAGAGTTTCGATCGCTCGACTAAGGCGTAGGTATCCCTGTCCTCAATCACCACCTTGCAGCTCAGACACAGAAAGCACTCAGGGTGATACTTGTGTTCTCCGGCCACCTGGAAACCACAAACAAAATGGGCTGATCTTCAAAGCATTCACACAAATGGAAGAAGAGAGAAGTAATATGCTGTGGTCAGGTTCTGCTCTGCTCTGCTCTGCTCATCAGAGAGGAGTGTGTTGCTTTCTACCCTCCTCCTGCTGTGAGCGGTGACACAGTCCTAACACCTGCTTTACTCTCACACTGTCTGGAATCTGCTATGATGTCACCTCCCCCTACAGGTCTGAGCCACCCGTCCCGCTGACGTTCTCGCTTTGAACCCTCTGAAACCAGCTCACACTCGGTCATGCACATTTCTCTCTCATTAGCACTGCCTGGCTGATTTCCCTTTCTGAAATTCATGTTACAATCCCACTTCATCTGGCTTTACTCTCTCATGCAAGATGAGATAATGTGTCCGGGTCATCTAATTGTGCACATACCTGAGCACAAACAAACTGTGGCTTTCAGGTTTAAATATGAACTTTAAGTGTTAAGACTACATTTTAAATGTGGCACAGTGGAAACAGAAACTGGTAAAAATACATTATTTCAAGAAGGTTGTCTTTAATTGAAACTACAATAGCATTCAGTTGAAAATATACTAATCTTTACAGTAGACAGTATTTACAGATAGCCCTTTGACTTCAATATACTTAACTGTTTAATACTAACAGGAAATAATACATTATGTTCACAGTTGGCCACTGCCAATTAAACTTCAAAAACGGAAAGCAAAACGGGTTAAGATTGGGTTAAGTTATTTTTGTTTAACTGCCATGTTACTGAGGCTGTTCCACCAGCATTCATAATTTCTTGTTCGGCTACAAGCAGCTCCTCAATTTCCTTGGTGCATTGCATTATGCAAGAATAGTGTCCATCAACAGCAAACATGGCATTTTAGTTGTCATACTGACTGTTTTGAATATACTTTATTTTGTTACTTTTCAGATGTGAATACATAATGTACTCAAAACTCACTTAGGCCTTTGTTGTATGGATTTTGGACACTAGAATCATAGATTAGTTATCTGCAATTTAAGGACATTTAGAGTTGAACCCAGTATTTTAGCCCCACAGCTCTGTGTCAGTGAGTCAGTGCCGGGATAGGTTCCCTGCTGCTACAGACAGATTGGAGTGATGTCAGACAAATCATTGTGACATCTCAGGAGTCCGCCTGTCACTCCCTGCCTTTAAGCCTACCACCGAACAACCACCTCCGACCGCAGTCACAACCTGCCTCGGGCTTCAGCAACAAGACAGAGCAGTACAAACTTGGCAAAACAAGATCAAAGTGAAGAACAATGAAGTAGGTCTCATTTGGGAGAGGTGGAAACTATGAAACTTGACAGCAAACGTGGATTATTTACTTGAAAAGCCCATCAAAAGCAGTGCCTTAAAATATAACAACCACCTTCAGTTAATCAATAAACTAACAAATAATTAAAAAACAGGACAAAAACAACAGTGTTCTAGATTTGAATGCCTAACAAGCAGCAGCAGCTCTGCATGACCCTCCTCTGCTGATGGACCACAATGATTCTCTTTCTGGCCGAGAGGCTGCAGTGCCAAATCTGCTCTGCCAAAAACACTTGGCTTCGCTGGCTGATGAAGCAGGATGCCAATACTAAATAGAAGGGTCCATTGTGTGTGTTGCTTGGTGGCAAAAAGAAAAACTTCAGTCTGGCTCCATGTTAGACAAGTGACCCCGGTTGTGAGCATCAAGAGCTGCTGCCACACTACAATTTCATGTATCAATATGTAAATACTAAATCAAAGCTGGCTGACACTTGGATTACAGTCAGCATACACCAGTTTATAGCAGTGCTATAACATGCATCAGTCTGAAGCCAATCAATATAAACTGGATGATTAAGTCTTTTAACGTGTTTTTTTTTTTGTTTTTTTTACACATAAGTAGTAGGATTTGCTACAACGGACATACAATTACACTTCAAAACTGATAGCAAACTGAGCAGTCTTTGTATCAAACAAGAACTTGGCTTAAACAAAGTTAGGATGAGGGAAAGACTACATAACTTTAACTGTGTATACATTTTCCATTATAAAGATACTGCCTAATGGCAAATGCTCACCCATAGCATAACATTAGAAAAGGGTCAAAGCTGACTCAGTTATGTCAGTTACATAGAAATATCTAGCTTAAAGCTTCCTAAAGTCAGTCGATAAGCTACTGATCATACAAGACCGAGTAAGGCTGTAGCAGCAAAATTCCTGACAGCACTAAATTGAGCAAGGTTGCGTTTTATTTAGCAAACTTTTAATTTGTAGAGGGAAGAATGTCTACAGAGCCACCTCACCACAGAGGACTGAACATGATGGGCTTTAAAAACCACCTCATGTTCTAGCATCTTCCCACCAGATTCCCTGTGTACTTGGGGAAGTGAACTGTGGAGAACTTCTGTACTGAAGGGGGAACATAATGGTGCCTTAAGGGGTAATTCACAAGTGAGGTCTATAGCCCAATGTGCAATGTTCAGCAGCAGCCAATGTAAATTGTCACTCATCTGTAAATTTAATAATCACCACAAAATCCCACACCCTTTTAATGCATGTTGGTATTAATCCAGTAGGGTAAAACTGAAAAAGAGTCAGCATTGACACGCTCTGCGGCCATTCTGGTATTATTTAAGTACAGGAGGAAATTGTTGTTATATGATCATGGCACGGCAGACTTTGAAAGACTGGTAATCACATATAGCAACAGTGGTCTAATAGTCTGACCCAGTGTTGGACTGAAGCCTCATGCAAACTGAAAAAAACAAAATCAAGTCTAAAAGAATATAGCCCCACTAACAGCCTGGTAGGTTGTAATAGTCGTTATACACCAGATAAAAACCTTAAATAGAAGGAAACTGCACAGACAACTCCAACAGCTGGTTATTTTACATTTTACAAGATATTGCGAATGCTCAGGTTCAGGCAAGGTCGCATGTCTAATAAGTTTGCATAACGTGAAATTAATGCGCATAGACTTGTCAAACACAACTCAAATTGCACTGACATTAATTGAATCTTCAGTTTTCTATACGCCCAAAAGGGGCGTGGCCATGACGTTCTATGAAGTACCTGTATTTGCCAGACTGATGTATGGGTAAGGTTTTAAAAACCCTGGATCCTACACTTCCCATAATGCAACGTGATAGTGCCTGTTATGTCCTCGCCTGGTAAATGAACTCATCTATCACGTGCCACACCCCCAGTTTTTGACTTAGATTTCTGCCAAAAAAGTCACAAAAGCTTTTTAGATTAGGTTTAGATTCAGATGGAATTTTATAAAACAGTCCAGTGTTTGGGACCGACATTGCCTTGACAAAGGGTAAAAAGTGTTAAACAGTAAGTGCAGCAGACTTACCATTGTAGGTCCAGTCATGAGCAGAGAGCAACCATGACAAAGCTCTCCAAACTTCTCCCAGTAGTGCATGCGACAATACAGCTTCCCGTCCTTCTCATAGTACCAGTTAGTCAGGTGGTCGCAGCACACAGAACACCTGAGAGGACAACAGCAGTCTTGGTCACATTTTCACAGAACAATGTGGATGAAGAAGAAAGAAGAATGAAGACATGAGGGCTTTTCAAATGCAAAGCCATCACCGTTGAGGCGATATGGCAAAGACTCTAAAGCCTGGCGTAATATTTCAAAGACCTGTTGATCATTTCAAAGGTATGTGGGTCATGAAGCACCGATTCTACGGCTCCCATATAACAAAAACAGGTACTCTATGTCTATTCTCTGTCTTGTACAGGTTAACATGGGCAATGTGCATGTAAAGCAAGACATTAGTGCTGCAACTCAATTATTTTCACTAGCAATTAATTTAGCTTATTTTGTCTTTACATTGAAATAAATCACAGAAAAGCAGAAAATTCCCAATCCAACTAAACAATTATTTGTTTTTAGCAATTTAATAATTGTCAGAAAATTTATGAATTGGCCTGACTTTTTCATTTACATTGTTTCAGCACTATAAAACAGGATTAGATAACAGCCGGGGGCCACACAAATCCTGAGAAAGAAACAAAACATTTAAAGTAAGTCAATTGTGGCAAGACTTTGTAGATTTGAACCATCACCCAAACGAGGTATGCCTACCTATCTGCACATTTTTTCTAAACCGATTCCTCATATCACATACAGTACATGACATACAAGTGAATGCTCATCTGGAAACTATAAATCACACTGTTGAACCCTTTCAACTCCGAAGGTTGGATAGGACAGGTACGTTAGCTGGGGGGCATGTTCCCATCGACGACAACATGTACTTTTGTCTTAACAACTTGTGGGGCACTGTAAAATCCTCGCTCTTGAGATGGCCTGGGTCTTGCTCATGTGCTGTTATTTGTGCAGTGTCACAGAAAAAAACAAAAAAACAACACAGACTGCACAAATAGCAGTTCCACTTTTGAGAAAGGAAAATCTGGCAAACTTTTGCAGATGGTGGATGCAAGGAACATTTGGTTATTAGCCTCTGAGCTCTACCAGTAAGGCTGCCAAATACCTTGCCAATTTCTAGCAACTTAATAGGATCCAGGTGTTTGATGGAAAACTGCACTACCACTTTGACAACAACAGTCTGTTAAAAACAGGCTAAAAAAATCTCTAAGGGGGCAAAGTCCTCTGATCATCTGGTTATTCATTGTTCGGTTTTAGCTTGCAGTTACTTAACAAAATTCTCATTGTGCATTTTCTTATCTAGGCCAATGTAAATAATGAGGCATCCTCTTAGCCTTGCGGTCAAAAGGTGGAAACAAGGTAACTAACATCCTGGGTTCAGTCCTGAGACCTTGATCACATCGCATGGCAATCTTTCTCCACATATTTTTAATCACTACCTACTGTCAACTGTCTAATCAAGGTTAAATGCTACAAAAACAACAGAAAATATTAAGAACTTGTCTTACATAATTCCATTTTATTGCATAATAATACTTCGAGCAGTTGATCGATTCAAGCTGTAACCTCAGAAGGTGACTGGGCAAATTAAAAGGACATTGCTGGCTGCGACTGTGAAACAAAATGTTCAGAGTGAGGAATGCTAAAGTTGCTAGCGGACTGGAAAGCACCTGCAGGCTACGAGCGTTCCTTAAACAAGTGGCACTGGTTCTGCAAAATGGTGGTAGCAGATTCGACTGCCAGAACACAAATCAAGGATGAACTGCTCTGTCAAAGTCTAGGTTACTGAAATGTCTGCAGTCCTGGTGTTTTTGTGCTGTTGCTTCATTCAGACTGCAAACGAACCAACTGTTTCTCAACCCTCTTTTGGTTTCAAAGAAATTTGACAGAGGATGGTGAAAGAGACTTAAGAGATTTAAGTGCAGACAAATTAATCACAATAAATAACGTGTTGCTACTGTTTGGATATTATTTTGCAATTGAGTAAGAGTACAAAGCCGTTCACGGGGCTGATTCCTCTTGAACTCCAGATTAAAAACAAAAGTAACATAGCAGGTGTGACAATACACGGGTTTCATTCAGGAATGACTAAAATAATATATTTTCAACTGACATCGTACTAACTTCCTGATCAACAGCTATTTCTAATTCAGGGCGACAGCCTTACCCAACATGACTGTATGTAGTATGGAAGACAAAATGATAAGTCAGAAATATTACTTTGAGTGGGAATGTTTTGGTGCAGTGCTGGCAGCAGCCCTCTGCTGAGCCTCATGCATCACGTTGCTCTCTGCACGGCAGGTAGAGTTGATCCAGGCTTATTGACATTGGCAAAGATTCCACATATTTCAAAGTTTTCTGGCATTTGTTAAGAAGGAGCCGTCTTATGGAGGGAAGACCACATGTTCGTGTGTCTCTATTGAAGAGAGAGGGGGAAGCACTGGTTGTGATGCAGGGGCAATGTTCCATCTTTAACATCCATTAAAAAATAATTATGTGAGGAAACAAACACTCTGTTCTTCTGAGATGAAAAAAACAAATACAAAGAATGAGCATGAGGTCAGCATGATGATGACTCCAGCCTGATTCATCACACTGACATGATGAGGGGAGGCAGAGCTGAAAGTTTACTGAGGTAAAGACTACATGAGTAATGGTAGCTTTGCTTCTGAGGCCACAGCTGCACTCAAGGCCACACGTCTGATTTGTGTGTGAAAGATGTCATACAGTCTGGATGTGGAATAACACAAATTTCTGGTTTCTGTTTAATGAAACTTTTTAAATGGGATCCTAGGGTCATTTAAAATGATTTATAAAGATTAGTGAAATTCTATTCTATCTATTCTATTATTGTGTTGCAAAAATGATTACACCAACCTACAACAAATTCTACTAAATCTAATATTTTATATGGCCTCCTTGATTTTTAAGAAAAGTAGCAAGTTTTCTCAACACTGAATGGACAAGCTGATGACATACAGCTACATCTATCTTTCTCCATTCTTGAAGAACGATCCTGGATAGAGAACGACGTTCAACTCATCTTTTCAGGACTGCCATTGATTAACTTTCACCCTGTTCTTCCTCAGAAATGAACAAGTGGCCTTAGATGTATGTTTTGGGTCATTATCGTGTGGAAGAAAATCCAAGCGACTTAGGGTACGGAGTGAGGGTAGCATCTCCTCTTTCAGTATTTCGCAGTACATCTGTGAATTCATGCTGCCATCTATTAAAATGCAACTCCCCGACACCTGCTGCAGCACACATGCATCCCAAACAAGAACAATGCCATCACCATGCTTTACTGTTGGTACCATGCATTTTTCACTGTACTCCTCACCCAGTTGGAACCCATCAGAGCCAAACAGATTCATCTTAAGTATAGAGTCCCAATAGTCTTTGCCTTTGTCAACATGGGCCTTGGCAAATTCTAGACAGGCATGTGCACGGGCTTCAGCAGTGGCTTCCTTCGTGGACGACATCCATGCAGTGGCTTCCTTCGTGGACGACATCCATGCAGTGGCTTCCTTCGTGGACGAAATCCATGCATGCCACTCCTCTCCAGTGAACGTCATGGAAAACACTGACCCCAGTTTGACTTTCAAATGATTTAGCCAACTGTGCTGAACTTGCATGCTGATTTCCTTCAACTTCTGTCATCACAAAAACGCTCTAGAAGAGGTGTCCATGGACAGCCTAGGCATCTCAGCGAGCTTCCCACAAGTCCATCCTTTTTTAATTTTTGGATCACTTTTGTGACAGTATTCAAACTTATTACCAATGCTTTACTAATTTTCTTATAGCCTAGCAAATAAATTATTTTCTTGTGACATTTCTTTCCATGTGGTTCCATTTTGTCAGCATTGACTAGGTCTGGCTTTTCACTCTTAAATACCACTCCTAATTATCAATTTTCCTGTGGCCACCTCTGTGATGATTGATTGGACTCAACTGTTGGTGGATTCAAGTGAATTACAATTGTCTCAGGTTTTTCCACTAAGACATTCATTGGGGTGTACTCATTTTTGACCTGACCTGATTTATACAAATATTTTATTCTATAAGATCCAATAGAAAGTATTCATTTTAAAGCAAGATGGATGTTTTTTTGAGAAATCTGTCGAGGTGTACTCATTTAACAAGAACTTGCAGAACTAAAAAGGCAAAAATACAGTGTGTTTGCAGTACACCTGACAGCACTGAGAGGTTGTTTTTATTTTTTTATTTAACCTTGAAAGGCCAGATTACTTATATTGGTCACAGATCTTTAATATGCAAATCTATCTATTTATCTATCTATCTTGCATTCACAAAAAAAGCATATTGGCCGAAACACTCAAATATAAATATAGCTCATAGCTATTTGCCTTGTTATTGCAAGGAAAAGAAAGACTTGTATTTCAACTGGTATGTGCAACATTCAGAATCTCTCCAGGTGTGGCAGGAAAACAAAAACCTCCACCTTATCCGCCTTGCTCTGAACAGTAAGCATAGACAAAACCAACTGATAAACTAAAATTATTATCCATTATATCCCTATAACATATAAAGATTAAGTGATGGAAGGGTGCTTATAAAAACACCTGACTTCCTTCTGTGCATACTGGTGAATGGGGGGGCGGGCGTGCTCAGGTGGTTGTTCAGTGAACAATGCAATGGTCCTGCCTGTACAAACACTAAAAAGCAAACATTGCTCATTTCCTTATATCCACATTCCTTGCTGGAGCGTATTCCTTTGTTGGAGTATGCCGTGAAGATAGTGAGAGAGGGAGCTTAAGTTTGTCCTTTAAAAAAATTAAGAGGGAGTGTTTCACTTTTAGTGGGATCTTATCTGAGGGTGTGTGACTGTTGTTTTCCAAATGTTTTCTACAGCAACCTCTTTCCAAGGAGTGGAGAGTGACAGTTATAATGCTCAGTTATAATGATCAAAAAAAAGATCTGCTGATTTTTTGTCAAGAAGACAAAGATCGATGAGACTAGAGCTGCAAGCAACTAACCATTATTTTCATTATCAAATAATCTGCAGATTATTTTCTCAATCTTTTCTGTTTTGTTTATAAACTGTCAAGATGCAAGATGAAATTCAGTGTATCGAAACTGCTTTTATTTTATCAAACCATCAGTTCAAAATATACAGTAAACTACTGACAGAATAGCTGTAGATTAGTTTTCCGTCAATCAATTTATCAGTGAATCAACTTGTGGGTTCTGTATTACATATGTTTCAAGATTTAGGATACACAGGACGTAAGGTGGCACCACAAAATAAACGAAGCAATAAAAAATTAATGATATCCGTGGACTGTGGAATTTCTCATGAATTTGAAATTGGGTACTTTCATTAATCGTCCCACCCCGCATTGTTAAAAATATAAAATCCGATCCTCTACTTGTGGCGTATGATGATAAGATCTGCAGCTTTACATATTTCCAGTTAAGTAGAAGATAACACATATCCATCTTACTTGAAAAAAAAAACAACAACAAAAGGGTTCTGCTGTGTCTGAGACACCGGACTCAGATCTCTGAATCGTCGTCTAGGAATGCAGAACACAGCAGAGTGGACTGTGCCGTTACCTATGGGCCTCAATAACAGTGCCAAGTTTACTGGAACAAGAATGACATCAGCTTGCAAGAATGTTACTCAAGGTGGAGGTACACGGAGGGCAGAGTGGCAGCATTTAGACAAAAGGAACACACAGGGGGTATCACATTAACAAGGACATTTCTATTTTGATGTACAATCTTTAAGCGACATAATTGTAGTGTAAAAAGAATGTGAGAGGTGATTAGAGTGTCAAATTACTGCAGAGTGGAGATGGCTCAAGACCATTTTGAACACAGAAGTCAAAACTCAGAGGGAAAATCTGGAGCACATGTAAATGAGTGATAATCCTGCAGGCTGGCTTCCCACACAAACCTCTCATATCTTCAATTTATAAAAGAGTGTGACTGAAGAAGTTGCAGACAAAGACGCCGCTACGAGGGAGGAAGCCCAAAAAAATGTGAGGGAGTATAAAGTAGAAAGGGAGGGAGGGGATGAGTAGCTCAGCTGTGTCAGGAACTTTGCCTTGCGAGATGATAGAAGGAGCTGTATGCATTATTGAGGAGTCAGTGTTTGGAAAGAGTGAAATGCTGGGTTATGTAAGAACAATGTGCTGCTACATACTGAAAACTTTCAGAGCTATTTCAGTTGTCACAAACAGACAACACAGTCAGCATTAAATTTATTCTATTCCTAAGGCTTTCTGGACATGCCAGAAGTCCTCCAGAGCCAGACTCCAGTCCCAGTCATAAAACCAAAGGATTTTTGGATATACTCTACAGTATGTGGTTTCTGAGAAAAAGCTGTGCTCCAATCAGCTACATTCACAGATTCAGGCGAATTAGGCACGGTGACTATTGAACACTCTCTTTTCTGTGGTTGGTTGAAACCTCACAACAGTTTGAGCAAGAAGCATCATCAGTTTTTAAAAATCTAAGCCATCGTCTCTCTACATGAGAACAGGTGAATGTTATTGTTAACCCCTATGAGTGTTGTTGGCAACTCACTGCCCCGCACAGATGTTTCACTATGGGGCAGTGACCTATGAAAACCAGTGTGGCAATCACTAAGCCTCAGAGCAGAGGCAGGGAGCCTGTGCAAAGTCCTCCAGGATAGCAGGACCACTTCACTGACCAATGTGTATTCAAAAGACCTGGACCTTCCCCATGCAGAGGGTCTGTCAGCTGTGACAGCAGAAGCGATTTATGCCCTGCATGGTACACTTTGGGAGGCATGAAAACAAGGGTGAATTGTTAAAAACAGATCTAAGCCAATGTTCAGGCTACAAGACAGAAGCTTCTGGGATTATCCACAAGGCCATTTGTAAGTACACCCAAAGCAGCCAGCAATGACCAATACGGGGGAAAAACAATTGTGTCAATGTCAAGGCAAACTGTCGCCCCTCTCCATTCTATGAAAACAAAGCATTCACATATTAGACTTTGAATGACAAACCGGTGCTCATTACAGTAGAGAGGGTGCATGCAGGCGTGTCTAAAACCATAAACTGGAACACTTACTGAAAGCAGGCGTTGTGCCAGGTGTCCTGGAGGACTTTCATGTGAAACGAGTCCTGAATTTTTCCTCCACAACCCGCACAGTAACATTCATCTGTACCTGCAAGAAATTAGTCTTCATTAAAACTGGAGTAGCACTGTAGACTCAAAAAAATCCGGATAGAATAGGTCAAACTTGTCAAACTGAGTAGCTGAGGGAAAACGAGACTCCCTAACTTTTATGTTCGACGTTACACTGAAACTGTAAAAGTAAGCACATTGTATAAACTCGCCGAGTGAAACTTTAGGACTACAGCGCTCTGCCGAAGAGAAACAGAGTAACCTCTCCTGAGTATAAAGTTACAACCTGAAAGATTCCTCACCTTCTGGTTCCTCCATCTGCTTTCTGAGAGCTTGGTCGATATTAAAGTGCGTTTACAAACGTTTCATACTGAACTGTGATGCGCCGCTTCAAAATTGCATTCCTCCCCGTCGTAAACCCAGGACTCCCGACTCTGAATACGACAGGAAAAAACACACAAATCCCTTTAATTCTCCACAGGAAAAAAAAGACACCACACTCCTCCTGGACGGTGCTGCTTTCTTGCCGCTGGCAGGATAACTGACGTAATGCAGTCTACAAATTCCTGTACGGAGAGCGGAAGGGCTCAACTGCAGCACCTGGAAGCAGGAGAAAACCATGAAAACTGTGATTTGGTCCCAGGCTGGAAGAGAACAACAGTGGCGCCACCCATTGCTAGAATGACCGCATTGCACACACCCACCGTAGTACATTACATTTATTCATTTAGCTGACGCTTTTATCCAAAGCGACTTACAATTGCTATACATGTGAGAGGTCGCACGCCTCTGGAGCAAATAGGGGTACATTGGTAAAGGGATCACAGTGTGGAACTGAACGCGGGTCTCTCACACCAAAGGTATGCGTCTTATCCATTGCGCCATCACCACCCCATAAATCCCATTCATTTTCATAAGGGGAGCTCACACGGAGCACCTATTTGTTTAAAATGATATGCTCCTTATAAAATTATTTTGTTTGTCATGTTATAACATGTATATCTTTAACAGTGTGAATGTTGTTTTATATTATTTAAGTGGAAGTGATCAAATGATCCCCCATTCCCTGCATATCAATTTGTGCCAATTGTCCCCAGAAACAGTAGCCTATGCTACAGTGAGCAGGTCCATGGTCAGAATTTCATGATCACAAATGTCATATACCCAGAACATTTTGTTCATCAACACTGAGTTATCCCCTAACTCAGGAGAAATTCTTCTGCTCAGAAATGCTTCCCATAAAAGAGAAAAATGGTTCTGTTTTGACTTATTCACTGTATGAGATTATTCCTCCAAGAGATGCTGATTTGACTCCATGATCAGTATTTAGTGTGTAGGGCCTATTATATATTGTATTTTAAAAGTGGAAAGCAGAAATAGTTATGAAATGTATTTGTCAGGTGAGTGAATATTAAGTTGGAACAGGGAACAGCAATATACAGCTGAATCGGGTACTTTATTTAATCGTTTAGCTGACACTTTTATCCAAAGCGACTAACATATGCTATATACTGTATGTCAGACCTCTGGAGCAACTAGTGTGTCTTGCTCAGGGGTACATTGGTGAATATGTTGCAGTAAGAATTGAATCCAGGTCTCTTACACCAAAGCCATGTGTCTTATCCTCTGCCACATCACCAACCCTAACTGCAGCAAAGAAGAATCAGTGTTGAAACATTAGTCTGTTTGCATAATTAAAGGCTGCATAATCAATTAGTGTGTGAACATAAGTTGGGCAAATCTATTACATCTTTAACCTTTAGTGCAGCAGTTCAAGAGAGGTTTGAAGCTCAGCCATGGATGTTAGTGGTTTATCTTTCACCATACTTTGCCACATTCTGCCTCTCTGTCCCTCCCTCCAGCCACAGTCTCACTTAATTTCTCCTTTATCCCGATCCCCGCTCCTGTATGAACCGGCAACCTGAACCCTTTAGCCTAAAATATGGAACCTATATCTGCCTGCCTGTAAGCTCCTGTACCTTTTGCCTGCCTTTTCTGCATTTGAGTTGAGCATTAATCAAATATTTCAGTGTGGAAATGGAAAGTTTGCAACACACATCTCATGTGAGCTCACTCTCTCCTTGAGATGACATTGCTGCAGAGCCATGATAATGTTTTAGGTAAAGTCACTATTAAAGTGGATTTAACGTGTATGAAAATCTGATGTGCATTAAAAGTAAAATATGTAGCAAGTTGTTGGAAGCAACTGTAGTCAGAAACCTCAATTTATTATGCATTTGGGTTCATCAAGCATCAAGCAAAGAAGAACAACTCACTATGTGTAGTCTCACCTTCATACAGTACCTTCAGTGCACGTCTCTCTGTCTACAGGCAGATAAGTTGAGTGTGTGTGTTCTGTTAGCTTCTGGAAAATTTTGTCTGGTTTCTTGCCTTATTTACTATTTTCTTAGAAGTCAGACACAGTTAAACTACACTCCATCTGTGCACAGAGATGGCAGTATTTAAAAATGCAGCTTATAGTTAAACTCGGGTCATAGGCATATTTTTCTATTTGTCCAAATCTAAGATTTTGTTACTGTAATTTTACAGTTTAATAGACTGCTCTGTATACTCTTCCGCTTTATTTGAATCTATAGTCAGAAACAAAAAATAACACTTAAAAAACAAATAAAATTTCTTTATCATCTTAAACACTGGCAATAATTGTGTGACATTTTAAGAATGACTCATTGGGAATATGACACACAACAAAAATGCCTGATCAAAGTTTTTGGAATGAAATGCAGTTTTTAGTTAAGATTTGTATTATCACAAAAAGGAGCGATTGGAGTCTGTTTTCAAGCTCCCCCTGGCTCCCCTGTAGTGCAAATTATTTCACAATTCATCAAAATATCTACAAACCAGCTAAAACACAACATTAAACTGAGGTTATATGTCTTCTTCAAAAAACATTGTGCCCAGATTCATATGTGATGAACATGCCAACTCTGCAAGTAGGCTATGTACAACATATTTTTTGCCTATAGCAAACACTGGACATTTAGGAAGTTCATCCTTTTGATACATTTACATGTCCGCAGACCTGAATGACAAGTAGTCCTACAGCTCGGCTTTTATTTTGGAAAGAGGCGTAGCCTACCTAACTTGTCTAATTTAATGGCTGAGCAGTGATAATGGAAAAGGTCGTGCAGTTACGTCGTATTAGACCAGGCTGATGGGGAACAGAAGTGGTGAGCTTTGGCCGGTCTTTGTGTTGTAGGCTATCCTCAGTGTTTTAAAGGTTAGGCGTTAATTGAACATCATGTATCATTAAAGACGTCCAGGAAGTTAACTGTCGGTCTGATTAGCTATGATATAAGCTTATACCCTAGCCTACTTGAGGATAATTTGTTATTTCTCGGATAAAGTGTGGCACATAATTGTCTGATTGTGATAGCCTAACAAAAACCCGTCACTTTATTCTCATCTCTAATAAACTACAATGGAGGTCGGTGCCGAAAATTCATCCTCTGATGAGGGAGGTTATGCTCTGAAACCTTTAGATCTCAAAGTGAACGCCGAGAAGACAGCGGAAGCAGAGGCGCAGAGACCCAGATGGAGTGGGCGGCTGGAGTTCATCTTAGCGTCGGTGGGGTACGCGGTGGGACTGGGCAATGTCTGGAGGTTTCCCTACCTTTGCTACAGCAGCGGTGGAGGTAAGACCCTATAGGTCTGGTATTTTGGCTGAACCAATAATCCGGATCTGTAAAATAACCTGAAGCAAAAGTGGGATGAAATTATTTGTCATTGATACAAATGTTGAGAAAATTTGTCTAAAGTAGCAATTGTTATAGCCACCCTGGCTATGAAGGCTATACAGGTTGCCAAATCTGTCATAGACACATGGACGGAGACATTCACAATCACATTCACACCGTTTTAGAGTCGCCCCTGGACATTTCTTTGGACTGTGGGAAAAATTGGAACCTCTAAAATGGATCCACTGTTTAAACCTGACTATATAGCCAGTTTATGGGCAAATATGCCAAACACCAGTTTTGAATAAAAAAAAGAAGGAACAACTTTTTAATTTTTCTCAGTCATGTTACACCATCATCTGTGTTAAGTAACAAAGCATGACTCAGCAAAATTCAGCATAACGTTTTCACTAAATGAAAGCTTTACGGTTTATTTTAACGAGTGGCTTTAAGTTAAAACCCATAAAGCCTGCAGCTATTTGTGAAAGTAGAATACGTTATTGATAAACTATAATTGTTTAGATATGACTCTAACTCTTCTTCCTGCGGATTGGTGCTTTAGTGTATGGGATGTCCTTTCCGGATTAAAGCAGGGGTAGGCAGCTAGATTTTGAAAGTATCCAAAGGAAAAAAAATCCCACCCATTTTTGCAAATCTCTCCAAATTGTCTCTTACCCAAAACCAACGGTCTACCATCATGTGCAATGAGTGCACGGGAAGGTAGGCAGGCCGGTGTTATGCCGAGTTTTGAGAATATAGGCTACCTGCAAATACTGCTTTTAAACGCTAGAATATTCTTTTTGGGGTTCATCAATGGTTATAAATGATTCGAAGTATATATTTTGTGAACGTTTAGAGTCTTTAATATTTTAATGCACTACCATTCCTTGGTGATAACCGCGTTTGATCAGTGAGCACTGCAAAGTGTCCGACCTAAAGAGGTGGATGCATAATTCAGAACACATTTTGTAGGCTACGTGACGAGATTTGTATCCACCTCTTTTCACAGCATAAATGACATGCAATTCATGCAGGCATGCAGAATTCGTCACCGCACACCGGCACTGAGGCATGCAGGTCTGCGACTATGGCAATCAGTTGGAATATTTGTTAGCTTGCCTTTCTATAATGAACATCAACATCGTCATTTTGACTTGTCTAATTGCATTGTGATTAGTCAGAATATTTATTCAAGATATCTTTTACATCATTCTGACTAGTCAAAACGACAGTTGCAGAATTAAATTTTGACTACTCCTATGGCAAGTTATTAGCTACTTGATATTCAGTATCTGCAAGATACCTTTTAAGATATCTGTCATTATATTTTGACTAGTAAGGTTCAAACTACTTTTGTCATTCATGTGGAGGCCTATGGGGTTTTCATTACAGCTATCTACAGTTCAGTTGCAGATATTCCAATGTGGATAGATCTCTGCAACTGAATTCTGACTAGTCATAATACCAGTTCAGGATCTCTTTTATTCCTTTTGTCCTGTTAAATCTTAGATTAAGTTTTAACTGGTCAGAATGACATTGACTGGAATTATGACTAGTCAAAATATGTTATATCTAAAACTGTAATATAATTGTAGATATCTGTTATCATTAGTTATAGATATTTTAAATGAATTGTGATTACTAATAGGCCTGCAACTATTATAGTAGTGAAAATTTAATTTCAGATATCTGCAATTGTCATTTAGGATGTGTGACCAGTCCAGTGTCGTTTTCAGTGACATTGCTGCTGATATGTTATTCAGTACTGAAATTACAGATGTATCTGTTGTTTTGACCATAGAGTAGTCAGAATGAAGTAAAAGATATTTTGAATAAAAATTCTGACTTGTCACGGTGCAATTAGAACTCGTCAAAAAGATGATGATATCTGTAAAGTTAATTCTGCAGTCAAACTTAGCTAATGTTAAAACTGCTTGCCATGTTTACGCTTATTGTTAGGCCGGGACCTCTAGTGGCCATATGTAGCAAAGTCAGGTGGCATAGTATTAAGCGGGAATGTCAACGCTGTCTAATTTAAATATCTGTTAAATAACTTCACATGACTTGCATAACATACCTAATTAAATTATGTTTTTCTAAACCTAACTAAGTAGTTTTGTTGCCTAAACCTAACCAAAGTTCGATCCTTTCACAATGTTAACCACGTGTTTAACATCATGTGACTTACATAATGTACTTAATCTCCGGTATGCTGTGACTGGACTGGTACTTTTCAACGGTCATACATCGTTTTGGGGAACGGTTATATACAGTATGTTGTTTTGGAGTCATTGAAAATGAACCTATTTTATTGTTTAGGCTCGAGGACGACTGGATAACTACATTAACTACCCTAAATTTAAAGGACACATTGACTCTGCAAAAAAAAACTAAAATGAAGGGGAAAAACAGGTTATTAGGGATTTGTTAAGCATCAATGACTTATCAATCAATAATAAAGTCAATAGTAACCATGTAGAAACCTTTTATACAGTAAGGATGCTTTATCTGAAAGGTGACACAGCAGCTACCACATTGTATCGCTTGAGGCACCGTTATACATACAAACACAGGAGGTACCAGTAGTCTCAGCGACAAACTGTTCTTCTCTGGTCTTCTGATTTAGGTGCCTTCATGATCCCATACCTCATCATGCTGATACTATGTGGCATTCCTCTGCTCTTCATGGAGTTTGCTATTGGGCAGTACACTCGTTTAGGGCCTGTACATGCTCTTGCCAAAATCTGTCCCTTGTTAAAAGGTGAGTGTCTCTCCAGGCCAAAGTCTCCTCTTATTTGACGGGGATGATGACTTCTCTTTCATTTTCACATTTTTGGGGGACATTCTTGCAAAGGTTCTTGCAATGTTTTTTTTTGTTATTGCTATGTATACAAAGTACAATGAGTATGTAAAGTACAATGTTTTGCTCATTTCTAAAGAGAAAAAAAAAGAGTTGCAGTTGTTTTATGTAGATTTTTTTATGTCACACAAACACAACACAACACTTCAAATCCTATTCTACAAACCACAAATTAAAAAAGTCATTACATTTTTGCTAAAGTTGCTGCATTGAATATATTGCAAAACACATTGAGACCTGTATGAAAAAATTTGTATACCATTGAGATCTTTGTCAGATGGAAAGTGGGCGTTGTTTCATCTCAACTGAATTGGAAAAATGATAGACGTAGACAGGCGCCCTTTGATTGGCCAGAAGGGTTCTCTGATCTGATCTGAGATATGTGGTGCAGTATGAGAGACTTGGCAGATTCAAGCAGTTAATTTGCTTTCTGTTTGCTCTTTGAAATGAAATCTGCCCTTTTCTGTCTGATAAATGGATTGTCTTCACATGTTGATGGGTGATAACTTGTTAAAGGAACATTTCAATCCTGGTCTTTTTTTACTTCATTATCATACTTTTTTTTTTTTAATTACATTCTCTGGAACCGAATGAACATTAAAGTATATATCACTAAAAAAGAAATGATAAAATCAACTGAACCATGAACTGAATATCCATAAATTATGTGGATTATATTATGGGTGACTGAAGATGTGTTTTCACAATCTATTTTAGTTATTTAAACACATGTGGATCCGTAGAAAGGGTTGTTTGTTTAAAAGCTTACAGTGCTTACGAAAACAAATCCCTCGCCAGCAGGTGTTTGATTGTAAATCCAACAAATGAATGAACTGAAATGTGTGGACTCGGAGAGCGCTGGCAGTCACCCAGCAGCTCATTAAACTGATTCCTGTCCAAATCAAACAAGAGCCCACCCATCAACAATCAGTACTTATGGGTGTGAATTGAAAATGCTGTCTGACTTGTTCTAACTTCAAATTTTTCTCCATAGTTTTCTTATTTCCTTTAAAGACAGAGATTATCTACCCGGTCAAAACGTATGGGTCCTTCACTTGATTTATCGCTCATTTCTTCCTGATAAATGCTCTGTGCTAAACAAGGTCCAAAAGCAGGTAGTTTTTTTCTGTATGTTCTTTTGAATGATATCCCTGTGCAACTCAGTGCAGTTTGCTGTGATGTACCTGTGATCCGTGATTTAGATGCCCACAAATATCTATCACAAATCAACAGATGCGCTCATATTTACTGTAGTATGCTGTATCCGATCATACATTTTTATGGGTTAAATTTAGGGCTTTGTTCAGTGTCTTAGTGAGGGTTGTGTAGTGGACAGGTGAGGTATGACAGGGTAATAAAGAAGAGATATAAGGGGACAGCTTTGACTGTTTCCCTCAGTTTTTGTCTGCTCTGCATCACTTCCCCACTTTAAGTGTGTCTGGTGTACCAGTGGAGCAGTCAACCATGTAATCTAGATGTGTAGAGTGGACGAGGCAAACAGGCAATCACAAAGGAAGGAGCGCTTAGCGTGTATCATACACAGTGGTTCTAGCTGATCCTAGAGCTCAGAGAGGGTTTCCTTTGGTTCTGTCATTATGATGACACAGAGCTGTTTTTCAGCCGCCTGTCCTTCCATTTTACCACAGGATCCAGTGGAGCATGGCATTCCTGTCATACGGCTGAAAAACAGGCAATGATAACATGAATCAAAAGATCAGGAATAGTAATACAAAAATGAATTGTTCCACATTTAAAAAAAAATGCTCTTCTTTGCTTTCTTGCTGAGAGTTAGATGAGAAGATCGATAAGCTACCAGATGATACACCAGCATAAATATAAATAAATAAATAAATAAGTATAAATATGTAGCTGGATCTAGCAGACAGTTAGCTCAGATTAGCATAAAGACTGGAAAGGGGAACCGCTAGCTTGGCTTTATACAGCATTACAGGTTGTTATGTGTGGAACTATTTCTTGAGCTGTTGCCAGGCAAACAGCTGAGACTCCAGAAAATTTGGTTGTGAAACAGAAATTGTCCATCATATAATCCTTTTAAAATAGCAAATTGTCTTTTCTGTATTTATTTTGTGTACAGATACACATACGAGATGTAACATGTTAGTAAGCTTTTATGTTGCTGGTATTTGGATTTTGTTACCTTTGGATAGAGCCAGGTTTACTGTTTCCAATCTTTGTGCTTAGCTAAGCTAACCGTCTGCTAGCTTTACTGTATACGTAAGTTGAGAATTGATCTTCTCAGCTAATGCTCAGCAAGTCAGTGAATAAGCTTTAAAGCATAGATATTGGTATTTAAAATGGTTTGCAGTTCTTTTTGTTGTCATTGTACAAAAGTTTTTTTTTTTTTGGAAATTACAGTTAATACAGAAGAAACAAATGGTGAAAAATGTCTTGTTGAGGATAATTTCTTGTATTTAAAATGGTTCAGGTTTACTCCTCCCTGTCCAGCCCAGTGAAGTGTCCTGGAGCAAAATAATTACCCTCTTCCTGCTCCAGAGGCCAAGCTCTTTTGCTGAGTCATTGCTCACAATTCTCTGAGGAAGCCAGCAAAGAAAACCCCAAGGCAAATACAGGCATACGACCCTGAACCTGAAATCGGATAACACAGCTTAGAACCACAGTTGTTAACAGACTGAATCATTTACATCTGTAGGAGGACTTTGATCTCACCTTTAGTCGGGTGGTCAAGAGACACAGGCCAAATGTCACAGTGGAATTTATAATCCATGGCTCCAGGAATGCCTTTTGTCTGTGGCTGAGTTAGCTTGATTTAACCTTTGTCACCACTGACCAGAGATTACTGCCTCTTCTCTGTTGTTTGTCTTTATCTGAGATATAAACCATACCCATAATTATTATCCAGAGCCCAAATAATAATTGACACTTCACATTGCAAAATAACCAGTATGAGAGTGATTTCATAACAATTAAGAAGTAAAGTGTACAACTTCTTCCCCATATACTTCTGCAGAGTTGTCTCTCACTTTGTGTCCTCCCTCCCTACCTGTCACTCTGCAGGTGTTGGTCTGGCCACAGTTGTTATCTCCTTTGTGTTCTCCACGTACTACAATGTCCTCATGAGCTGGGCACTTTTCTATTTATTCAACTCATTCGGAGCGACCCTCCCCTGGACGTCCTGCAACAACACCTGGAATACTGTTGGAAACTGTTCCAATGGATTCCCTGGCAATGCCACCCACCTGCAGTCTGCCAGCCAACAGTTCTTTGAGTGAGAATGGTGCACTGTATTCCATCTGAAGAAAATATACTGTTTCAAGATTTTTGCACTATTTGTCCTCTAGCTGTTTTTTCTCTTTTGTTACATTTACTGGAGTAAGCAGACATCATTAAAATTGTGGTGTTTTTCACAATGTGAAAGAAATTACAAAAGTAAACAAAGTAAAGCTCACTAAAACTGTTGTAGTTCTGGAAATCACCTCTGTACTGTATCCCTCGTCAAACAGGCCTCCATCGGTTTTGGAGGCAATCTTCACTGGTTCTGGTATCAATTTCAGACTCAGACAGCTAATAGGACTGTTAAGATAGATTTGGGGTTAACTGAACTAACTAGGCAGTTAGCACAAGTTATGACCTGATATGTGATATTCTAGAGTTTGTATTTGGACAGATGGAGAGTAGTCTCAATTCTTACACTTTGTACCTTTTACAATATTTGAAACCAAGTGAAGATACAATAGTGGGAATCACTTGCTATTTGTATATTTTACCCTTCTTTTTCATTTTTTCCAGTCACAGGCTTCTGGAGAAAACCAGTGGCATTGAAGAAGCTGGTGGTCTTCGCTGGGAACTCTTTGGCTATCTTGTTATTTCCTGGGTCATCGTGTACTTATGTATATTTAAAGGTGTCAAATCTACTGGCAAGGTCAGAATAATGCCTGCTTTTCTGCAAAATGTGTTTAAACATATTGCTAATTAACTAATTAACATTGTGTCAGTCCCATTCCCTGAATTGTTCAGCAATATCAGAAAAAGAGGAGCTTTATAGGCAACAACTTTTGTATGTAGGAATATAGTTTAGTCTGTAGACCAAGTCATTTTTTTTCTCATGACATCAAAACATGTTTTTAATTCTTAAAAAAGTGCTTGTACCAGGGCGGCACGGTGGTGCAGTGGTTAGCCCCAAAAAAAAGGTCTTGGGTTGAAACCCCGGTTGCCCCGGCCTTTCTGTGTGGAGATGGCATGTTCTCCCCGTGTCCACGTGGGTTTTCTTCTCTTCCTCCCACCATCCAGGTTAATTGGTAAAAATTTTCCTTAGGTGTGCATGTGAGTGTGAGTGGTTGTTTGTCTATGTGTGGCCCTGCGATGGACTGGCGACCTGTCCAGGGTGTACCCCGCCTTTCACCCAATGTCAGCTGGGATTGGCTCCAGCCCCCCACGACCCTGTATGCAGGATAAGCGGTTGACAATGTATGGTGCTTGTACCATACCCTTTTTTATGCATCATCGTCTACATTACGTGTTATTTCTTTTGCAAGTTGGATACTCAGGAAGTTGACGAATATAGTTTAGTGTAAAACACACAAGACAAGCAAAACAGAAGTCAGAATCAGGACATGATGCTGATTTGGGCCCAACAGCAGACAGACTGTGGAGTAGGTTAATATAAGAGAAGGATATTTATTGGATATGGAGATGGAGCGAGCAGAGAGGCAGTTGACAAAGGCAGAGGGTGGTGAGAAATTGCTGGGGAGACTGGAGCTGGGTGGATGAGTGCGTGAAACACAATTAGGCAGTAGAAACACACAAGGAAGAATCACAAGAAAATACTGTGTCTCAAAAATCATGAGAAAGGCCTCGCCCACAGCACACAGAAAAAGACACATAAGGGAATTATGAGGGAAACAAACAGTCAGGCACAGAGACAGGTATCCTACCAACATGCAAGTTTAATTATACAATCATATGTGATATACTGTACCGCAATTCATCAACTGGAAATTTGAACCTGGCCAGATTGAGATATTTCATTGAAAGCTAAACAAAAAACATCCTCACTGGTGTCACTGAAAACAGACCACAACTCAAATGTGGCAACCTTACCTACATTACAAATCCACATGTTAATCCATTTCTGCTTTTCACTGTTTGTGTCACACAGGTTGTGTATTTCACTGCTGTATTTCCGTACTTCATCCTGTTTGCCCTGCTCATTAATAACGTACAGCTTCCTGGAGCCAAGAATGGTATCCTCTACTTTGTGACCCCTGTCTGGAGCAAACTGTTTGAAGTGAAGGTGAGACTCTGTTAATGCATGAGTAGCATCAAAAAGTAGGCTACCCCATAAGACTTTGGTCATACGTTGGCACCAGAGAGTTTAAACAAAGTTTTAATCAAATAAATTATGAACTCATACAGTAGAGATTGATAATGGTATTTATATTTATTTATATTCTATTTAATTTGTCTGTATATGTCAGAGCAAAACAGGGAAACAGAGGTTATTGCAGCAATGAACTAAACCATTTAGGTTGTACTCAGGACACCTTGGAAAGTGAAACTTTGTAGATTTTAGGAACAGGTGCCAGAATAAAAATGCAATGTCTCCTTAATAGCACAAGAAAAAGTAAGATGGAAAATGTTTTGTTCTTGGAGGTTAGGATAGAGTATGAAAAATAGGTTTCTGGGGGTCTTTGAAGCCAAATTAAGTGAAACTATACTAAAGTTCTTCATCTTCATGCTCTCCTTTATCTCCATCATAGGTTTGGGTTAATGCAGCTGCCCAGGTGTTTAACTCCATTGGAATAGCGTTTGGCTCCATGATTTCAATGGCTAGTTACAACAAGTTCAACAACAACATTCTCAGGTAAAGATTTCATATTCTCTGTCTGGAAAGGTTTTTGTGTCTTTGACTGTCCAACAGAATGTGCTCTAGTAAAATCACATTGACTTGTTAAAATAGTGAATTTGTTCATTAGTTTTTGTTGTATGTTGTGTGTATTTATGGGAATCCATCGCTGATATTAAACTGCATGGTCCAAACATGTTAAAAGCACAGTCATTTTATAACCAGATGAACAAAGAGGAAGAAAATACTAATCTAATCAATATCAACAATGTTCAACTTCTCTTATTGGTTCCCCCATGGTACATATTGGGAGAGCATTACAGACTTACAAAAATACAACTTGATTCACTTCACTAAAACTATAATAATATATTGACTTCTAAAGACCATCCACTATAAACACACTCTCAGTTGTCTGTGTTGTAAGAGCAGCTTTCAGGAGCAATCGTTTATGGAAGAAGCTACATTTTTAGTCTTCTGTTTCTAAATGTGCTGTGTTGGCCATGAACTTAAGCTGCTGTCTCCGGTTGCTCCCATCCTGCTAAACTAACTACAATGCTGCCTGAGGGATTTGGAGAAAGTTTTATAAGACATTAGGAATTTCTAGTTTCATTTAGAACAGGATCAGATGAGGGGTGTTATGCAGTGAACTAACTACAACAATGTAGGAAACAGTGTGGGCAGAAACCCCCAACTGCCCCACAGTATTTACCTGCCAGACATGTGCTACTTTCATTACCAATATTTTACAATTTTCTCACAAACTGAAAACTTCTTGATTTAAAAGAAAAGTACCTGTCTGGTGATCAAATTGCAGCTTCACTATCAAGTACCTTTGTTTTCCTGAGTTTCTTGGGTACTGTGTCTGTACTCTGTTGTTTATTCTGTCCTCCTTCTCCTCCAGGGATACTTTAATTGTTTCATTTGCCAACTCATTCACGAGTATCCTTGCTGGCTTTGTGATCTTCTCAGCTATTGGCTACATGGCTCATATACATAACCTCCCAGTGGACAACATAGCTACAGATGGTAAGCATCAAACCTGTAATGACCATCACATCACGCTTTCTTAGCTTTGTGTTATTTTAAGCCTTTTATCCAGTTTGTGTAATGTAATAATCAGAGAGAGTTTTGGCTTCTGTAACCAAATTCTCAAACAACATCTGAACAACAGCTTTGTCAGTTAAGTCATGCATCGTTAGAAACAGAGACAACTTGTGTTCAGGCAAGGTCAGATAAGAATCCTGTGTGGCAATCACAACACTGCATCCCCTGTCAGCTCTAATCACTACCTTGTGATCTGGCCTCATTGAAAATTTTGCTAATCATTGGTTATATTATGAAAAGAGTTATGAAAAATATGAGTGTAACACTGCCAGCCAAAAAGTGTTTCAGGAGTTTCAGCCCATTCCTCAGTTTCACAGTGATGGCTGCAGATCTTTTGCTAATATTTCTTGCCTACACTGCAGGTGGAAGATTAGTAGATTAGCTAAGGATTCAAACTAGTCTAGTCATTAAAGGTATATCCAAGAAGTGGCATGAATGATTGTGATCCCAGCAACCACACTACAACAACGGCATTGTTGAAACAAGGCAGTCAGGTTTGCGGGTATTCTGTAATCAGTGATCTCTGCAAAGACAATGTACAGATGAAATTCTCTGGATAGATTATTTACATGGTAAAACCATCCTGTACTCTATCTTCATCATAACCCATCCATTCTTTATTGACCATAGAACTTAAGAAAGTATTGTTTGGTCTCGATCAGATTGTCTTTCCATGAACTGGTCTTACAAGTTCAGGTTCAGGCTATTCAGCCTGTAACCGGTGGTTTGAAAACAAACTACATGGGGCCATTGTATTGTTGGGCTTCAGTAAGATGAAGTAAAATGTACCATGAAGTTAGCAACAGGTGATTCAAAGGGATGTCATATACTGATGGTGTATTTGATGTTGTGGGTTAAGTTTTATCTTTTCTCTCGGCAAATGGCAATGATCAGCAGCAACCATTATTTTATACATACATATACATCTCTAGTGGCATTTTGTTAAATTTATTTCTAGAAAATAATACAGGCTAAAAGAGAAATGTCTTTATGCTAAAATAATCTAAGCTTTATATTTACTGTACATATGTGAGTTGTATCAGTCTTCTGATGTAACACTCTAAAGCTTTTTCAAAATTGCTTCTTTCTAAAATTGCTTATTCGACATACATTGCTCTAATATGTATGTCAAGACAACACAGGTTTGAATTGCAAATCAGTTAATGGAAAGCCAACAGTCTGAATTAGTCTACATTTGCATCTCATAACACCTTTTTCAGGTCCTGGTTTGGTGTTTGTTGTGTACCCTGAAGTCCTCTCCACCATGCCCGTCTTCCAGCTGTGGGCCCCTCTGTTCTTCTTTATGCTGCTGTGTCTGGGCCTAGACAGTCAGGTAAACATCTCTAACAATCATATAAACACAGTGTGATAGAGGAGGAGGATATTGTGAACATGAAGCAATGCACTAGAGCATTTTAATTTGAGTTTTTAGCACAAATTTGAGTCTTGCATATTTGAGTCTGCATTTGGTGGAAACATTCATGCTGTCAATTAAACTGAAGTCAGATTTTTTTGCTCGTCTGGAGGAAGGTAAACGCTTGGGGAAATAGGACAAAGCAGATGTTTCATTACTCAAATGATGTAGACAAAACAATTACAGAAGATTTCTTCCTGCTTTGCACAACTGTGCACATTCAACTTGACCATTTCTCAATAACAGTTTACCTAACTGCATCCATCTGTTCGCTATGGACAGAAAAGATTACTCACGTACAATTTAGGACGTTTGTGTGGTCAAAATAAGTGCCACTAACCCTAACTGACTCTAAGTAGCATGAAGGCTATTTAAAATTGTCAGGCTAAAAAAGGCTAAGTACAGTTATAGTATTATAGGTTCATTTAGGTGACTGATAACTCATTCATTTCAGCTAAACAGATAAACACACCCTCCAACAAGACTAAATAACAAGAGTCTACAGCCATGCTAACACCTCTTTGAGCCAATACCTATGCACAGCTGTACTTTGAACTAAATGCTAACTCACAATGACAATGCTAGCTTGCTCATGTTTAGCAGTACTCATGGGAATTACGGCTCCTTTGAAGGGAGCCAGATCTTATGGCTCCGTTCCTTTCATTAATCCACTTCTGTTGGTCACTGCCTAAGTTACGTTCTTATCTGTTGCAAGAAATAAATGTGCAAACTTCTTCATCTGCAGTACAACTGTCATGCTTTCTTTTTCTGCAGTGAGGCGGGCAAAATCAGCTCCCATCGTTTAATAAGAGCTGGCTGATATATTCATATTTAAACCCACATATCATAATAATTACTAAAATAAATACGTGATTTCCATTTGTAGCCTTTGCTGTCTCATCTCTCTAGTCATGGTTACCCAGCTCTTTTACTCTTTGCACCTCATAATTGCATCCCAAACAAAGACGCTAAAATCTCTCAAGGTACCTTTATTCTTTTTTCAATTGTTTGTTTTTTACATGTTTTGTGTGTGCCACAGTTTGCCACAGTTGAGGTCGCTATTACGTTCATAAAAGATGAGTTTGGCCCCATCATTCTGCACTTCCTAAAGAGAGAAGAGCTGCTGGCCCTGGCTGTGTGCGTCCTTGGCTTTATCCTAGGGATTCCTCATGTTACCAAGGTACAGTATGTAACAGCAAGGCTCTTTCACTTCTTATTTGAGGATATCTGGGAGACTGTGGTTAACAGTTGTATCACTAGTGTCAGTTGTTTTGTAACTTTCTCTTCCTCTCTCTCTCTGTTTTCTCCTTCCTGCACAGGGAGGTATCTATGTGTTTCAGCTGATGGACCACTACACCGCTGTGGTTTCCCTCATGTTCTTGGCTTTCTTTGAAGTTGTAGCTGTCTGTTGGATCTTTGGTAAGATCTGCATAAAGTTTATATGTTCAAATCCAGATGTCCTGGTTATGGTAAATGCTTTAGACCTCTAAGCCACCATGATTTGCTGTGGCTTGTAAATTATTCAACATTAAACATCTCGCATTAGCCACATCATAAGGAAATCTGTATTAGTGGTTCATGATTATTCTAGGTATTTACAGTATGTTTTCCATCAGGTGTCCCAAGAATCTCCTTAATAGTCAAGAGGATGCTAGGAAAAACTCCAAACATCTTCTTTCGTGTCTGTTGGATGCTGTTTTGTCCTATGTTGGTGCTGGTGAGGTTTAAACTGTCTGAATAAATTCACCACAGGTTCTTAATTATCAGTGATCAATGATCATTAAAATAATAATAATGATGGTTATTAAACATAGTTTTATGACTATACTTTTCCCTACATAGTGTATACTGATCTCCAGCATCATCCAGTACACTCCTGTTCACTATGGGAAGTACACATACCCAGTGTGGGCTGAATGGGTGGGCTGGGGCATCTCACTGGTCTCCATAGTGTGGATCCCACTTGGAGCCATTCAAGAGATCTGTAACAACAAAGGCTCACTTCTTCAGGTAATATGACTCATAATTCAGACAAATGACTGTGGAAACTGGGGAAAAGGCAATAGCTATTAGGGGTTTTGGTTTGTTTTTTATCGTCTGAGTACACAATGCCCAGCTAAAATGCTAACATACTGATGTTAAGCAGGCATAAAGTTTACCGTCTCACAAATTTAACATTTGTTAATTAGCACCAAACACAAAGTTTATATAGCATATACTAGTGGGATTGTCATAGTTGTGCAAGTATACAGGAAAAAGTCAGGGGATCACCAAAGTTACAATTCATGCTGAGGGGGACACGGATGTCTGTACAAACTTTCATGGCAATCCATTAGTAGCTATTTTACTCTGGACCACAGTGGTGGCCACTAGCATCTCTTACAGGAGATGTTAGTATTATGTGCAGAGGCGGGGCTATGGCTAATACTTGTGAGAAATAAGTTAGCTGATTGTACATTCTGTCTTTACCATTGGGTATTTCTAAGTAGTCCATTTTACTAATTGTTCCCACTTTATGAGTGCCTGAGCTGACCAGATGTGCTTGAACACATTTTTCTAAGATGTTGTTTGTTTGTTTCTACTAATCTTTTGCCTCTTCCAACCCTCAGAGACATAAAACGGCTATGATTTCCAAAGTAGACCTGGACGCTGAGGATTCCCTGCCGGAAAAACAAAACCTAGACAACCCAGCATCTGAAATCTTGTTGACTTCAGTGGCATGACCAGGAATACAGCCAAACCATATGTGTGCGTCTCTACATACCAAACCATGTGGTAGGATGTTTAATGATGTGCTCTTTAGTCATATAAATAACTGTATTTACACTGCGATACACTGTCATTAAGTTTCTGTCATAAAAGTATAATTCTATCCTTCTTGTTCTACCAAGGGACAGAACCTTAAGCCCACTTTACATATGTGGAACTTTTAAAAACTCAAGCCATTTGATATTCTGTTAAAGTTATGGTTACTTTTATTTCATTTAGTTTAGGTATGAGTGAGCATTTGCCCTGTCTAGACTAAGCAAATGTTCATTCCAACCAAAGATTGATATTTAAATGATTATTTCCTCCACTTTGATTGAAGAATGCCTGGTGTACGCAGTGACATTTTCTCTTGCAATGTGTGATGAATGTCAGTGAGTTTGTGTGCTGTAAGAGTGTATCACTCATCTGTGGCAGAGGCAATTTTGGCTAAATACATAGACTGAGTCCTTTAAAGGCCACATTTCCTGATCAGATACATCACAAAGGGGGCGAACAGACCCATCCCATTTGAAAGTCTCGTCCAAATACATCCTTATATGGCCACAAACAATGTTATTCTTTGTGCGCCTTAAACCCCATAATACACTGTGCTGTTCTGTTGTTTGATGTACAGTGAGGAAAATAAGTATTTGAACACCCTGCTATTTTGCAAGTTTTCCCACTTAGAAATCATGGATGTGTCTGAAATTGTCATTGTAGGTGCATGTCCACTGTGAGAGACATAATCTAAAAAAAATAAATCCAGAAATCACAATGTATGATTTTTTTAACTATTTATTTTATGATACAGCTGCAAATAAGTATTTGAACACCTGTCTATCAGCTAGAATTCTGACTCTCAAAGACCTGTTAGTCTGCCTTCAAAATGTCCACCTCCACTCCATTTATTATCCTAAATTAGATGCACCTGTTTGAGGTCGTTAGCTGCATAAAGACACCTGTCCACCCCATACAATCAGTAAGAATCCAACTACTAACATGGCCAAGACCAAAGAGCTGTCCAAAGACACTAGAGACAAAATTGTACACCTCCACAAGACTGGAAAGGGCTACGGGGAAATTGCCAAGCAGCTTGGTGAAAAAAGGTCCACTGTTGGAGCAATCATTAGAAAATGGAAGAAGCTAAACATGACTGTCAGTCTCCCTCGGACTGGGGCTCCATGCAAGATCTCACCTCGTGGGGTCTCAATGATCCTAAGAAAGGTGAGAAATCAGCCCAGAACTACAAGGGAGGAGCTGGTCAATGACCTGAAAAGAGCTGGGACCACCGTTTCCAAGGTTACTGTTGGTAATACACTAAGACGTCATGGTTTGAAATCACGCATGGCACGGAAGGTTCCCCTGCTTAAACCAGCACATGTCAAGGCCCGTCTTAAGTTTGCCAATGACCATTTGGATGATCCAGAGGAGTCATGGGAGAAAGTCATGTGGTCAGATGAGACCAAAATAGAACTTTTTGGTCATAATTCCACTAACCGTGTTCGGAGGAAGAAGAATGATGAGTACCATCCCAAGAACACCATCCCTACTGTGAAGCATGGGGGTGGTAGCATCATGCTTTGGGGGTGTTTTTCTGCACATGGGACAGGGCGACTGCACTGTATTAAGGAGAGGATGACCGGGGCCATGTATTGCGAGATTTTGGGGAACAACCTCTTTCCCTCAGTTAGAGCATTGAAGATGGGTCGAGGCCGGGTCTTCCAACATGACAATGACCCGAAGCACACAGCCAGGATAACCAAGGAGTGGCTCTGTAAGAAGCATATCAAGGTTCTGGTGTGGCCTAGCCAGTCTCCAGACCTAAACCCAATAGAGAATCTTTGGAGGGAGCTCAAACTCCGTGTTTCTCAGCGACAGCCCAGAAACCTGACTGATCTAGAGAAGATCTGTGTGGAGGAGTGGGCCAAAATCCCTCCTGCAGTGTGTGCAAACCTGGTGAAAAACTACAGGAAACGTTTGACCTCTGTAACTGCAAACAAAGGCTACCGTACCAAATATTAACATTGATTTTCTCAGGTGTTCAAATACTTATTTGCAGCTGTATCATACAAATAAATAGTTAAAAAATCATACATTGTGATTTCTGGATTTTTGTTTTTAGATTATGTCTCTCACAGTGGACATGCACCTAGATGACAATTTCAGACCCCTCCATGACTTCTAAGTGGGAGAACTTGCAAAATAGCAGGGTGTTCAAATACTTATTTTCCTCACTGTAACTTTTAGGAAATCATCATCCACTTGAGAAGTAGAGAAACGTCAAATGACCTTATCATATTTGTCTGGTGTTTTGGTTCTGATGGTCGTCACCTGGAATAGACCAATTAAAAAAAACACTGTAATGTGTAAATCAGTGGTTCTTAACCTGGGGGTCGGGATCCCTTTGGGGACCTGGTCCCAGAGGGGTTGCGAGAATGCTACTATGGACACTAAATTAGGAAAAAAAAACAACCTTAAAAATAACTTGACAGACTATAGTTGTGAATGGAATCACTTTCTATTTTGCACTGTTTCATCCAGTAGGTGGAGGTAATGCCAACCTCCTATAAAATGCCGAATAAGAATTAAAACAAGTCAACATTAAGCTAGCTAACGTTGATTCCATTAATTGAGTAGGATGGAGGTGGGTGTGTGTGTCATGTTGGAGGGGGGGGGGGGGGGCTAAGTGTTATGAAACTTGATCTACTTTGTGTCTGGTATTTACACATACTTTTTCATGATGATTGTCAGCTGTCTGGGAACAAATTTAGAAATGTTTGACTTCATACTGTTGACCTGAATGCATTATTAGTTTTGACCCAGGGCATCACTTTGTGTTGAAAAGTGGTGGGGACAAAGGGGCTCAGATTAGGGGTGTGAAAAGACACTTAGCTCAAGAGACATTACAATATGCAATATTAGGTTCACAAGAACGAGACAAAAAGATCCTTAAACAGTGTTTTAAAGATACCCTCAATGCCAAGATATATGAGCAGGGGGTGGGGAGGTCCTCCCCGAGGAAATTTGATCTTTAAAAACTTCATTTCCTGCGTTCTGTTGAAAGTTTCTGCACCAATTTATGGTGGAAATGCTTTTATTTATGTAAAAGGCAACACAAATTCAGGTAGCACATGACATTACAAAATATATAATACGATCTAAGTCAGTGCAGCTCTCAGTCATTTTGTGTTGCTTTCAGATCTGTTTCTCCTATAGATCAACTTTTCTCATGTACTGTCATCCCTGCTGAGGCAACACATATGTAGGCATGATTTACTCTTCCCTCCTCTTTTGTCATGTTCAAAGCGAGACAACGGAAAAGAAACTGTGTCAAGAAGTTGTTAAAGTTATGGTGCATGCACGTTTTTGGGTCATTTTATAATCCGTAGCTTTTTATTTTATTTTTTTTAGCTTAAAGGTCCAGTGTGTAATATTTCTGAGGATCTATTGACAGACATGCAATATAAGATCCATAACTATGTTTTCAGTGGTGTATAAAGATCTTAATACATGTAAGAATGAGACATTTATATGTACATAACCGCGGGCCCCTCCTTCCATGGACGTCGCCACCTTGCATCGTCCTATTTCTACAGTAGCTGAAAACGGACAAACTAATTTAAAATTCTACTACTAGAAGTCAGGCAGTCCGGACATTCATCATGTTGAATACGTACATTAGAAGAAAAAGAAGTAGTACTAATATACTGCAGGGGTCTGCAAATAAGTTTTGAATCGGAGCAATATTTTCAACCATTAGATGGTGGATGAGAATATAAGACATAATATTACCTTGTTGTTGTATTTTTTTATTTCTCTCTGTAACAAATGGATTCTGCAGTGAATGTTTCTGAGATCACGGCATGTGCTGCACTATTTTTGTTTTACATTTATTCATTTAGCTGACACTTTTATCCAAAGCGACTTACAATTGCTATACATGTCAGAGGTCGCACACCTCTGGAGCAACTAGGGGTTAAGTGTCTTGCTCAGGGACACAATGGTGGATGTCTCACAGTGGGAACCCAGGTCTCCCACACCAAAGGCAAGCATCTTATCTATGCGCCATCACCACTTGGCTTACATTTTCCATGTCACATCTGTCAGTGGTAAAGTCGCAATATGGTTTTACTGAATAATTAAGTAAATATAATTTAAGTAAATATAATTTCTTAATAAATCTAGAAGAAACCTAATTTCTTGACTGGCGACTCTCTGTTGTCTCAGAAGAGACATCTTTTGTGCTGTGTCAGACATCGTAGCTGTGTAACCTCTTTGAAAGGTTAGGAGGCAGTGGTAGGCTGGATAGAATTCCCAACCCTCACCATTAGATGCCACTAAATCTTACACACTGAACCTTTAAGTTACTTCTTTTTGCAACGCACATTTGTTTCTTCTATGTTTTATTTACATTGCAAATAAACCTTTGTGAAGGCATTTTCATTTGTTACTAACTGCAAGTAATATTTCTGAAGAAATTATGCTTTAAAAAAGTGGTGGGGACAAAATAACATTCCAGTGCCTGAACAACATTCACTTAACAGTTAAAACCTTGAACACACACAAGCACAGGTGTTCAACTAAAAACAAAATCATAAACAGAACCAGACAAACACAATTGCACTCCCAAATGCTCTGTGTTAATATTTCAAAGTGATGTCAGAAGTTTCAGAAAGACTCACTGACCATCACTAGCGTTCACATGTGATCTGGGTAGCAGGTAAATACCCACCCATGTGATACCCATGTGTAATGAGATGAGGATAAATCAGCACATGGATTCTGTCTGATCTCTGCTGGTTAAGCAGAGTTAATATTATTTTTCAGTCAACTTGACATTTTTTAAATATCTTGGAACCTGCAAGATATTTAAAGATTAGAAATGGTGCCTTTGATCTACGTCTATAAAGCTGAATTAGGCTAATGAGGGCAACACTTATCTGGTAACTCTCCATTGAGTGCTTTATATTCTATTGACTCGAAACCTGCAGTTAATCACTGTTTTGTCTCACACTTCTTAACAGAAGAGGAAGCCAAAAAGTTCACTTTGGTGGAAACATCATTTATTTTAACTCAAGCTTTAA